GGGGGAGGGTTGGTATAAAAGCCAGAGGCACCTTCGTTCTAGTACATTAAACCTTTTACCCTCTCTGGGACCGGTTATCTGGGGCGGTATAAGACTACCCTGGGCCAACGGGTCTAGAGCTCTCGATGTAAATGTAGCTAGGGCGCAATGCAGTCACCTTAACTAATCGGATCGTTCGAGGCAGCCCGGGGGGGGCGGGGACCGGTGGCGCTAACCCAGGTTGGATATTTATCATGTGTTGTTGTCCATGATGGTATATGATGGATCAACACGCTGCAGAATTGTTTTGAACTTCGAATTCTTTTCATTTCATATCAGGCTGCCAAAATCAACATGCTGGATCTCCATGCCTCCTCAGTGCAGCTGGGCTCCTTCCTCGGAGGCAACCTTCTCCATGTCGTGGCTTACCGAAAAGGCGAATGGGATTTGCTCGTGCCAAAGGTATGCACGGCGTATCTGATTTTTCAGGTCGCCATTATAGCCTGGGATCAGCTGTATAACGATCAAAGCCAAGATGGCCTTGCGGCTTCGGTTCGAGTAGTAGCTTTTCTCGGTGCGTATCACGCCCTGGGAATCGCGCTGAGCATGGTGACTTATCGCATTCTCTTCCACCGCCTAACTTCCTTTCCTGGTCCGTTTTTGGCGCGGGTTTCAAACTTCTATGTCACAGCGCTCAGTTCCAAGAGGTTACACCTGTTTGCGGAGGTTGAGGCTCTCCACAAACAATATGGCGATTATGTCCGACTTGGTAAGTGCAATAATAATAAATTCAGTGGACAGAGAATTTAATTGCATATCTAGGTCCGTCAGAGTTGTCAATCATTGATCCCAATGCTCTGACTGCAATATATGCGGCCAAATCACCCTGCTCCAAGGGTCCCTTCTACAATGTTCTCCATCCTCGAATGGCCTTGAACATGATCCGTGACAGACCGGAACATACCAAACGCCGCAAGGATTGGGATCGCGGTTTTAGTTCGCGTGGTGAGTAGGTGTGAAATATGATACCGTCCGGGATGTTCTAACAGACTTCTAGCTCTCAGAGACTACGAACCACGTGTAGTCAAGTATACGGATCAGCTCGTTGCACATATCCAGTCCACGCAGGGTACGCCAGTCAACGTATCAGACTGGTTTAATTTTTATAGTTTCGATGTTATGGGAGACCTTGCATTTGGGAAGTCGTTCAATATGCTAAGGGATGGCATCAAACACTACTTCATGAATTGTCTACACGCCGATATGCAAAACATCGGCTACCTAGCTCACCTTACTTGGCTATTCCCCTTCCTGAAGATTACCCCAGTTCTGAATACAGAACATCTCAAGTTCTGGTCGTTTTGTACACAACAGGTAGCAGAACGACGAAAAGTAAGTCGCAAGAGCAGCTTATATACCCTCCCGTTTAACAATACCCTAACAGATTAAACCTGATCGACCGGATATTTTCTCGTGGTTACTTGAAAGTTTCGAGGCCAATGTATATACCAAGGCTGCAGAGCTCAACCTGATAGGAGATGCATATTTGATTGTGGTAGCTGGAAGGTACGCTTCTCTCAACAGGCAACGGCAGTAACTAGCTAACAATTTTAGTGATACTACTGCAGCAACACTCACTTGTCTCTTTTACGAGCTTGCAACTCATAGAGCAAAACTAGAGAAACTTCAAACCGAGATCGATGCATATTTCAAGGAAGTTGAAACCCCGAGCAATGCCTCGCTTTCTAAACTTCCATACCTTGATGGGGTTATTAATGAGACTCTGAGGCTCCACCCTCCTACGCCCTCAGGACTACAAAGACAGACACCACCCGAGGGGTTGACTGTTGGCAATGTTTTCATTCCGGGTAATACCCTTGTGCAAGTCCCCATGCATACTTTATTTAGAGGTATGATTATGTATACCCTTATGATCTCTATAGCTATTACTAATACGGTATAGACGATCGATCATTCCAGAATGCCTCGGAATTTATCCCGGAGAGATGGACGACCCAGTCTGAGCTTACCAAGAATGTATCAGTCTTCACGCCCTTTTCTATTGGTATGAGCCCTCCCTCCTGCTATAACGTGCTTCCTATTGATTTCCTTCAGGCCTTTATTCTTGTGTTGGAAAACAGCTTGCCTTGACAGAGCTACGACACGTTATCTCCCAGCTTGTACATCGTTTTGATATAGAGGTAGCTCCAGGTCAGAGCACAGAGGCTTTCTTAGAGGGTAAGAAAGACACATTTACTCTAGCTCTTGGACCATTAAATCTTGTTTTTACAGAAAGGAAGCATAGTAGTTCTAACCACTCTACTACAACGAGTGTAGTATAGCTATAGACTTGAATAGCAACTCATATCCTTCTACTTTAGTTTTAATCTTTATAGCTGCTTTCCCTTGGTGTTCAATCCAAATAGAAACGCCTTGTTGAGCCCAACTCAGGCATGCGAACTTGTCCACTCCGGATGTGAATTTCAAAAGTGCCTATTAACCCAAGGGAGGATGGTCATACTCTGTACCACCCAACTATCTATCAAGTACCCAACAACAATCAAACTAATTTCATACCCCTCTTCGCTGATCCGCTGTGATCTTATTGTCACAGGCGAAATGTAGTCCGCACATATGACTAGATCTGAGACTGCACTATGCCGGTTCTGGCCCTCTCATTATGAACAGATTACTAGTAACCACCAGACTAGAGCACACAGATCACTGGTGTGGTATGGAAATAATAAGGGCTTCAGAGTAATACTAATTAACTATCCGATCGTTATTCCCTGGATAGGGGATATCATGATTTATTATCATCGCCACGGCCAGCCTCTATCTCTACCAACTGGACAAAACTAGACTGGTCCTGCGCTGGAGTATTCGAATATTCGACAACAAAATTCCTTGATAAAGATATCCCTCCTTTCCCATTATTTCGAGACGATTTCGAGGTCGAACCTGTCTTGCGGGTGTCTGATTGCATCCGAATCGAGGGATATTGACTACGGTTTCGGGAACTGAGTGTGGGGAAAAGCCGGATAAGAAAGGCACGCAAGCTAGGCATACAGAGACAGATAATACCGACATCAAGTTCCATAGTGGACCAGATGCCAGTGCCATAGAAATCCCCTTGTGATATGGTCAGTTTCAGGGAGATAAAATTGGTTTCGCTATTTATACGAATCGGAAGTTAGATCAGGGCATTACTTACAGGTTGGATTGGCAGTATTTTCGAATGTTACTAGAGATTGCAGTCGAAGGATGCTTACAATTGTGACGCTGTAAATATAATCAGTATAAAGTACCGAACTTATCAATGAATATAGGGGCTTACAAAGTCCCAACACAAAGCATGAATAAAATACTGATTCTTCTTCTCAGTGATAATTGCAATGCCATTATTCTGGTTATAGGAAGAGCAATTATAATGCAGTCTAAGAGGATGCATATCCCTGCATTAGAGAATGCCAGGGCATTTGCATTCCCGCAGGTACCAGTGTGTTCGCCATCCCATGAATTCCAGGAGTAACTAATGGGTCGGCAAATGAAGCAAAGAGCGACCACGAAAGTGATTATAACCATGACATTGACAGCGATGAGGGTCCAAATAATACGGGTGATCGTCTGGTCCGTGAATATGCGATGAAAGAAGAGGAGGAAAGCAATTTTAATGAGTGGTGCCTCTAGATAGTAAAGCGGCTCCGAGACCCAGAAGTACTAGTGTAATAGCAATCATTAGATATCGGCAAATATTAGAAGGGACAGTCAAGGGGAACTAACAAAGAGTGCGTTGGTAATTGAATCGAAGGGGAGTTTCCAAATATCTTGCCCGATGCCATATCTCGCTAGAAGAGTGATTTTGTTAGCGATTTATACGCTCTGGGGCCCGCCTCATATAGCTTACTGAGTCCAGTAATAGCCAATACCATGATTGCCGTATTGATAAACTAAATGACGGTTAGCTAAAACAGATAAAAAAATAAAATATGATATAAATACATACGAATATAAATATTACGCAGCCGTCATCATATCCAAATTCTTGGCCCATCCCGAAGATTGTGATCATGCGGATGATTACCGCTACGGTAGACAAACAATAGAATATTATCGTAAATTTAGCATATGTGGACGTCTTGTTTCGTACTGGCGCATCACAGGCAACAGCTGTCGCATTTGCAGTCGCTAGGGTATTGTTAGCTATCATATCATCTTGGCATCACTGCAAAGGGGACTTACTGAGTTGTTCCTTGACTGTGCATGTAGTCTGGATGCATGCCATAACATGAGCATTCAGAGCAGTATCAGCACAGATACACGGTTGGTCGGTTGCAGCACATGAGGATGCTGGAAGTGCCGACATAAGACAGGTAAGCTAACATCGTCAGTGTGTTAAATTCCCGACCCGGACGTGTCAGGCCACTTTGATATAACTTACGGCGCAACCTGGCATCTGAGCAATGGCTAGCGGCGCAAACGCCAGAACCGCAACGATTATTCCCCAAAGGCCCTTCATTGTAGTTCTGCGGAACACAGTTGATGGGAAGAGGATGGCGATAGTGTTGCCGGTGTTGCTGCTGCAAGAGACACTGGAGACTCTCGACCATGTCCTGGGGCAGTGAGTAGAGAAACAGAACGGTTCCAAAAAAGACTTTTCCATTGTCAGCTATGTAGGCATTCACCTCGAAAATGGAGAACTCAGACTGGGGCACGTGATTTGGACGATACCCCATATGTCTCATGGCCTGTGACAGACAATACGGTGCATGAGCGGCCAGAAATGGCTAGTTGCAGCGCTACGGAGTACATCTCGAATAATCTCTATGGATCAAGGGACAGCGGCACGGCATCAAAGCGCGGCTGGACATCCATAGCGCGCTTGAGGCCGTCAAAGCGCCACGGAGCGCCAATCATTGGACAATGCCCTCGCAGGGTCCAGGGCAAAAAGCGGGAGCTCAGGACTAGCGCCACGCCACGCGCTTGGCTGCAAATCTACGGTGGTACAGTATAGTAACAGCAGACAAGGGTCTAAACACCACAGACAATTTCAACACTTAATAACTTTTGCTATACACCACCAAAAAACTTCATTTAAGCACGAGAATAATGCCAATGAGGAGGACTATACACTTCTCCTTTCTCACCTTTTGATGATGCGTTGTGGTTGTGATGCAAGGGGGGTACCGTGAGATCACTGCTAGCGCTATTACTATACTTATGGGCTGCACCTCCGTACGTCAGGGGCTGCGCTAGTGCCGAGGTATGGGCGCTGTCACGTGCCGAATGCAAACCGTCGAAACATACAAAAACGGGGTCTATTCCGAAGAAAAGCAAAAACGGAAACTCAAAGCGAAGGGCGAAAAGTCACCAGGGACAAGAAAGAACCACGGCATTTCCCCGCATATTATTTGTTATGCAGCACATGCGGCAGCAGTCGCGATTGCTGCCAGTCTGCTGTGCTGTCCAGGATGGCGTTTTGGTACCAATCACACCCCACCCCGGGCGAAATCCGTCCTTTACCCCCGAAAACCCTGAATTGGCTCTAAACTGCTTGAAAACCACCCAAGTACTCGGTACCCTTCGGGATGCCCTCCCTGTACCAATCAGACCTTCGATACTGTTATTAGCATATGGGAGTTGTAGGAGTTCCCCTGCCCAGCTGAAAGTGCCAATTTGGCCCTCCACTTAGCACTTCTCTACCACAATAGAGACTCTAGGCTGATACTCAGATATTACCGGTATTATTTTCATTTAGCTACTTAACTTATATATTCATTTGCCTAGGTAGATATATGAGGCTTTCACCCTCTAGTATTAGGCTCCTTAATCAACTCTTTCTACCTGCCCCCAAAAACACTGACATCTATATAGCGGCCTACGCCCCCGAAAGGTGTATGGTGTGTCGAATCCAAGAAGAAGACAAAAGAATCGCCTGTAGCTGTTTCTGGGGAATTCGGGCAACCTTCCCTCCCCACAACCGCAGCGCTAAACCAGCAGGAAAGTAGTCCGAAGTACTTCCGATCTAGTTTCCTGCTACGTGCCGACATACCGGACTGAGCATGTGGATGTCGATTCATTAGGATAATAACCGCTGCATTGGCGACAAGTCGGCAGGTTTAATAACTTGAATAATAATACTGTGGTGTAATAACAAGCATTAAAAAACAAGCATCTGGGAAGGCAGATGGCCCCTAGTGTGGTTGTGATAATAAGCCTCAGGCTGTGCCGCATATTGATGCGGACTGCCAGGATTTCTACCAACAACGATTCCGACAAGTTGGCTCGGGGGTCATCCGCGAGCACGAATTAGTGGTATGCAGCTAGGATACCCCAAAGCCACAGTAAGCGCTAGTGTCACTCCTCCGTACTCTATACGAATGGATCGCAACCAGTAACGCCAGTAACACCAGGAAATATCAGAAACACCACCTCTCTAGTATGGCCCACAATTCTACACGACCTTCCTGAATCCAGCCTGTACTCCGTATAGATAAATCCCTCTTACTATATCTTATATCTTCACCTGCACTAGCCCTTAGAGGCCCTAATTCGAACTGGGATACTCCTGCACGAGCAAAAATACGCGGTCGAGCTCAAACTGGTCTTTCACAGCGCAAGATCTCTCAACTTTGGAATGTGCCTCAATCTACCTTCGTACAGTCAATCGGATTATTAAAGGCAAATTTTCGCGTCGAATTGGAAAGGGCAAGACTTATAAATATAAGCCTATTCTGATCACCAAGAGAGAGATTCGGCGTATTATTCGCTATAGTTCAAAACAGCTGGGCAGGACGACGCGCTTAATTTTCATTGATCAAAACAACAACATACAATATCAAGGCTTCAACTACAACAATTTGAGGGCATTAAAGGCAGTTGGTTACCGACGATCCGTGGCCTTGAAAATCTCTTTCGAGTTGTGTACAAAGCTTCCGCTCATACTTACCACGAAGTGCGGCACACCGCAGCTTCAAGTGTCTTAGATTTTGTGGGGGTTGTGCAAGAGATTAGTCGGACGCCACTGGAGACCTCCTTCTGGGCTTATAGGTAGGCTAAGGACCAGTATGAGCCCCCCATTCTTTCATTTACCCTTCTGAAGTCACATACCCAAGGCCACCTCTCCTCTCATATGACGTCCTCTATTAACCTACCTCCACCGAACTTCCTTCCCAATCTACCACTCATACCCCCTTTTCATCTACTCAGTACTGCGGTATGGGAGCAACGAAGCAAAGTCGCTAGGTCGTTTGGCTCAAGCCTAATAAAGTTCGTCATCGTGAAGCGACGGGTCGAAACTAGTGCGATAGTGACGACCAAAAGCCCAAACAAAGTTTTTAGGTTCGGATGCCATTCGGTAATGTTCTTTCGGAGCATGCTATTGTGGTGGTGGTGGAGCTCCCGCCGAAATCCGCGTCTTCAGAGACCCGAACTCGCCCATTGCTCCACCAGGGAAAGCGGTTATGGATATTGAAAATGCCTACATGAAAAACAGCACTGGCATTGGGGCAATGGGAAACCTCGCGTTGACTTCTCAGTTTCCGCAGCGGCCCAGCCATGGGATACAAGGGAAGCGCATTGCCGTTTACGCCAACTGCATCAAAGTTATTGCGGAGTCGAATTTGAGCCTGACTCGATACAACATCGAGGCAACCTGTCTTCCACCCGGGAGGAAACTGCGTAGGTACTGCGACTTCTCTTTGAACAGCCAGAATTCACTAGCATTGCTACTAATTTCAAATCTTTGATTATTAGTCGTTAACCGTTGAATATTCCCGGCAACTATCAAATCTGTATCCCTTATCGTGCAGAGGGCGAAGACGATCCGCTTCCTAACGCTACCACCTACACAGTGGGGGTCGTGAGAACCTCTCGGCCACTAACCCCGATCCTACTTTTCCTGGCAAAGAAGAACTCCTTCATGCGTTGAACGCCGTTCTAGCACACTACCTTGCAGCGCATGACACTGTAACCACTATGGGCGGGAATAAGCACTACTCCATCAGCAGAAGTCAGCAGAACGCATACAACATCTGGCCTAGAGGTCGTGGCATCGAGGCCTTTCGCGGGTTTTATCAAAGTGTTCGTCCTGCAACCGGTGGTCTCCTTCTGAATGTGAACGTGACGAATGGCATCTTTCTCGAACTCATCAGCCTTGATAGACTTTTCCCTGCACTTGGAACTGGTAACAAAGCTACCCCACAGAAAAAGATGAGGCTTGTACGAGTTAAAATTACACGTATTGCCCCCAAAAGGTCGAAAAAGACAGGCGAGGAATTTCCCCGGATCAAGACGGCCGCAATGAGCCCAATCAGCCCCAGGTCTCGGCTCACGGCGCAGGCCCAAAAGGTGTCAAGTTTGGATGGGAGATGACGCCTCGGACGGAACAGGGAAAGGGAAAGGCAAGGATAAACCGAAGGCCAAGGGACCAGAGTTGCCTACGAACGCCTATATCATGGTGTTTGAGTGTTTCAAATGGAGTATCCCCACATTAAACTGCGCGAACAACTTCCGGTCCTCAACGTGGGATCCCCTGATCGACCGAGCTATCTTGCAACAGAGGTGTGTGAAGTCCTCCTAGGGCAAGTTATCAAACGAAGATTGAGCCCGGACCAAATCCTGGAGATGATTAAGTTTGCTTGCAGAAAGACGTGGGAGAATTGTGACTCAATCGTTGGTGATGGGAAAGCCACTCTGGGATTAAACCTGCTTTCTAATCCGTTTCTGGGGAAGATGGGCCTCGAAGTCGGACGCAGCTTGATCACCGTCGCCGCCCGTCTTTTGCCACCCCAGCTCTTAAATATACGGATCCGAGGAACAAGGACATGATGGCCACCCCGAGGTTTTGGGTCATGGAACATGGCTAACACTAGGTTCCACACAGCTGGTAGTCTGGGGCCCTGGACATACATTCTGTTCAACTCGAACAGACCTCGTGCTGGCTTCGGCCCATGTTTTGTACACCAAAATGTCATGAAGTTCAAGGACTTCGTAAACTGTGCTGGCATCGATTCTAATGGATTTATTCAAAGTCCTCCAGATCCAGTAATAAATCCGAGCGATGGAGAGGACGCTGCGAACAAGATGGCGATTGATAGCATCCTCTCGCGCATGCATACTGCTCCCAAGAAGCCAAGATTTGTACCGGCAATTCTACCGTCCAGTAATGTTGCGATCCATAATAGCATCAAGACGTCTGCGGATACCAAGCATGGAATCCACACTGTGTGTGTGGTTGCGTCGAAATTCTTGAAGGAGCAACGCCAAGACCAATACTTTGGGAATATCTCCCTCAAGTTCAACCTCAAGGCAGGCGGAATTAACAATACTGTAGACCTGGCCAAGCTTGGAATCGTGGGTCAAGGGAAGACGATGCTTGTTGGCCTCGACGCCACTCACCCTTCGCCCAGGAGGGAGGGATCGTGGCCAGCACCGATGGCACTTTGGGTCAGTGGCCTGCATCTTTTGCCTTTCAGGAAGGGCGCAAGGAGATGGTACCACCTGTAGTACCTATATATTTTATATTATCTAATTAAAGCTAGGGAATTTAACTTTCTATATACTTTATCTATTATAAATACTATTGATTATTTTAAGAGCTTTAGTTATTCGTACTACTATTATAATTATACGATTACTTAATTACTTCCAATCGATCTTATCCTTTAATAATATATATATAGTCTTATAATTAGTTGATACTCGATAATTCTAGATAGAAAGGCGAGTAATACTATAACTAAATCATAATCCTTTGTCATTTCCCCTCTTCCGAAAAAGCTCTATGATAATGTGCCGGCTTTTCTTCGACCTAACTTGCTTCTTTAATTGAATATTCTCAGGCCGTTCAAGCAGAGCCAGAAGGTCTGCTGACTCTTCAGGATACCAGCGCAGAAACAAGTCATCTATAAGAAAAGAAATAGGTTGCTTCGCCGTATTCCCGCTTACTTTAAAAGTGGTTTTGAGATCCGCCCCATACTCAATGAACGATTTGAACAACGACAAGACCTCGAGGATATCCACTCGTCTTGGCTTTTTCCTCTGGAACCCGAGGAACTGAAGACTATATGCAAAATACAGGAAATTCTCAAAAGGAGTCCTGCCCTTGTAGCTCTGGTTGGGCTTGGAACCATGTTTGAGTAGGAGAGCGACGACTTTTGCGCTCACCGGATATCGCTGCCCGCTTGGGTCTGTGCTAATAGCGTAGTCAAGCAGTGGACGGCCGGACTTGTCCGATGCTTTTTCGTTCAACTGTCGAAATTTATAGTCAAGATAGTTGCATAACCCGTACTCGACAGCTAGTGCAGCAAAGTTGTCATCCCATTCGAACGGGCGTTCATGTTTTTCTTTATAATATCTCGACCAATGGCCGGGATACTTGTTGCCTATCAAAGACTTCATGACGTTGTCAAGGTGGTCCAGCAGTGGAATGTAGGTGATGCCTTGGTCCATTTCAGCATGGCGGGCGTGTTCCAAAGCTAGAGCCACACAACGCCATAGTTCATCGGGAAGAGCGGCTGATAGAAAAATATTAGCCACGAATTCATCAAACATCGGTATAATCATATACCTGTTGTGAAATCACTTGTCTTTATCTGAAGAATGCAAGATTTCAACATAGAAATATGAGGGTCGAACTCCATCCCGTCCGTCTTTGCTGTGATTGCTGACCAGATATCTGGTTTTTGGAGGTAGTCTTTAACGGTGCGATGCAAATACTGTACAATGCCCGCTGACTTGGCTACTTCCACTCCAGAAATGGCTCGATAGCCATCAGCTCCTGGGCCTCGAACCTCCAACAAGCCGGCGCACCTGGTTTTCAGGCGGTCTTCCATTACTTCACAGCGAGACACCTTAGTTGATTGTGGTAGCGGCGCAATTTCCTCTTTCATAACATAGTCGGGATCATTGTCATCGGCAAACGATAGAGCAAGTAACGTGAGTGGCCATTGGTTGTCGCCATGACTCTCAAGACGATTGTTGACTTGTGTCGAGATTCGAAATATCTGGAAAAGCCCTGCGGCCTTTTTCTGATAAAAAGGTTCAATTCGTTGGTTAAGCATATTGTCGAACAACTTTTCGAGGTCTGAAGGAAGTTCTTCTAACCGTCGTTGGAGGTCTTCTATCTCATCCCGATTTCCTAATCCTACTAGAATTGACCTGACCACAAGCACTACCCAGAGAAACACACCATCTGACTTTGCCACTATTTCACGAACAAGGGCAGGTGCTTTTTCCTGTTCTTGGAGAGCAAGTCGACGAAAAAGTTTGTTTGCGTTAAGATTGTCATCAACATAGAGTTTGATGTCTCCATAATTGAGGTCTTGAAGTTTAATTGTCGAGAAGGGTGAGAAAGCCTGTTCGTATGCCACTAGAGGTCTGCTAGATATGCATGCCTTGATATTATCGGACGTCATTATATCAGCGAAAAGATCAATCAGATCTGCCGGCTCCCCTTCATACTCATCTAGTCCATCTATGAATAAACATATTTTGAGACTAATGGTCTTCTGTTTAACGAGCTGCTGAAAAGTCTCAACCAAAAACTTTAGAGAGAACCTCACATCTCTATCGAGTAGGGAATCTAGAACCGCTTCATTGTAGGATGTTGCCCAGATGCCCGGCATAATTATTGGGATAAGGTCGGTATGACTACTTAGGACATCGTACAGAATGGCTCGCAAAAGACTAATTTGAGATCTCTGATCGCGACTGCCACCATTCCAAAAGAAAAAAGTGCTGATACACAAGGCTTCCGATCCAGCCCAGGTACGAACCGCGCTTTTCATTGCCTCGGACTCACAGATGTATCTCATTAGGGTAGACTTTCCTGATCCAGCCTTGCCGTTGATCCAATAAATCCCACGGCCATTCTGAAGCCACTGAACAAAATTGGCGGTTTTCGGGGAGTCTGACTTGGCATTACCCGTTGGGGTGAAAGATGGGCGAAGGAACCAAGAAAATGTGTCTCCATGAGCCTCGAAAACATCTTCCTGGCGCCGCCGTATGGATTCGAAGTAAAGCCATTGCAAGATATTTTTCTGAACAGCAAGCTTAATACGCTCTTCCTCACTCCTCGCTTGATCTACCTGGTCCGCCTCCTCGGGTATGGCACAGTATTCCTTTGCTTTCGCCAGAAAACTTGGTGTCCCCAATGCATGGATAACCACACTTCTCCCCGCTTGTCCTCGAGCTGTCACAAGAAGCTCGGTACGATTGAGCATTTGGGCAACTGCCGTTGTTTGGGCTTGAAGGTCTCTCGCCAGAGAATCCTGTCGATCCTGTCGGTCAAGCAATGCTACAAGAATATCCTGGGTTCGTCTGTCAAGGTCATCGAATCGTTTCGAATGTTGTATCGCCATCATGGTACTCGTTTTTCTATAGCAACTTGTGTTAGTGGAACTTCAGTAACTGGAGGTAGAGGAATCAAACCCCAAGTCTGCAAGGATATGCGTATCCAGAGCTCTTCTAAAAGCTGCAAGGCGGTCATTTAGTGAATCGATCTCCTTCTGGGAGAAGATAGATTTGATTGCGTAGCGTAGACTCTTCCAGGCCTTGTTGGTCTGGCCACCCTCGATCTTCAAGTCTTCCAGAGCAATGAGGAGCTCATCAGCCACGAGCTTGCAGCCATCGCAAAGCTCTCGCAGATTGTCGTACTGATGAGCGTCGGGATCGGAATTGGCGACATTTGGAGCATTCAGAGGGTGCCACAGTTTCTTGGATAACACAGAGAGGTCCCGAGTGATTAATTCGAGTTCTTCGTTCACATCCAATGCCCCACTGGCCGAGGTGTAGAGGTTGCGACTTCCTCGCAATACCTTGGCACCAAAATCGACGACCTGGATGATGGTGCCGGCGAGTGACAGAGCGGTCAGAGCATCCATTGCGACATAACCCTACTCGAGTAGCATTACCACGACGAGAAATGGTGTCTTCCTAGGAAAATACCAGATCAAGGCGGTTCCATCATTTTAGAACACAGCCTCTGCGGCGCGTACAGCGCCTTGACAAGGAATCGATTATAACGGTTCCTACTCGTCACGTTCTGTTTCAGCAGAGGTGGCTTACCTAAGTCGCATGCCTCCTCTATTTAAGAGCTTTCAGCTCCTGCTCCCTTCCCGGTTTAAATATATGCAAGACTTGCTAAACTCCTTACGAAATCAAAGTTGAATGTGATCGTGTGACGGATAACCTCCGACCAAATATCCTGCCAGGGAAGACATGGCGACGGAGCCAGGACATATTAGTTTATCTCTTGAGCTTCCTCCCGAGCCAGGCTGCATTAGGTAGTGATATGGGAATGAGGGAAATGGCTACCAAAGAGGCGTTCTTCCGGATGGTTTGCATCAATTGTTGATCCAAATTGGGAAAATCGTTGTCTGGCGATGCGAAAATATGGCATGGATTGAGGGCACAGGTAAAGAATTAATAGGTATAGAGTTATTAGGTGTTCTACTTGCCTTCATGAAGATTGAGCAGCGTGCGCCAGTTGCGCAGAACGTACGGGACATCCCCCACATCCCTTTTATCGAGGCCATCAGGCTGGCTCAGGGTGTTATGCCATTAAGATTCAAGGGAATACTCGAAATAAATGGATATTAAATGGTTGGAATCTTTAGCAAGTTATCTCTTGGGATTAAATGACTGACGCAGAAACCAATTGCTCGGCGTGGATGAAGATTGCTTCAAGCCAACGAAACTTCGACATGTATTTATCTACCTTTGCTTTTATCAGGTATTTATGAAATGTTTTTACTACATATCGATGACAATTCTAAGAGATTTACTCTCAGCATGTTTCAGGTCGTCATGCCCTCATACTTTTCAAGTTGTTGTCTTGCAAGGCAGGTACGACTTGTTGATGCTGTACTTACTTGGAACATCGTCTAGAAAATACATTACAACTGCAACAGTAACAACATCCAATTCGCGTCACTCCATTCATTCAAAGCATCTCTAACTCCAGACGAGTTTCAGGATTCTTCATCGGATCATCCCGTAGTCAAACACACATCTCCTACCATCGCCATGGCCAAGAAGTATGATCTGCAACGCCCGCGCCGGGAGAGTGCCCCCTCTCCTCCTGAGGAGACTCCAAAAACAAACCGAGTCCCGAAAACTCCAGCTTTCTCTCCTCAGAGACCCCCGCCAGCAGTGGCAGGCCCGTCGACGACACGTTTGCCTTCATCATCTCGTAATAACTCCGTTCTATATCTCAACTCGAGTCAAATCAGGGACACCTGCTAATCTAATTCAGGGCCGTTTGGTATACATCAAGGTCCGATTCCACCGCCATACCATGAGCCTATTGGTGCGCCTGGGCCTTCCCGCGGTGTCAGCTACGCAGACGCCTTGAGGTCGTGCCTGGCCCACCCTACGGCTTCTGTCGGAGAGAAACGGAAGGGGAAGGCTATCGATGATAGTTTGGGGCCCCCACGTCGGCGTGCTCGTAAAACTTCCATTGAAGAAGAGGTTATTGAGGGTATCAATGAGGTGAGACGAAGGCAATCTGCTGAGTTTGGCGAGATGAGAGGTATGTTCCTCGCAGTTCATTATTTTCCCTGTCTGCAATTTCCTTTTGCTATCTTTGCTCTATGATTCAAGTCGAGTCATCATGACTATGGACCGTGGCCAATTTGCTGCTGCCGAATACGAGTACTTTATTTGGCAAATATATTATAGATCATGAATTTGACACGTACACTTCTAGAACGACCAGATCCAACCAACCCAGATACACCACCGAAACAAATCACACCACCGCCACGGTTCAAGCCAAAGTACCCCTCCAAGTACTGCGCGCCAATTTTGGACCTGCCAGATGGTGTTGGCGACGATGGGGACTCCGATGACAGCGACGAAGCCTTATCTAAACAAGCTGGTAACTTGACTATCCGCAGGACAGCTCTTGATCTACTTAGCCCACTTGGTAACAGGATTTCAAGCTTCATTAACTTTCGTCCTTACATCCAGGGCCCCCTTTCTCCATATAGAACAAGAACCCCGGTCCTGGAGGCTCAAAAAGTAGACGCTGCTACCAATCAGCACCAATGTTACCCGACGGACTCCAGTAATTCTTCCCCACTAGGCAGTGACGGGTCGGGATTTTCCAATATAGAAGCCCCTGTTGCGCCTCCAGGTCTCTTCATTGAGGACAATAATCAGCCTTGGCCTAAGGAAACGGACCCAACAATCTGCCCAAACCAAGCTATCGATCTTAGTGCATCATTGCCGACGGCCCCCTCTCGTCGGCCCCATCGTCCTACTAGCTCCACCGGTACCGAAGACGGCTCTAGTTCTAGCAGTGGATCAGGCTGAATGCTCGGATGAAACGTGTCTGTCATTGTTGGAGGTGGTAAACAACTTGTCAGAGATTCGAGATAAACCATTTGATGGTGACACAGGGTGTGAGTTGTTGGAATGGTCTTTTAGGAGAAAGGAGCCTTTGCACTTGCTGGTTGATGCTCTCGGCCAGGATGATCATCCTTTGGGCCGGTCCCATTCTTTTCTGCGGTATAATAGCGTTTCGGCGGGGAACCATGCATAGCGTCGGTATTCCTTCCTTCCAAGTATTGTCGTAGCATAGCGTCTGGTTCTTTGGGACCTTGTGTAGATGATACTCTTTCCAAGAGCAAGCGCGCGAGAATTCATGATTATTACAATCCCTACCAGCTTTCTCTCTTGTACGCGTCATATATTCTAGAACTTTGTTCCCGTAAAAATTAACTTGAACTTGCATCCCTTTAAAGTGACCAGCATGCGCGTGGTAGATTTTAGATGCCATTAAATGTCTCTTCACATCGTACTACAAAAAACCTTACGTTCTACAGAGCTCAAAAAGCATTCAAATATAAACATATTTTCTATTTATTTATTTAATTTTTCATTTATTTCATAAAATTAACTTAAAAAACGTAATTTTTCAGATTTTAGAATTCCAGCTAAAACAAAAATATAACCAACCAACCAACCAACAAGGGCAGAAACAAGAAGTAAAGAGCGCGCTCTGTCTCTCTCTCTCTAACAAGTCCCCATCCCAACAAAAGATCTTCTAAACGCTTCTTCATCCTGCCTCATATATCCCGCTCCGTCGCCCGCTCCCCATTCCCTCCTTCGCTCCCCTACTTCGTCTGCTTTCTCTTCCCGACACCGGCTCATCAGCACGTGACTGTTCCATGCCTGCCACTCGTACATGCCTGGTTCTGGTTTGAAGATGTCGTCGTAGGGGAGCTCCTCGCCCATGGGTGCCCCCATGAAGGTTTGGAAAGGTTGCTGGGCTGCCCAGGGGTTGCTGGACTCGCCGGCTCCTAGGATGGGGCTTGTGGTGGATGTGGAGGGGTGGGAGTTGCTGAGGGGAGGTAGGCCCTCCTGGGTGCTAATGTGTGGCCAGGTCGTGTCTTCGTATAGGGCGTCGAATTCTGATAGTTCGGCGCTGGGGCTTTGGTCTGCGGAGTGGAGGGTGGGTGAGAGGAATGGTGGAGAGGGGAGCGCGCTGTCAATTACTACGGGGGCGAGCCAGGAGTCGTGCGTTTGATTGAGACTATCATGTGGTATTTGGGTTTCGGATGGCCGATGGCATGTGTTGTCTGGGATGCCGCTATCGACGATGATGGTGGACAATGCTGGCGATTGGTTGTGGGAAATTGGGGTAAGTAGACAGGCCGGCGTCAGTGGGTGTGGTGAGGAGCAGGAGGAAGATGTCGATCTTCCTTCATCGCTGGAGGGCTTTCTCGCCGGGCGGTTGGACTGTCTTCGTTTGGCGCCTTCTTGCGTATATGTTGGTCTTCTTGAGTTGACGATGCTCCCATTCTCATCTCTCCAAAGCCTCTTCCTCGTCGCTAGGACTCCTAACCCCTCTCCCCCAGCCTCGTCGTCCTTTTCCTTGTGACGCGCCATATGCCTATCTATAAATCACATGTTAGAGTCCACTTCTGTGCTTTTGTGATTGCGCCGGAGGACGCCAGCTTATTTATAGGATTGCCTACCTAGAAGATCGCGGCGACGGAAGTGGGCGCTGCAGCGCATACATGTATTATTTCCTTCTTTATGGTTCAAGGCATGACGATGAAGATGCTCTGATCTTGAAAACGCCTTTCCACATGCCGGAAAGGTACAGCCAAATTTCTTCTTCGCTGGGTCGGGGGGAGACTTTGAGCTGGCTCTCGAGCCGGATGACATTGATGAGGATCGGGAGCTGGTGGGAGACATATTGACTTCAATTCCAGAGGAGCGTTTTTTTGTTTTATCACCCCGCAATTGGCAAGTTATAATTCCGCACGCTGATTTCGAAGCTTGATTTCAGGTACTAATTTCCTAGCTGTTGGTTTTTGGTTTAGATTTCGGTTTGCTGTGCTGTGCTGCTTTTGGTTTGCGGGTTCGTTGACAGGTTGAGGGGACGGAGGGATGGCAGAGGGGGAGATGGGAAGCAGGAAGAGGGGAGAAGGCGACGACACCTTCCAGAAAGCCCAATCTGGCGAATTAGTATCAGTCAAGAGGAATAGGTAAGATCTTCTCTGCCTTCTCCATATTTTGGCCCACCACCGCCGCAACCACCACCACCACCACACCTCTGCTCCCTCCACGACCGATCATCGGTCCCGGGGTCGTGGGTGTGGTCCTGGGGTCTCCAGTCGTCTCCAGACCGGGGGCCAGGAGCCAGGGCTGAGGGCTTGTCCGTGTTATCCATGGGCGTTGAGCGCGGGTCGGCAGCGGCGCCGTGTGCGTTATTTGCTGCTCGCCCGCCCGCCAGTTGCCAGGACGCCAACGCCAACGCCAGGCCCGGCCGCTGTTCTGCTGCTGCTGCTTTGCTTCCTCGCAGGATTGGGCGGGCTATAGCTCCCATCGTAGGGCCTGGGCAGCGAGACTTGATCGGGATAGCAATAGTAATAATAAGAACCATCAGCAGAATCTCCCGATTCCCACGGGGAGTGCGCCAGTACGAAGTGGTAGCGTAGGGGAAATAATCTAGCTCAAGCCACTGAGACTGTGAGTAGAGTAGAGTAGAGTAGAGTAGCACTTTGTTCCTTCTTTCCTGGTATCCTGTCTCTTGTCTCATGTCTCTTGTCTCTTGTCTCTTGCCTCCGACTTCTTCCTCGCCCTCGTGGCTCCTCGCTCGCCCGTGACCAGACCAAAGTTTCCCCATCAGTTCCCAATCCAACCCCGCGATTTGCGCGAGGTTGAGATGGCGACTGACCGACCACTGGACGGGCAGCAAGTCGCCCTCCACCCAACCCAACCCAACCCAACCCATCCCTTATTCCCGCCATCCATGGTATGATCCCATCCATGGTCCCCATCACCTTTCGCTCACCGCTGGCTGGACGCCACAGGGTCCTGACTTCCGTGTGAGCCGGGTCACCGACAGTTCAGCAGGACTCCGTCGCCCCTCGAGTAGCTCGAGTAGCTCGCGACTCGAGCTCGCCGACAGACAGCGAGCGCGGAGAGGCGGAGACCGGCCGCGATAAGCAGCAGGCGAAACGTGTGCCAAGAGCGCGATGATAAGGACAGGCAGACGCCGCCGGCCTTTGCGCGAGCGCAGGCGAGTTGGGATGGAGTAAAGGGACGCAGGCTCGGGCAATGTCCGACCTGGGTTGGCCCCGGCAAGGGCGCGCGGCGGGAGAACCTCGGTTGTGGCTCCGTGGGTTTCGGCGAGCGGGATTGGGGGGAATTGGGGAATTGGGGGGGAGAGAGAGTTCCGAGACAGGAGGCAGAGCTGTCACGGAAAAGAAGCCTGGAGGCGCAGAAGGGAGGGGAGGGGTCGTGGCGCTCTCGTGGGGCAGACGGCGGCGGAAATCATCATCATCATCATCACCCATCCATCCATGCTCCCTTGAAGATCCTTGAAGAAAGTCCCACTAAGGAAACTTCTACGCTGGCAACCTGCAGCTTTCTGTACCGTAGTGTTCTGCAGCGTCCCAACTGCTGCTACTGCACCTAGGTACTCTACAGAGTATAGTATAGTATAGGGTTTCAGATCACCAAGTAGTAATAGGTCAACTGTCAAAGAGAGAGAGAGAGAGAGAGAGAGAGAGTCTCCGAGTAATAGAGCAGCTCTATAACTCGGTTCATAGGGAAGCGAGCAGGGCTCGGGAGAAATATCACCCGAGCGCAAATAATCACAGCTAACCACCGTGGAAATATTCCGTCGAGGACATCATCATGACTACGAGGTACTTCTACTTCCACTTCCACTTCCACTTCAACTCCTCCATACTACTTTACTTCTACAAGTACTTTGTATCACACAATCAATAATAACAAGAGTAAATATGAATGACCAACACTACCCAACCACTACCACCTTCGTCGCCTTACTCCCTGACTCGGTCTTGGCTGGCGGGTTGCTCGTTTGCGGCAACCCAGCCCGGCATACGGCATGCGGAGTTGAAAGAGGGTGCCAACTAAGCCCTGATCAGCATCGCGTGCAGCTCCAGAAATTGCGTGCTCACGGACGAGAAAACGCCCCCCCAAAGATATCCTCAAAGCTTCAAATTCAACAGTTTCCAGTTCACAACTCACAATTCGCAATTCTCAAAATCTCATATCCCCCCATGAGGCTATTACTGACTGCAGATGCGAAGCTGGTCGGAGAAAAGCACTGACTGCACTGCGGTCTGCAGCACCAAATATGCACAGTATTGACGCACCGACAGAGCTACAGTAGGTGTGCATGAAATTCTGCTGCAAGTAAGTGACAAAAAAAGCGGGTGTGGACCGTACATGCGTACATGCGCACACCAGTGGGAGCTACCGTATGTCATTGACTCTAGGCTTTGAACATGCGGTAGGTACTTATATAGAGCCTATACCTTTTAGTAAAGATATGCCATTCAACCTTATATCTTCAACCGAACTAATCCACTATACTACTAATAATAACGCATCAATTGGATACCAATATCAATTGTCAATCGGGGAGGGTTGCTACTTGCGGGTTGCAGCAGAGTCGCTCCCAAGTCAACAGCGCATCCACGGACATCGTTAGCCTCACGGATTGGCCGTTTTGGTAAAGCACCCTGGCTGCATGCCAACGGCTAGTATCGGAACGGAGTGGAGTGAAGGATGGGTTTATTAATATATCACTTGGAAGAGGTGCGAGAGAGCAGAGGACAAGTTGACAATCAACCCAACCCGCAACTCTGCCAGTCTGCAGCTCTGCGAATTGCGAATTGCAAAGAAGTTTCGCCCTCTCTTCCCATTAATTCAACGCGGGGTGTTTCCTCTCCCACCTCGTTCTACGTACAGTACTTTCGCCAGTACTACGTACGAAGGTACGGTATGGCCCCCCTTGTACTCGTATCAAAAGCAAACACCTTCCCCCGGATTACCACATACGGCGTTGATGCAGTCCTACGACGTCGTCGTTGCGGCACGGTCCCCCTCGTTCACCATCCCGTGGCGTGTGCATTACTCCATACCCGTACGGAGTGGTTCCTCTGTCTCGGTGTCTCGACTCTCTCTCTGCACGAAATAACGATAGATAATTAGAAATCCAATCCCATCCTCCTGCGACGTTGCATCCTGGCCTGCCCCCTGCCCCTCCCCTCCCCCCGTCTCTTATACACATCTAGATGTGTATAAGAGACAGATACCCGTACGGAGTGGTTCCTCTGTCTCGGTGTCTCGACTCTCTCTCTGCACGAAATAACGATAGATAATTAGAAATCCAATCCCATCCTCCTGCGACGTTGCACCTGTCTCTTATACACATCTAGATGTGTATAAGAGACAGGCTGATAACGGTGCCCCCCACGTCCTTCTCACTTAGGAAGCTATGCGTCCTCCCCTCTATTTCCAAGACCAAACATTTGTTGTTGGGAAACGCGGTACTGCTCTGATTGGCCTTCGGAGTTACCCTGCCCATCGGCGCTATCGGGCATCGGGCATCGGTCGGGAAGCCCACGCAGAGCTGACTACTCGTTATATCCACCGGGCGGTCTCGACTTCTCAGTCTTGGAAATGCTGATCAAGACGTCTCGGTATTGTGGTCTTTCTTTGAAACGACGATTCAACCCAACTGTTTAGGAGGTCCAGTATCGCTCGCATTGCGCCGCGTAAGGACCTTTTCGACTACCCAGCCAGCCAGCCAAGCAGCCAACCCGCATCTCAGGAAACCCTCCCGCCTGGATTGCACCGCTATTCTACCGCAAACCGCCACGGGCCGGACCAGCAGGTGCACAAAGAAGAGTTGCGAGATGCGCAGGTAGGACGGCGGAATCAATTGCAGGGGATGGATATTCACATCGAATTGGATAATAATGCTGTTGGGAGTGAGGTACGATCCAGTGGATTGGTTACAAGACCTCGTGTTGGAAGTCCCCATAAAGCGCCAGAGCCCCACCCATTCGAGATGCGGAATCCGTGATGGCGATTGGCGACTGGCGCAAAAAGGTCATTTTACTCCAGCTGCCGGCCAAAACCATCAGTTCACCCACAACGAAGATCAAAGATCGGAGGCAATAAAGCGCGGGGAAGTGATGGACGAGTAGTTTTCGCCACTCACCCGGTTAGTTTTGGGAATTGATTGACTTGATGTCCTCGGATTCAGATTTAAGCTTAGTATAACCACGTCATATATAAACTATATTTTGGGCTTATACTCTTATAATTAGATTAATCGTCCGTCTTTACTTCTTAGGCCAGTATTACCTTAACTATATATCTGCTCACTAGTAGTATAGTTACTACTTTAGCTTATTGGTAGCTTATAATCATAATAGTACTTGATACCTTTTCGTTTATATATTCTCTTATAGCTGGAATTTTCTTCTTCTCCTTTTAGACATTTTCTACCTGCTTATAATACAAATAGGTGCGCTTCCTTAAGACTCCTACCTCTACGCTGTACCGTGACACTGAATTAGCACATAGGCAAGTTGCGGCGAAGGCTACGGCGAAACTGATAGCGAAGCCGACAACGACTTGAATCAGAACTTCAGAATAACCTTAGTTTCTGTCAAATGTAGAGGATATAGCGGCAGGAAGCAATTCCCCTACGAATACAGTAGCAGAGGCTGCTTCAGATTATAGTAGGTAGGGTATAGGGCGAACTGCGATATGATTCTATGCATAGCCTCACTTTGCGATTGGATTTTCGAATAACAACCATAGGAGGGTACGCAGGCAGCAGGCTATCTGGATTGTACAGAAATCAATAGATAGCGCGATGCCGGAATCATATCTAGGTAATGGCCGTGGGGCCTTGCAATCTAAGTGAAAGAGTTTGAACCAAATTCGCCCAAGAATGCGCTATACCCTTCTCCCAAATCGGCCTCGGAACTGCTTCCGCTTACTACTTAGTTAAGTAGTCCTGCCCGTTAATAATACATGCCCTTGGCCTCCTGTCACCTCCTAAGCAGACCCGCGGTTTTACTTCTTGCAGCCCCGTAAACCCCTTTGATGCTTTTTGTTCACCGGTCCCGGCTGCTCCGAAGCCATTGGTTCCGTCATTCTCAAGGTCTTGCTAATCTAGCATAGTATCTGCTTGTAACAAGCACCAGAGACATCTAGGTAATTGCCATAACAGCACAATCACCTAATATCTTGGAGGAGGAGGCGGCGGAGGCGGGGGTGGCGGAGGCAAGCCAGGCATTCCAGAAGGATAGGGAGGTGGGGGAGGAAGCCCTCCAGAGTGGCCGAACCCGGGTAGAGGTTGAGTAAACTGTGGTGGAGGCATACCTAACATTGATGTGGTATCTAGACTGAGAGGCTGGTGGACAAATGGCGTACCACTCTGCCAGGCTGCCAATGGCCTATGTAAATCGAGATGCAGTGAGCCAGCTAGGTGGAAGATGAGAGAGAAGGCGGCAAGCGTCCAGTGCAAGCCCTCCAAGGGAACTGATGGATGAATGTTGATACTGGATTGCCCTATAGTGTTGGAAAAAGCTAGAGCTTTCAGAGCGAATGTCACTTCGGATGCCGATGCAATGACAAGGAACAGAGATGCATAGGCCGAGATTAATTTCAAGATGCAGAAAGTTCTTAGCCAGGAACGGCCTGGCCACAACCACTCAACTGCTAGGCAGAGCATTTTAACACCGAAGAAGGAAGCTGCAATAAGGATGATATAGGGCAGAATCTTTCTTTGGATAATTTCTGCCTGCTGTAGGAGAAATTGAAGTTCGCCATTGTCCGAGGGGAACAAGTCGAGTGCAGATGAGCGAAGTGTTGAGTGGCAGACCAGTGGACTTTTAGTCCCCGCGCACATGGCTATATTCAATTTGTCAAAACCTGTTGCTAGAACAACTAAAGTCTTGCGGTACTTACCAAAATATCCAACACGTACTTCAGCACCGGAAGACTGGGTGCCCTGGAGCTTAACAGCATAAATATTAGGGACACCGTCAAGACATCCGACCATGCATAGAGCTGCTTTTGTCAATCAAAGTCATAGTAAGAGAAATGCGAGTATCAACCAACCGTAGAATGTCATGATTAGAACAGGTAGGATAATTACAAAAAACTTTGTAACTGGAAGTGTATTAGTACTGGGTTTAGACAATTATTATTTTCCGAAGAGATTGCAGTGTACTAACAAACTGGCCGCCATCCTCCCCCAGAATGAGGAAAACCATAGCCTGGAACCCCTGACATGTCGTTTCCTCACCAGCGGGAATAATGTGAAATTTAAGCGTGAGGAGTTTCAGTGACGTCTGGGAAGTTGATAGGTGAAGTAATAAATTACTGAAAATAAAACGATCTGGCTATCTCGGTATGTGTCGAGGGCTCTCAATTGTGCAATGATTGGAATGAAAGCATCTGCAAAGGACTTATCTGAGATACGGTCTGAAGTTACTCTCATTTATATGTCAACTGTTTCTCGTCTTCATGATAGGAGGGCTATGCCGACGAACCTACGGTCATTATTCTGCACCAGCGGCCTTGACCTCCTAAATCTACCCGGTCACGTCTTAGCATGTTGGCAAGAGAGAGGCGTTCAAAGCCCTAGGGTCATCCGAGAATAGAAGCGGCTAAAAGTGAAGGATCATCGTGAGGCTTGACTCCTTGAGTAGGCCAGGATGAGACAAGAGGATTCGATAATGACAAAATGCCAATGATAACATATTGAGATCCATGGTCTAACAACCGCTAAGAGATCATCCAAGGAACGGCTTTGGTTTGGCAGTCTAGTTATGCCCAAAAAGAATTAGAGGTGAGGAACGAGTCCCAATTCTGTTCCTGTCAATTCAAACTGACCAAAGCTCGCGGTACACAGCAATAGCTAACTGGGCAAATTTAGTGACCCACTTATGTCTCTAAGTAGCCCCAATAGTAACCAAAGTATGTGATACTACTTTAGCCACCACGTAGTTATGCTGCAGAACTTTGCCTTCTCCTCTTCCTTCAGTTGAATCGACTAAGCTGCCTAAGCACCTTCATGTTCTCTTAAGCCAAACCAACACTCATTTCGCTACTAGCCAACACCACTTACCGCTTGTCAGGATTCTCTTGGGCCAGCAAATATGTCGGCGAGTACCTTACCCAGGTAGCGGGCCATTAAGAGGCCAAACGCACCTTGTTGCAACCGCTGGGAGTCTGGAACAGACGCGGAGCGCTTGCGGCTTGCGGCTTGCGTATGTGTAACAATGCTCCGCCGACTCCTCGCTGCAAGAAGGCCCGAGTTAGGTCGGCATGGCTCATAGTGGCTGTATTAGTCCATATCAGCGGCCAAATGGCGCGGTAGGCGCGGCAATGCTGGCTGAGCTGCCCTCGACCTCACCCTGTGCCTCCTCAGCGCCCACTCGACCCGCGAGGCGCACTCGGTCTATCGCCAATCCAGTTTGTTACTCATCTATACAACCTAGGTTGAAGAATCACAGGGGATGGTACCTGGGTGGAGCTGGCATCAGCGGTTGCTACGTTTCGTACCTACCAATGTAATGTGCTGATCCAGTCGACCGTCCAGCGAGTCTCCGGCTACTATAAGAGTAGTAACTTGTGAGAGCACGAAAGCAGTCCATGGGGAAGCATGCGTTCATTTATGTTTTAAAACCGATGAGTGCCATTTTGAACGCCACCATATTCATGAATACAACATTTCCATTCCCAGTTGTGCACACCACGTAAAGTGGGCAAACAGATATCAATCATCAGGTAGCACACACCCTCTCCCGCCATTAAACCCAGAACAATACCTAACACCCATAAATTTTCAAAAGCGCCTTAAATGAAGCGTCCTCTAACAACTGCGCCGCGGTTATACGATACTCAGGCACATAGCAAAATGCTTTCGCGAAAACCTCTAGAGCAAGGTTCCGCTCGGTTTCATTGACTTCGGGTCGCATCCTCTCAAAGTTGGATGCAAGGGTCATCAGGGGCTGAGGCTCTCTGCTCTGGTCATACCACGCATCGTCGCTCTTGCTATCATAATAGCTGTAATAGCCCTTCCATTGCTCAGGTAGCGGGCCTAGCGAATTAACCCAAACAGACATCGTATGCTTACCCCCGCTACCATAGAACGCCTCACAGCCAAAATAAAGCGACACGAAAATGCACATATAACTCCACATGTCGCTAGCACAACTTGGGTCGATGTTATGGTACCTTTCGGGGGCGCAGAAGATAGCGGGCGATTGCGGCTTACAGTTCACTGAAGTGCCGGCTTGAATAGCCATGCCAAAGTCACCGAGATAGACTTTCTCCCCGATCATGTTTTGAGGGACCTTCATTGGTCTTACAAGCTCTCCTGGCTTCCACGGTAGCCATGATAGGTCTACCTTTTTCGGTCGACCAAGGTACTGGTATTTGATAGCCGTGTCATACTGGTCAAGGGATATTATATCCCACATGACGGCCGCTTTGTTTAGATCTGTAGAATATATTAGCGTATAGGATATTTTACCAAGAGAACAATGGAGTGGAAATCGGACTTACCCCGATGCACAATTCTAGCGTCGTGAAGGCCTTTCAAAGCCACTAGCAACTGCCTTGCTGCGGACATGCGGGTAGCCAATGACTTTTCCCTTAGACACGTCACTAAATTCGGGCCTCGTAAGGGAAATACCAGTACCTGGTGCTGAGTACCTTCATGGCCAGGGAGGTAGAATGTCGCCTGGTAGGTGATAAGATGGGAGGTGTCCTGCACGGCCTGAATGATTTTGTTTTGCATAAGTTGCTCATATGACCCATCCTGGCCCGAAATCAAAATCTTGAGGGCCACATCCCGTTTCTCGTGGATATCGTGGGCCATCCACACAGTAGAGAAGCCACCATGGCCGAGTTTATGCACGATGCGATATCTCTGAACGAGGACCTCCCCGATACAGATAGGGTAGTATAAAAATTCGCGGTATCGTTGGAGGGGCTCAGCATAAAACTCTACCTCATCATAGTCATCGGTGTCAGAGTCGACAAAATCCCCATAATCAGAGGTGCAGATGTCGTGAAGCGACATGGCCGATTGACGTTGTGGTGCTCAGCGCCGTGTTTGCGGAAACTGTGGTGTTTGTTCCAAGGTTTGGGGTTGCTATCGCGTCTAGGCGTCTAGATGGCGAAGAATATATCCGTAGTCGTAGCTTGTGGACCCTGGGGAAGGTGATACCCTTGAGGTTGCCCTTGGAGTGAGGCTGTCGAATGCTCGCAAGATACAGGAACGTGTACTGACGCCAACACCACCGATGCAAAGACGCGGTGATGCAATAATATTCTAGGTTGGGAGATTGCGTGTGTGCAGATATGCGAACGATAAAAAGATAGACAGTACAGAGTGGGAGACAGAAGGATAGCTGATAAGTTTTCGAGTTGGCGGCCTACTCGAGTACGTCTACTCGGTACCCGTTGGCCTTAGGCCGCCGCCCGGTCTCCTACTCCTTCCGGTGTCTTCCTACGGGACTGACTGGTCTTTGGCCAGCCAGCCCGCCAGCCTTCCACTGCTGCGATTCTGGACGGGTTCGCTGCTTGCAGTGTTGGTTGGTTGGTTGGCAATTGGTTGTTGTCATGTTGATTGGGTAGGGTCGGATTTAGACCTTGCCAACCTAGCCCGACAACCTCCACATGCACCTTCCCGTGCTTACCTACCTTGGTTGAACTTAGTTCCCATTTCAGTATTTGCATAACGCCGCCAGTGACTGGTAGCCGAATCGACTTCTAACAACTTCCTAGCGCTGGAAGATTGCCTCAGCGAGGTCACTAAAGGCCGATGTCCAGAATCCTACCGCCCTTAAAAAGACCTCACCTAGGTGGTTGCTAATGGATGAGTTGGTGTGCCGCGTGCGTGAAACTCCAACTTTGGATCATAGGGCAGACCGCCATGAGCTTACTGGCTAGCTAAGAGCGACGTCCTATAACTAGTTCATGGTTAAGCCCTGAGATAGACCTATCACTGTGTGTTGCACAGGCGTATCCTCCAGTTCTAACTGGGTAGTTGGTGGCTTTCAATTGTGAATCGTGAATCGGCAGGGAACCATGCGAAGTCCAGTTTCACAATCCAGTTTTGATAGTGGCGAAGGGCCAACCTCTTACATGGTAGCGGTTCTTGTCGTAGATGACCAGCCCTACTATGCAGCCAAGCTATCCCCAGTTCCTTAGAAGAGCCTTGTGTTGGCTGATTACTCGTTTTAACTATGGTGTGGACAAGCCACATCCAGATAAGTTGCTTAGAGCCGTCTTTGACTAGAGCTGTCGTTGACTATAAAACCAGGTAGATATCATCACGAATTATAATAGCCCACACTCATTGCCATCTTTCCTCTCCAAGTTCCCTAACTCATTAAGAAACATCTCCTTGTCCAGCAACATCTCCTTGTCCAGCAACATCTCCTTGTCCAGCAACATCTCCTTGTCCAGCAGCATCTCCTTGTTCAGCAACATCTCGTTCAGCAACATCTCGTTCAGCAACATCTCGTTCAGCAACATCTCGTTCAGCAACATCTCGTTCAGCAACATCTCGTTCANAGCAACATCTCGTTCAGCAACATCTCGTTCAGCAACATCTCGTTCAGCAACATCTCGTTCAGCAACATCTCGTTCAGCAACATCTCGTTCAGCAAAACTGTTTCATTTAGCCGTCGATCATGGCTTATACTGCTTATCCTCACTGCCTTCCGGTCGACGTATATGATGGTTATATCAACAATATCAACGTCAAATGGAGCCCGACCACAAGAGAATGGCTCCCTCAAAAGGCCGTAGATTGTAAAACGTCGGTACAGATATTAAAGTCTCTAACTGAGCATTATCTTTATTTGTCTGCTCACCGAATGGGAAGCACTCAGGTCACTGTTAAGTACGCCCCCTGTGAGACGCGTTTTTATCTCCAATGTTGCTTAGTAAACTAACTCTCTCTTGATATCTAGGTCAACACCCCATGACTTTACTATAGACAGTAAGACTGGCCAGCAAACAGCAGACGGCATGCATGTCAGTGGCAGAATGGTACCAGGTCAATACCATGTTCACGTTTATATCGAAGGTGTAAACGCGACCACCACACCCTACGAGAGGATGACCTGGGTAGGAGAAGGTGTAACGAAGGCTGGTAAAAAGGGCAAGCCACCCACTTTCTACCATAACTTGAGCTGTGGCACCTATCCTGGGGCGGCAAATTCCGGGGCCACAAGCACGAGTGGACATGCCGCGACGTCGGGTTATACGCATGTGTCAACTATGGCATCCTCAGCGGCTGGCCCGAGTGGTCAAGCATCGACGTCGAGTTATTACCCGGCTAATTATACGCCTGCAACAGCTACGGCATACCCAATCGCCAACGTGACTACTACTGCGACTACAGCTGCCTCCGGATGGATATGGAACAATGAATACCAGAAATACTATCGTGTTGACCCAAAAACCGGGCTGTCGCAATGGCATACTGGTTAACTACTGGTGCTATCATTCCTGCTTTGCTATCGTTCCTGCTTTGCTATCGTTCCTGCTTTGCTATCGTTCCTGCTTTGCTATCCTTTCTTGTTTTCTGTCTAACTTGAACTCGGGTTATGCGTATTTATGGAGGATATTTCTTAGCATATTTATTATCACTAGTTATATTGTTCAGGGGGCATTGCTTAGATTGGTTATGTAATGTTAAGGACTACGTGTATAATTAGGTATGCAAGAGGCACCCTACCTCGATCTAGTCGCTATCTCAAAATTCAAGTGGCGTTAGTTTTATCTTGAAATCTACTGCTCTAGCCATCTGCATGTCCGTGACAATATCTCTTATAGCCCGTGCTTACAGACAACTATTGCATTTCAACCATTCCATTTTGTGATCCTCTTTTAATTCATTCCACCTGCTAGAATAGGAGTGCCTTAAGATTTATAGTAAAAGACCACGTGCGGTATAACTTTAAATTATACCTTGATATCATGCATTAGCCACCATGCCGCTAGATAATCAGGCATAGTACGGCGCATTCTTAGTAGAATTTTTAGTTTTTTTTTATGGAAATACCAGGAACCACCAGCCATTACCTAGTTATAGATCGCCTATGTATCTTACTGCAATTACCTTACTCGAATGTTTAGTCGCAAAGTAAAGTTATTCCCAGATCTGTGCAGAACCTTTGTCATCTGCCCTGCTTGCGATCCTGTCCAGCCACCGCTACTATACAAAGTATAGCAATTGCTTCCTGCCGCTATATCCTATACACCAGACCAAAATTGAGGTTATTTGCAATGTTACGCCTCCGATTGACCAGTCGGCCCCTCCAATTAGTCGATTATCTGCGATTTCGCAAGGTATTATTTTAATTACAATATCAAATAGCCGTTTAGCTTATATCTATTATTTCAACTCCCTTATATGAAATTTGCTACTTGTTAGTAGAGCTCCTACTTGCTACACCCTTTTAATATACTCTGATAAGCATCTATAGCGCACCGAGTACCGCAGCTCCTGGAAAGCAGGAAACAACCAGGGAAGAGCACCAGGAACGATTCCTGGGGGGTCCCGGGTCGTAATTGCTGATTCCAAAATTTTCAAAACACTTTTATACTCGTAAGAGTTTTCCCCTTTATAACTGCCAGTGTGAAACGGAGACCCAGATTAAGGATGTAGTTGCAAAAGAGACAAAATAATTCTACGATGATCGTGGAAGTTACAACCAAATAATAGAGATAGCCTTAGGCGAACCTATTAGTCGTAATATCTACATCTGGATGAAGCTCGTTATGGTTTTATTTGTCGCGTAAGTCTTATGGTCTAACTTTTTTTCTTAACGACAAGGAGTGAGAAGATCCCAAGGAAGAATGCATCCGTAGGCAACTTGGACTTTGGTTATTAGGTTGCTTCATAGTTAAGATGCATCCTTAATTTCTCTCAAAGAATCTTGTTTTTTCGGGACGAGATCATCCTCGACTTCCCTGGCCTTAGCTAACAGTCCACGAAACCAGCTTCCTCTTAAAACGTACGACTTACGTCAAGTTAGACTCGAATACTCTGTAAATTTTCATGATTGCCTACTGCATCTTGGCGTTCTATGAGTTATGTCCCATTTGAACCAGCTCCCGAGAACATCCAATATCAGCTTGTATAGCTGCTCTTGCTCCTAGCAGTTTTTGATCCTTGAATCTTATTTTGTCAACAGCCAAATCAGGTTCTGGGAAGAGTTTGTAAGAGCAACTTCATCAATGAAACCCTTTCGATAAGGCTCGGAACATTCTCCGAGTCATGATGACTGCCTACTGTTTCAACATGCTACTTGAGAGTAAGTTAATTTATATACATTGACAGGGCTTTAACCCCTCCGCCGTCTATAGATCACGCACATATTCCCTAGGGGCCTCGAGGTCGAGATGGACGACGCCGTGGTGGGGTGATGCCGAGGGCCAGGACGTGGTGTTCGAGGTTAAGAAGCTCTTTCTGATTCTATATTCTCCGATATGCACAGTAATAAATCGTTCACTAAATCAAGTAGTGGCATTTCTAAATGGTTAGCTTCACATGAAGAGGTCGATGAGGGTTATGAGGATGAGATATCTGCAGAGGTCAGATAGATGCGGCAAGTCCAGCTCAATGAACTTGAGAACATGCAACATATTTTTGTATTTCGATATATTAAGCAGAAGATAATCACTGCTCTTCCACCAGCGACTGGAATGCTTGCAGTAGATCGCTCTTCAAATCATTCCAATCCTCTAATCCAATACTAATTCTCAACAACTTCCGATCCACCCTGGCATCGGACAATGCGCGCCACTCGATTAGAGATTCCACTCCACCTAGGCTTGTTGCATGATGGAAGAAGGACAATTTTCTTGGCAATCCTCGTGCGAATTCTTCGCTGCGCAGAACGACAGCAAAGACCGGGCCAAAGCCATTCGGCATCTGCTTCCGTACCCAAGGCTCGTCCTGGAGACTCGCATGAAAGATATTCTGAAGAACTGCCTGTATAACATGCTCTTCACTGTTGGGAGCCAGATTCGGTTCATTTAGAGCACGATGGAGCCACGTAATTAGCTTTGCAGAGCTCTGGCTGGCATGTTGCACACGGATTGCCAACGTCCGTATGCTCCGAACACCCAACCAACTCTCTAGATTGCCTATGACATGTCCAAGGGCAAACCGATCCTCGAAGAGTTGCTTTGTCCAGTCCTGACGCTGGGTTGCGAGGACGCCGCATAACATGTCGCTGTGGCCCCCGAAGTATTTCGACCCAGAATGCATGACAATATCAGCTCCCCAAAGGAACGGGTCTTGTAAGCCAGGCGGGGCAAACGTACTGTCTACAACAAGATAAGCACCTCTATCATGAGCTTTCTTGGCATATTCCTCAATACTGAAAGCGGTCCCTAGTGGATTGACTGGGGTTTCAAGCAGGATTATATCTCCATTTTCTAAGCTGCTTGCCGGACAATCAAGACTCAGTTTCTGCAGCCCCGAGAGACGGGAGACAACTGATATTACTTCATGACTTCCATGGTATCCTTCGCCTACTGATACGCGGCGAGGGTTCAGGAGTACCAATGCAGCGTGAAGGGCGGCCAATCCGGAGGCATAGCACACGGCATGGCCGTTCAGAAGAGAGGACAGGATGGCTTCGAACCGTGTTGCATTCGGTGCAAATTCCCGGGAGTAGACGTAATTTTTCCCGTCGAACTCTGCCTAGGCGGTGTATTATCAGTTGCTTGTTTAGTCATAAAGTAAGGAGCCTAGGGAAGGATGGGAACCCACCACTGGATCCTCTGATGGAATCAGCTTCTCGAGCTCGTTGGGGTACCTGAATGTCGTTGACAAATGCATTGGCGGCGCGACATCGGTTACCATATTTAACGGATCATCCGCATGCAATGCTCGGGTCGCCGGGTGGTTTTGCTCTGATGCGGGCATTTTGCGTGGGAAATCGTAGCGTACTAAGAGGTCAAATTAGAATAGAATACGTTCTAAGAGGAATTATAAATTTTAGAACAAGATAAAGAACCTTACTTCTCTCTTTCTATGTTATCTTGATATTTATATTAGAGAGTCTATTTACTAGGTTCTCCATTACCTTGGTGGCGACCTCGTTGGTTTTGCCCCACTCCAGTTAACTTCCTAAAATAAAATTTAACATTCCTGTACGGAGGCTCTGGCCAAAATTCCTGATATACGCTAGGATAAGCCACAGAGCTGGCAGAGCAACGGATACTGCTGGAAGTCTAGGGCATCTCCAGGCCCTTTAAGACTCAGCTTTAGGGGCTGAAGCCTGGAGCCTACGCTGTAGCCGAGTTTCCTCCAGGCTCTCCAGACTCTGCTCCCGTTGCCAGGGGTTCATTGGCCACCCCTGCTTAGCGTATATCAGGGCTTTTGACCACAGGATCAGCGTCATCGTCTAGCAGCCCCACTCCCATTAACTTCCTAATGCAGCAACTACTTTTTTATTTCCCAAGGGACGTTATTATTGGCACGCTGCCATACTCGGTGGAAATATCAAGTCCCGGGTGTACTTGGTGATAAATATATTTATCGAGAGGTAAAACATCCAAGCCAGATTCACCACAGTGTTCGCAATTCTATCCACTTCTTAACACTCACGATGTATCTCCGGGCAGTCCATACGGAGGCAGATATTCTCGTGCTACAACGACTGATCCGGGAGAACCCCCTAGGCATTGTAACGACGGCCATCAGATCACCACAGCACCCGCTCATCCAGTCGAGCCATATCCCTTTTATATTAGATGTGCCCGAGACCGCAGATGGAACATTGTCAAATGGAATACTGCGGGGTCATATCGCAAAGCAAAATCCGCAAGCAAAGGTGTTGATGGAGGCGTTAGCAGCTAGAAACGAGCAGGGTCACGATACACTTGAGCTCTTGGATGAAGTCTTGGTTCTCTTCAATGGACCACACCACCACTATGTCACCCCTAAATTCTATGTTGAAACCAAACCAGACTCCGGGAAGGTGGTTCCAACCTGGAACTATTCTGCTGTAGAGGTGTACGGCAAGGTCAGCGTCTACTGCAATTCCCAGTCGGACGAGACGAGTGCCTTCTTACAGAAGCAAATTGGAGACCTAGTTCAGCACTCGGAGTCGATAATCATGGGCTATACTGGAGGGGAGAAGCCGTCGCCGTGGGAAGTGTCGGACGCGCCGGCTCCCTATGTTGGGATTTTGAAGAAGAATATCATCGGAATCGAGATCAGGATCGATCGTTTAGGGGGCAAGTTTAAGATGAGTCAGGAGCTGAGCAAGGGAGATCGGGAGGGCGTCATCAACGGCTTTGAGAATTTAGGAACGGAGGTTGGCGAGGGGATCGCAGAGATGGTTGGAGAATGCGGCCGGTTGAAAGACTCTCATAAACGGGAATGACTTGATGCCGTTGTCCCACGAGTCCACGACGATTTTCACGTTATGACTTTTAAGATAGCAAGCCCCTCTTGCATCAACGATCTGAAATTGCCACGAACTTGTATAGGTTATAAACTAGGTGGCTCGTTACATAAGCATTCTCTAACAAGCACCATTTAAGTTAAGGGAGTCCCAATAAATATATGCCAGCGTCCGTTTATTGGGACACAAGTTACGCAAGAATCGCTTACTAATCGAGTTTTTGGTGCACGCCTTATTAATTTTTCGTTTCACCATTAGGTAATTATCGCCGCCGAGAATCCCATCCGACTACGAAGGCGGCAAACCCACCCTTTAATACTTCCCTATCCTCTTGATCTCTCCCTTTACCTTTCTTCTATTGTTTTCTGCCAGCTCTAGGATTCCGCGTGGCTACGTCACAGTACCTGAGTAGCAGCTGTGCATGGCTACTCTTCCACTGGTGATTTTTTCCGAATAAAACACAATGTATAATCCATGCTACACATGCCGCCATCGGCACATTGAATGCGACCGATCCCGAATGCCCTGTGCTAAATGTGAAAAGGCGGGGTTGGAATGTTCCGAGAAAAGGCCCATCAGATGGGTGAAAGGCATGTCCATTCGAGGCAAGATGCGAGGACTATCGGTCGAGGACGCCTCAGTTGCAGCAGCAAAATCCAATGGGATATCAGCAAGCACGAGATGTGATTTAATCAAGTCCTCTGCTAAACGCCCAAACCCCCCGATGACGAGTAGTTTTAAGTACAATGGTAAGAAATCTACAAAAAATATAGCTGGTCTTGATGTTATTCGAATATTTAAATGGACTCAATTACTCATAAAAATGTGATACAGATAATACCAGTGGCCCCCTATCAAGTTTATCACTGGTTCTAAACGATCCTTCTGTTTCAAGCTTGGACAGAACCTCCAGATACTACCTAGATTACTGTTAGTATAAAATTCTCCAATCTCATTGGTAAAATTTCAACCTAGAAGGGATTTAACATCCATATGCAGACAGTGAATGCATATGCAAGTTATTCATTGTGTATGACAGTGACCAGAATCCTTTTCGGGGTCTAATATCTCTTGCTTTGGGTGATTCAACCCTACTCAAGGCAATTTTGGCCCTTGCAGCACGGCATAACGCCAATAGACGTTATCTCTTCCGCCAGCCTCTATTGGCGACATTGCCTGCCTCGAGCAACTCCGACGAGGATGCGCTTTTGTACAAATGTCAAGCTATTCAAGGGCTATCACTTGCCTTAAACGATGGTGCACCACGTAGGCAAGACACCATAGCGGCTAGTATATTCCTCTTAATATTTCTGGATCTTTTAGAGTCCGGCTGTGATAGATGGAATTTCCATCTAGAAGGTGCTAAGAACTTGATTGCCTCCATTCGACCGTCATCTGAGTTGGAAATTGGCAACGAGCAAGATCCCGGGCGGACTGTCCAGGCAATGCGCAGCTTTATTACCAGGCAGATCTATCTGTACGTATATCGAACTCACGGAATGACCAATCCACATAGATTGCGGCTAACTGCTAATACAATATCAGGATTGAAACACTCGGAGCAACATTTGTACGCCCTAGGCTACTATCCCAGTCCATTCCGTTAGACCAGTCGGGCATACCACCCCAGGAATCTGTTCAGCAATCATTTCTTGGATGTCCAGATCATTTATTACACGCTATACAATCGTTATCGCTCCAGAGGGACATCGTTGCAGACCTGGCACCATCTGACGATACCGCAATCCTCTCCCATACCCGACATATCACTACCATACTTGAGTCTATACAGAATTTTGATTGCTATATCTGGGCCACAAGCCTACTTCCGCAACCAACGTCACCTTCATTGCAAGATATAAATAAGCTTTGCAAGTTGTCACAGTCATACAAACTCGGCTCTCTTATATATGGCAGGCGTGTGCTTGATGCACTTATGGATAATGTCTCTTCGCAAGATGGTTTGGTTTGTGAATTACTAAGTGTTATTGAAGAATTAAAGGACGACGAAATTTTCTTGAAGTGTATACTTTGGCCTGTTTTCATTGCCGGCCTAGAGTGTCAGTCGCAAGCCCAGAGAACTTTTCTGACTAGTTGCTTAGAGAAATTTTGGGCGGACACGATTTGCTTAAATGTGATGAATGCTTCTAAAATCTTGCAAGAATACTGGACGCGGGAGGGTTGTCGAGAGTTGTCCTCATCACAGTGGATATTTAATGTGGGTCAATTAGGCTGTGACTGGCTCCTTATATAGATAGACCTGGAATATAAAAGCCAACAAAGAAAATATATCTTATCGTCTCTTCTGTCACCGTTAACAAGCACTTATATTCTAATCGCTGTTGTTATGACATTTACTATTGTCGCACGGTATACTTATCACCAACGAAGGTACATCACGGGACCTGACTAATAACAGTGAGCTAATAAGAATGCCCCAGAGAAATAGATAAGTGGTTGCTGTTGATTGGAGTTGATTGGAGTTGATTGGAGGTGATAGGAGTTGGGCTAGCGGCAATTAGTTGACTGCTGGAACGTTAAAAAAAAATTTGGTTTTCTGTTTTAGGAAGTTAACTGGAGTGGGGCCAAACCAAGGATATCGCCAAGGAAATGGAGAACCTAGTATATAGAGTCTCTCAATATTAATACAGAAAGAGAGCAGTAAGGTTCTTTTTTCTCGATCTTTAATTTATAATTCCTCTTGGAACACTATTATATTCTAATTCGTCATTACGTTACGATTTCTCTTGTAGAATGCCAGCATCAGCAACAAATTATTGCCCTCGGGAAAATCAGAATTCGATAGCATCACCAGCTCCATCCGCTACACAAGGGGAAGAGAGTGCTCCAACTGCAGAATCGACGGAGTTGGAAGATGTAAATCAACAAACGTCATGCTGCAATAGCATCAAGCTCACCACTATTGGAGGCAGCGAGGACGATGAATTTGAGCTGGAGGGGCGCAGGAACGTCGATGCCCGGGATGGCAGGATAGATGACTCGAGCAATGAAGCTCGAGAAGAAGAGACCTTGGAGGGGAGAATTGAGCGCCTAGGTCGCGAGCGGCCCAAGCAATTCAAATCCCTATGGGCTGAAGTCGCTTTTGTCTTCTCCGTTGCGATGTCCCAGGTTCTTAGTGTAAGTACTTTTCCATGGCCACCGGTTCGGATCTAATAGTTTTAGGAATACTTCGTCTCTGGTTTCACGGTTGTGCTCCCCATCGTCATTATCGATCTAGGAATGCCCGTAGCATCAAGTATCTGGCCCGCCTCGGCCTTTTCCCTGGTCGTCGCTGCGTTCCTGCTGATGTTCGGTCGTCTCGGGGACATGTACGGCGGCTACCCATTGTATGTAGGCGGCATGGCGTGGTTGGCGCTGTGGAGTCTGATCTGCGGGTTCTCCCAGAATGAGTTGATGCTAGACTTTAGCCGCGCGTTGCAGGGCTTAGGACCAGCAGCATTCTTGCCGAGCAGCGTGATGTTGATTGGGAGTATTTACAGGCCAGGGCCAAGGAAAAATCTGGTATTTTCCATTTACGGGGCTGCCGCTCCGGTTGGATTCTAGTAAGTTATCTTTGGTCTATAGCATCGTGATACCGACACTGACAGCACCAGCGTTGGCATCTTTTTCGCAGGAGTTACTGGTCAGTACACAACATGGGGTTGGTACTTTTGGATCGGCATGTTCCTCTCCCTCGTCACGGCCATCACGTCATACCTGTATATCCCTTCTGATATCAAAGAGCGCCGAGCGTTAGGTATTAAAATGGACTGGCTCGGTGCCATTCTCATAATCGTCGGCCTTATCCTCTTTACCTTCGCCATTATCGACTCCGCGCACGCACCCCAGGGTTGGAAAACGCCTTACATCTACGTCCTCTTTATTGTCGGCTCTCTTTTCCTCCTCGCTGCGGTCTATGTCGAAACCTATGTGGCTGATGAGCCCCTCCTCCCAGCCTCTTTGTTCAAAGTCAGATGCATGACGCCGCTCGTGTGTGCTCTCTTCCTCACCTATGGCTCCCTAGGTATATTTCTCCTCTATGCCACCTTCTATATGGAAAACGTCATGTCAGCTTCCCCACTCCTCGTTGTCGCCTGGTACACTCCTATGGCACTAGGCGGTATTTTCATCTCCACCTTCGGCGGCTTCATTCTACATCTCCTCTCAAGCACAATGCTCATCTACATCGCGGGCCTTTCCTGGATCGTTGCCCCGCTGCTATTCGCCATCGCCCCCTCTGGTGCTAACTACTGGGCCTACATGTTTCCCAGCATGATTTTTGCCACCATTGGTATAGATGTAACGTTCACCGTGGCGAATATCTTTATCACTACCAGCTTGCCCAAGAAAGAGCAGGGCCTAGCCGGCGCGTTGATCATGCTGCTCTTGCATCTTGGTATCGCTGTTTGTCTTGGGTTTGCAGATATTGTGAACAGTAAGACCCTGTCAAACCTAGGGCAGAGAAAAAGCTATCAGGCAGTATTCTGGTTTGAGGTAGCCTGTGCAACTACTGCACTGGTGATTTTGGTTCTGTTTGTGAGGGTTCAGAAGGCAACAAGTGCGCTCACCGTTGATGAGATGGCGGAAATGAAAGAAGTGGCGCGACGAGAAGCTGAGCATAGTGCTGGACATGTGCTAGTGAAGTCGAGTTCATTGGATCCAACCGCGACGGGTCATGCTGGGAGCTCTTTACCATATTTGCCTCCGAACCGTTGACCTTCTACTTACTAGCTTAAAATCGAAGCACATTAACCTAGCTCTGAGGTAGACAAATTAATATACTATCAGCTGATTCTATCGAACAGCCCTTTTCCAAGACCCGACCTACGGATCTTGATTTGGTGCCAGCTTTACCTGATCTCTTCTTCCCTACACGAATAATGTAACCTAGCCAAAAGGGTAGTTAGGTAGATTAGTAGTTGAGCGGGTGATCACCAGCTGATACCTGCTGTTGTATGTTTATTTATTTTTGAAATCGCTGAAGATGAAGTGGCTTTAGGTTATAGAGCCACAACAGGGCTTGGACGACGGAGCATGGGGGCTTATTTCGATTCCTCGGCTACAATTACTATCAACAGCCAAATTTAATAAATAGCTCAAGGATTGTTGTAGGAACTTGTTTTGGATATCTTTTATTCCCCGGTCGTAGGTGAATAGTAGATTTTGAGACCCGCCTAGCGAGTTGCTTGGTCGTATAAAGAAGGGCGGGAGACAGTTAATTTTTGTTTTGATATAAGTTACGCTAATAAACGTTACTATCTATAGGTACCCATAGTGGACGTGTGCGCAAGCGTACATCGACATATAATACTAAGGGTAAGAAAGTAAAATTCTCTACTACTCAAGCAGTAAAGAAAATACATTCCAGGATAGCATCCTAGCATAACTCCGAAGGAGATATAAATCACCCCAACTAAGAGCCCTGAGGGAGAAGCACCGTGGGTGATTATTATCGCCACGACTACAAAGAGGATAACTCTTATGATGCCCACCAGTGGCCGCCTTTTCCTCCAAGCTCGACGCTGGGCACTCTTTCCTGGCTCGATTTGCTCTAGTCGCTGAAGCTAATTATAGGTCCTTAGAGCTCTCACTCAGGTGCATCGGGAAGTCTCTCGATCACATATTTTCCTCTCGCGACAGACATTATGGGGACACCGGGGATTTTCCTTACTGCTAAGTATCAGTATCATTCTTCTAAGAACGTTTAGGTGGGGTAGATTTTGCTTACTCCTCCGTTTAAGATCGCGATCGTTCGTTGCTACGATATATATCTTATGCTTTGTAACCATATCGACGAGACAGTCATCGGCATAGTTACCGCGATGATCGCAGGCCATCCTTTGCCATCGCTCGTCTCTTGCGATCCGAAGAGCGATCCGATAGCGCGGGCCCAATTTCTCCAATTCAGCAAGGACGCACGTTGTGATAATCGGGTTACATTTCGCGAAGAGTACGTCCATCATTGATTCGAGAAGAGGCAGCTTGCGCTGGACCGTATGGCTAAGGAAATTTGTCAAGTGGGGTGTTAGTTATGCTAGCGGTGGGCAGGCATTGAATTACTTACATCGACGAGAACAGAATATGGAGGAACCAGAGCAGTGTTGTACTGGAAGAAGAGAGAGGACGACACTTGAGGGATCTCGCGGACAGCTTGCGTGCTCTCGCTGGCTTCCTTCTTTTTTTCGATCTCGCTCTCTTGATTCTTCTTCAGTCGCGCATCGCGAGACCCAATTATTCGTTTGACAGCCCCGAACTTGCGAGTTTTCTTTGCGTTGCCCATTGTTCCAAATTGCTGTAGCTGATGGCGTAATTGTTTTCAGATAAGAAGTACGTTTGCCAGTATCATATAGATTTCCAAGTAGAATACAAACGAGTAGTGAAGTTATCGCCGCTTTTTCGGGCCGACTGTTATTCCGATATCGTTAAAAAAAACTCACATCTCGGACGGAGAAACAATTGGGCGGGCGACTGCCAAGCAATGGACAACGCCTACGGAGTAGTTGATAACCACAGACCTCGCCATTTACATGACAACGACATTTCTGTGAGTCAAACCCTGGTCGCCAACTCGCATGCTCGCCAGTATACATGATTATTGTGGATCAATGGATCTTGAACAATATAAGGACCTCATCAATACTTGCTATGTGGAAAATTCACGCCTGCGCGTATTGCTGAAAGACTGTGGTCGGGTTTTCGGCTCAAGGTTGCCCGATACTGTATGCCGTGGCATCAAGGACTGGGACATCCCGTACAGCCTGACCCTCGATCAGTGCAAAGACCGTATCGGTGCTTGGCATACCTAGGTATGGAAAGAAGGGCATCTGAGTAGGTTATGCAAAAGCTGTGGAGGGAATATTAAGTCAAGGTCCCAAGTATAACCTTGTGCCGTCAAGAAATGAAATGGGGATTCCCTCCGCCAAAGTCCGGAATATGTCCAATATATCTGGAATTACAGATAGGTATGATCATGGCCTGGTGTTTAGAACGATTCAAATTTTCAAATTTCATCTCAAAAGCTATGGTTAGAATTCCAAATAAAGGTCATAATCGCCACCGTCAGCCTTCATACTATGAAATGCGGTATTCTGCGAAGGAATGCGTAGGTGACACAGAAGCAGTTGAGATACTTAAGATAGAAGACTAGATTCGACAGCATGTAGATGCATATTAGTATTTGACTATTTTTATTACGAATCTAGGCACCACAAACTAGCTACTCAACAATCTATCTCTAATTGTGTTGATTGCGAAGTATTTCTCATGTGCACTATTCTTCCACGTTTTGAGGCTAACATTATGAGGCGTGTTGTCTTACTAGAGGAATGCCAGCTTTCGTTCCTTCTTCTCGGAAGGCTTCTTTAGCTGCTTACTCGATGCTTTTTGTTTATTATTATAAGTCTTCGCGAAGGGATTCAGTATTCTGCTCCCGTCAGACTCTGTAACAGCCCCCAAGTACCGAGTCTTATAGTTCTGGAAAACTACCTGGCATGGGGAAATTCCCGACTTCCCCAAACAGAGCGCAGCTCCTGATACGCCCACGATACCATTGTCATCAACGTTCGTCCTCCAGATCAAGAACTTCGTAGTCGTCGCAGTCTCGCGCTGCTAGATATAGTCCATGCTAGTAACTAAGCATTCCGCTGCCTGTTATGGCAAGACGCTCCCCTTAAAGGTTTTCCATTGAGACGTATAAATGTTAAAGTGGCTAAGAAAGGCATGTGTTGATGCCAAATGCCATATTCTGATGGCTTGGAACGGGCCTAATAGTCAACCATCGTCCGCACTCATTTTGGGATTCTTGAAACCACGAAACGGAACTAACGTTGCTGAAAGTAAATGGACGAAATCGAAGAACACCAAATATTTTGAACTGGTAAGATTATGAGGTTGGGTATCTAAAGAAGGAACTCTCCTTGATATATAAATGGCCGCTGGTCATAGGTATATTGTGTATTTTCCCGCGCTCCTAGTATTGGCCGAAAAATGATGAACAGTATGGCCAGAATTGACCCAATTGAAAATATATTTCCACCTCTTTGGCCGGCAGCAAGTACCTCCAGAATAGAATTAACTATCTTGAACAGTGCAAATTCTCGACAGATCAAACACTACGCTTTCCAACTCTGGAAGTGACTAAAAACAAATCAATTTAATGGGCAACCGCTCGATTCAACACCAACGAAAGCAGGACCATGTCCGCTATTGCCCTAAATATTATACTTTACTAATCTTGAGTTCCCACCCCTCCGGTCATAATAGTCCTCGGACGTGCGAAACGGGTTCTGGTAGATGTTGATAGGTACTTCTAGAGACTTCTTTCAACCGCCGATGTGGTTGGCAGCATTTGCGATGTGGCTCTGCTTAATCGAAAAAATCATGATAGGTAACCTGGCATGGTCCATCGTATTGCACACCATGACGAGAAGTGCTTACATACCTTAGTATATAGCCATAATACTTGTTCCCTAGTCCGTTGTTGTTGCTGCTAATTAATTAAGGGTCTAGAGTGGCGTGATATGAATTCAGGTACTGACGATACACAGCCATTATTGAAAGCGGTCGGGGCGCCTCGGTGCGGGAAGAAGGCGGCTGCCGGCAGAATGTCAGGGGCTGAGCAACAGTGCGGTTGAGCTACTACTCGAGTATTGCGCCGGGTTTCCTACTCGAGTACTTGCACTGGGCCTAGACCGACCTATACGCAGATGCCTACGTACTAAGTGGCGTGAGAAACATCGGATGGTATTCCCAATCTCATGGTCCTTCGTTGCGCGGATACCTATTGGCAATGGAGCACTATACTCCGTACTGCCTGCGCATCTCGACAATCACCCGAGGTCACGATGGCTCCAGCAGGACGACGCCCTCAGCGGTATATAAATGACCCCGATGGCTAGCTATGGATACGATGTATCTTGAACGACAACATAGCAGTCACGAATACAATCGCCAATACATCAGAACCAAAGACAATCAATTATCTTAGCATCATTGCTTCAAATACGAATACACCCACAAAAAACAATATCTGATTCGGACCCACGAATTGATTTCCAACTAAAGAAAACGCCGCACAATCTGCCAATTACAAAAATTGCAACTTAGAAGACTCAACGCCATGAGGGGCTATACCAACATCATGTGCGCGACCTGCAACCAGACCATTAGACTCAACGGCAATGGTGGGAAGGTCGAGATCCAGAACACCGATCATCTTTGGGAGCAACAAAACAAGCAGACAAAGGGGGAGCCACTATACTATCTCGTGGTGACCGCGTTGAAGGACCAAGAAGCTCAGGGAGATTGCTCTACTCAACGCTTCGTATGTTTATATTTGCCCTAATACAGTAGGGTTGATTGGCTAACAGGTTAATGTCAGGAATTCCAATCACTGCGCCACCTTACAAATGCCGTGGATCAAATTGAAGCGGGATTTGGTGGTACGGTTGCTCTGCGGAAGTGCGGCGGAGAGTTGCCGGATGCAATGGGTGGCAGGGTCAACGATGGGCGGTGTGAGAACGTTACAATTGAGTTCGATAGCAACACGGCGCAGGAGGGGTGGGACAAGTTCCTGCTCAGGTTGAGGGGTATGGAGAAGGAATGGCGAACTGCAAGCCAGTGAGACTGTGCCTTTGCAACTGCGGATACGGGAAAGGTTGGAAGTTCCCAAGTTCCCATCTCCCACGTGTTGCGAGAACAAGAACATATCGTTCATATATTATCACTATAATATGGACGAGGAGGGCTCCGCCGACGTGGACATGAATAAATTCGGGTCCACATGGACGAGACTGGGAGGTAACTGCGCTGTTCGGTGTTACATCAAGAGAAGACAGGCAAAGGAGGCCTATGATTTGAAGGGCTAAATACGATGGAGTTTTGAAGCATTTGGAATGCTGCAGAGTAGCAGGTATTGATTATATAAACACACGGGTTTGAATAGAGACATATATCTTATCTTAGCTCAGCATCCAGTCGCATTGTCCAGGTGATTCTCCAGCGATGTCTCGGGCCACTTCAAGCCGCGTCGCATTTGACTTTGCTGCAGAATGCTTGCACCAAGCCCCTGTTAGTGGAAGATAACCTTTGGTAAGGCTGTACGGGTGAAACGTGCGTTGAACATTGTGTTTTCATGAACGACGCTTTTATTATGCGTACCATGCATTTGTTAAATGCATTTGTAAGTACTTCGTTGGATCGGCAGGGTTGAAGTGAAGTTGTAAACAGCATGAGGGGACAGGAGAGGGATGGTTGAGATAGTAGGTATTGATTACCAGCTATCAACTGCTGTTAGCTCCGAGGCTTGTCGCTAAATTAATCATCGTATCTAGAACAACACCACGACCACTTCCTCGTCGTCGTTCATCATCCAATCTTCGCACGTACCACTGTACGTAGGACATCCCCATAAATCTTCCGCGGGCTCGCTGATATGTTATCGCATCTCAGGATCCGACAAGTGCTCGGACAGTGGCATCGTCCTACTTGCCGCTGGAGCATTTCTATTGGCCCGGTCCCTGTAGTGTTCTGTTGCATGAACTCGGCCGTCGGATCTACTCGCCCTGAAACTGCCAACATAGCGCATTTGAACAAACACTGGCTCGACTCGGCGACGGTTGGCCGAGCAGAATCTTTTATGGCACTCGGGAACGTATCTATCAGATTCCACCTCCCATAATTCATTGTTTGATCGCCGAGTATGCACCTGTTAGCCGCGACAGACGGTCGGTTTTGCTCATGCCATAGAAAACCCCACGGTTTGTGCAGTGTCACAAAGTCACTTTCGTGGGGAAACCTAGACTTGCGATAGCTCCCAAGTCCAATTCCAAATCTACTCTTCTGTCTATCCAGCTTCTGCCTGTTCGGTTCTGATATTCTCGTCATTCTGTATTGCTCTGCCAGTCATGAAGCTTTTCGAAAACCTCATACTTTGATATACATTTTTTAATGCACAGTTAGCGGATTCCATACTCGACACACACATGATGCCCAATTCCTCTCAAGGAGATGGTTCTCTACCACCTAATCACTTATTCGAAAGCAACATGCACCAACCACACGGGGAGGACACTCTCAGCAATACGTTAGGTATCCCCACAGCGACAGTCATAAATCAGGTCACAGTTCAAGACCAGTCGCCACTCATTACACCACCTCCAGATCTTCGTCGACGAGATCCGGTACCTCAAGATAATAACTGCCAGCAAGCTGAACAGAGTGCGAGTCAGGCCGTCCGGGAAGCCTCCCAATCTGCCTCCCAATCCATACAGCAAGCTCAGCAATCAGTTTCTCAAGCTTCGCGTGAAGCCGGGCAATCAGCTTCCGACGCGATACGACAAGCGCAACAGAGCGCTTCCCAATCTATTGCGGCTGCTTCTAGAGATGCGTCACAATCCGTGTCTTCAGCAAACTCCGTCGTAGCTAGTGTCCAGTCCTCTGCATCAGCAGCCATTTCTCGCGCAAATGGGTCTGCAATCACAGCACAGGCTAGTGCGTCGTCTGTACAGGTACGTTTTGTCCGCAAATATAATACTTCCTAGTATGAGGTCATGAGTAGAGCTTGGTCTAATACATTATACAGGCCGAAGCTTCGAGTGCAATACTTCAAGCTGGGGCTGCAGTAGCAGCGGCAACTGGTATGTTTAATTACCCTTGGATAATACCAATCCCCGGAATAATGATTCTAATGGCCCCCTTGTAGGCTCTGCGGCCTCTGCTGGACAATCATTTCTTTCCGCTGCAGCAGCGGCTACCCTAGGCGCACAAGCTTCTCTGGCAGTTATTGGAGTAAGTTTGCATCTCCATGACGGTGGATTGATCTAATGATTTGTAGGCAGCAGCATCATCTTCAGCTTCCGAAGCGTCCGCTCAAGTATCGGCGTCACAGTCGGCAGCAGTGACTGCTACCCAAGCAGCATTAGCAATTGTTGGCAGCATTATCGCCTCTACATTAATAACGATCCTGATCTACTTCCTCATAATACGACATAAGAAATTAGTAAAACGCCGGTCACGAGATGAGAATAAATCACTCTCCCCTCGATTTCCCTCAGATCCTAAATTCCCTACTTCAGCTGAGATTGCAACTACTGCCGCCCCTTCACAATCAGCTTATAACGTGACGAGAAAGAGTCAGAGAATTAACTCCGAAGCGTCGCTGTCTGATTTCCCTAATACTCCTAGAAGAGGGGATGTTAAGACTACATCTCTAGCCTGGAACCCAACGCAGCCCCCGAAGCCTCCTACTCTAGGATCCTGGCTGAGAGTGCAAGATGGCGTGTCCCCATTTGGCTCCATCAAGCTTCCTACCGACAGCGAGTCCAAGTCACCTCTAGGCGGGCAGATCAAATCTCCATTACGCAGTTTTGATCCACCGCAAAGTCCAAAACAAGAACGAAGCACACTTTTCAACAACCCTAATCCCAATATCTCCCAGAGCGGTACCATACCCGCAGCCAAACAACTGATAAAAAGCTTTTTAACACGAAAGCCTCTCAGTCCAGAAAACTCAGATTCCATACCAAAACAGCCACCTCCAGAGAATCCTACCAGATATCGCGAATCAACTGCCAGTGTTTGGACAGACGAAATACCTAACCAGACTCCCTCCCCACCTCTGCGCACCCCACCTCCGGAATTACGCACCGCAACCGTCGCCCAAGGCTACAACATGCAACTCCCCGCTTCACGAAATCCCGTCCGCACAACGGCGGAATGGCTCGAATCGATACAAGAAGCCTCCGCTAGCAATCAAACCCAACGCAACTCCATCGTTTCTCGAAGCTCAAGAGGTGCATTCGGCCTCCCCCGCAATCCCAAACCCGGACTCCAGAGTAGATTTAGCTCGAATCAAGGAAAGGCTCGGAGTATAGAGTGGGAAATTGGGTTTGTGCAGGGATTGGATCGGTTTTTACCTGGGGATAGGACGAGTAGGATTGGGAGTGATAATAGCACGCCTGGGGGTTCGAGGAGGAAGAGTAATGTAACGAGAATTGAGGTCGATAGGACTTCGATTGGTACGCCGGGGGTAGGGAGGGCGATGTGAGGATATTTTGAGAAAGGAAAAGTGGAGGCGTGAATATGTATATTTGTAGAGAACGAATATTGTGCATAGGCTCGGTGCCAAGTAGTTAATTATTGAGATATAAAACCTTGTTCAAAACTTCAACAAGTCGTTCCATCTTCGGGATATTCTATACGGTACAGTTGAACTTCACGTGACAGAGACAGTGGTATTGGCATGTCTTTTGACTGCGATTAAAAGAGGTGAGTATAATTATTCGTCGCTGATAGTGTCATTATGTTATAGATTTACGCAAAGCAGTGAATTCTTATCTAATGCATAGGAAGTCCAGGGAGTTACTTTGTGCTTCGTACCACGTACTGCTAGTAGCGTGATTTTCCACGAGGGGCGGAGCTTTTGTTGCATGTCGCACCTTTTGCTATCTGTCATTTAACGGCCACCAGAGTTGGGCATGTTAGCAAGAAAATACAGTACAGAAGACAGTACGCCAACACTTGCCAAGTGCCCAAACTTACCTTTTTTGAGCCTAGAACCAGGATTGGTACCCAGGTACTAGTAATGTTACGTGGTGAGGAGGAGCCAACTCTAGACCGAAACGTTATATAATTATCTTTAGTTTAGAAATCGCAGTCGTTCATATTGGTTACAGTGGTTTAGTACCTCTAATTATATAATCCAAACAAAAGGTGAAAAGAGAGACAAGAAACTTAATTTTGAACGAATCAAAATATGGTTAAAGTTAAGCATGCTCCGGTTCGTAGCCTTACATACAATACCTATGTATATGAAACCCTCTACCCAAAATGTCTCACAAAATACGTATAGTTAAGGGTAACTTGATGTTCTAAACATGTGTTGTATTTGTATTTCCCGGTTGCCAATATCCAACTATTGCCCATTCTGAAACCCGACATTGTGAATTCCAAATCCGAAATCAAAATCCCAAATAAAACATCCAGGGTGCACATATCTGCAGAACCCCCACACATCGACAAAAATAAGCACTGCAAAATCCGCATTCCCGATGGAACAAAAATCCAAAGCAAAAAATGGCATACATGCTGTGAAATGACGCCGAGTACATCTCCTTCCCGTGATTATCCCGTTATACGCCGGCCGGCCTTGCTCTGGCCATATACGGGAACCCTTCGGTTGTCCTCATCGACGGAGATGGACCTCGAGGCAGTCGTTGCAAGGGCCTCTCGAATCGCACGACAGTGGCATCCGGCTATCCTTGAATTTTCACTCAGAAGCGCCGCATCCTAAGATGTCTCCCCCTCAGACATGGGTTCCTCCGTCCTACTGTCGCAGCATCTATCCCGCTTGCTATACCGCCTAGCTCGTGCCCACCCGGCATGCTAGCGGTTGTTCCGGTTTCTTGGTGGTGGAATAAACTCGTGAGAGGAATCGAGTATGGAGAAGGAGAGGTAAAAGAGGTTTGTTGGCGCACTTATTTTGTTAGTTGAAACTGTACACTGCTTTGTGATATGCGTGGGTTGGGGCATTGTACATACCGACTGTGCCCCAGATATGGGGGCCGCTATAGTGCGAGAGGTTTGTTGGTGTCTGAGTAAAAGGATGCCACTGGAGATGATGGTATATAACAGCGAGAATATTATTTCCTTGGAAATTGTTTTGTGTTGAAATGATGATTCTTTTTGTCGCAAGATACTGAGGCATATAAGTAGCTGTGGTGCAGCGCTGAATGAGGCTGACATGCAACTGGTCGGGTCAATATTGGGGCTGTGGGTGGTCAATAGGAGGGCGGCTCGAGCCGCTAAGTGGCCTGCGAAATATGTACAGTTCCTGCTTTTGCAGATGGGGTTTCAGGCTGGCGAGCCAATAATTATTAATCAAGGCAGTGTTCACCAAGAGCGAATAAAAATAAGCATTGCGAACGCCCTGTATCTGGCCAGACGCGAGGCACTTTACGACAGGCAGGGCGCATTTCCCGTCAGCACTACTGAGGTTTGTCTGAACAAGGTCGCTAGCTGGGCGTTACAGATGCCATAGCCACAGCCCCCCGGAATTTGGCGAGACATTAGGGGGCTGAGCGCCTGTCGACGTAATCCCCTTCTGCTTACTACTTACTACCTACGTACTACAAGTACAGAAGGGTCTACGTATACCTATGTACGATACTACGAAATCTACTTGAAGCCTCCTCTGTCTTGTCTCAGAGGTGCATATCTCATACTCCATATAGCCAATCCCCATCGTTGAAAGATAGCTTATTTCTGTGTCTCGTGCACTGTGTCGATTTCAAATCAAAAGCTTATTCGTGGTCATCCCGAGAATTTGGGATTCCATTATCTGCCGTCTTCACGCGGACATAATGCGTGGAGCATGCTGTGGCTACGGTGAGCTCTTCCTCGTCCCATGTCTTATTATCCACGTGAATAACAGGATCGGGATTCCTTTCAGCCAATTCCTCCAGAAGTCTCCGTGCCTGCAGGAGTATTCGAGTTGAGATCCTGATTCACTAGCCAACTGTACCCAACCACTACGTTATAAATTTGCAAATAGCTTAGCCTACACTAGATCCGCAAAGTCACGCTGGGAAATCCTCATATGATAATCAAACGATCGAACTAATTGATATTTTGGTTTTCATCGCGCATACGCACATATAAAACATAAGGCTAGGTATACATACAAGAGGGGATATCGCTCAAGACCAACATTCGACCGCATGCTCGCGCCGATTTGGCACCAAAAGGAGAAAACCAACGCTAAACCACATGGATAGCCCAACAAAAGAGAGTTTTTGAGACCTGTCTGCATATTTCTTTGTACTTCGTACTTCATACACTCTTTTATACCCGTACTACCAAAAAGTGACAGTAGAACAACAGCAAAGCTCACTTCTTCCACTGTTTGGTTGACACAACCTCTGGCAACGCGGAAAAGATCCTGTCTTCTCACCAGCCCCGTCTTCATAACCATTATTTACTTTTATCTCCACTCCATCATATGTGGTACAACACATACTCTATCCATGCTGCTAGGATATTTGCGGATAAGAATATTGTGTAGACTCTCACAAATTTATCTGCGAACAATCCGACAGCCAGCACAGGAGTCGAAGGATGCTTTTCATAGCTCATCTTTAGCACTCGCCGTTGGTGCCGCACCAACGGCAGAGCTGGCGCTACTAGCGAACTCCTCGAGGCCCTCGCTGGCCTGTTTAACATACTCTTTGGCGCCCTCGTCAGCCGAGGCCGCGAAGTCAGCCAGCCTCGCCCTCGCAGATTCAACCGCACCAGACAGCCTGGATTGGGCGCTCTCTGCAGCGTCCTGAGCGGACGAATATGCTTCGCCTGCTACGGATGAAGCTGATGCGTAAGTATCACCAGCAGCGCTTGTAACAGACTCGAATGCGCCGGTGGGAGTACCATAAATTGCCTCCGAGATGGCTTTTTGTGCAGATGCGGCGGCGTCAGCAATGGAGCTCGAGGCTGCTTCCGCGTAACCTGTGCTCGTGCCGTAGACTTGGGCACTTGCTGCCTCTACTACGTCATGGACTCGTGACGAAGCTGAGTCGAGGATGGCTTCGATGGTTGGGGGAGGGATGAAAGCGGACCCGACGACTGAGGCTGCTGATGCGTATGCCTCACTTGCATACGATGACGCGGAAGATGCTGCAGCACTAGCACCGGTGTAATATGCAGAGCTGAGCTTACTGTAAACGCTTTCTGTAAAGTCAGGCTCCTTGCCGGATACAAGTTCGCTGACTAAAGACTGAACAGCGGAGTACTGAGAAGCAGCCGCATCGGTAACTTGAGCCGCATATTCTTGGGCCTCCGAAAGAAGGCGCCGAGTGACGAAGTAAGGCGTAGCCGCACCGTATATTTGGCTGCTGGCTTTGGTGACCAAAGCCTCCCAGTTTTCGCTAGCACGTGATGCAATTGATTCGGTCATAGGCGTTTCGCTGCCTATGATGGCGGTGGATGCTTGGGATGCCCCCGCTTGTATCTTATCAGCGATCACTGATGAGATGCTTGAGTAGGAACTTGAAGCTTCGGCAACCGCGGCGCTATATCGCGATGATGCCGCTGCGGCCAAGCTCGAGGTAGGAATGACCTCTTGGGTTGATCCAGCTAATGAAACGGCAGACAGAACTTGGTTAAACTCTGAAGAAGCGCCGGACAGGGCGCTTGAGTAGAAAGCCTTAGCAGTACTCAAGGCTTTTTCGTATCCATGAGTCGGTGTGCCGACGATATTTGAGCTGGCTTTATTGTACAAGCTTTCATGGAAGGTTGTTGGTGTCGGCATTGCAGCCGAAGAAACTGCCTCAATAAATTCCGAGTAACGTGCATGGGCCATTCCAACTCCTGCATAATATTGTTCCTGCATCTGAAGAAGCAGCTTTTGTTTTTGAGCGGGACGAGCAGTGGTGGCAGCTACATAGGCCTTGCCCTCTTGGAAGCGAGAGGATGCAGCACTAAGGCCTTCTGCCAATCGCGATTGTGCCACTGATGAAATCGATTCTAATGCGCCTGGAGGCGCTCCGTACACAGCTGTTGAGGCCGCAGAAATGGCAGCCTGCAGTCTGGAGCTTGCAGCTGCTACCGAATCTGAATACGCGGCTTCGACAGAGCTGAACATCTCTGCGTGGACGGGTTTTGGTTCACCCGATACCTGCGCCGAAACTATAGAGCGAACCTGAGAATAACGCTCCGCAGCTCTTGAGAGGGCGTTGTTGTAGACTTGGCTTGCTTGCGCAGCGACAGATTCCATCTCACTGTAAGTCTCGTCGTCAGAGTCCTCAATGATGTCCTCGTACACAATCTGTCTAGCCTCAACGACTTGCGCCATTGCACCACCCCATACTTTCTTAGAAGCTGTGTCAGATGCCGAAGGCGCCGCTGAGCTTATTGAGCTATTTTCCTGCTCAGAATGTTCCAACAGTGAACTTGCAATAGACGATGTTGCGGAACTGAGTGAACTAGATACATCGGAGGAAGCACTCGAAAGCGTGCTGCTGCCAATGGAAACTGATGAGCTTGCGGCATCCGAGATTCTCGAAGCAGAATCTGAAGCAGCAGCAGCAGCGGATTTACTACCGCTCGAGGAACTCTCCATGGATCTTGACTGCTCGTCAACAATGGAAGAGGATAGCTTCTCAGACACACTGCTGACGCTTTCCGTGGCGACTGAAACAACGCTTTCGACAGTACCCTGAGATGTTCCTATGACCGAGCTTGACAGTTGATCAACGATGCTACTCACAGATGCCTTCGCCACAGACGCAATGCTCTCAACGCTCCCTTGTTTGGTTTCAATGGTAGAATCAGCGGCATCGTCAACAATATCGCTCACGATTGAGCTTCCAACAGAGGCTTCGCTCTGGGCATTGTTAACTTGGGATGCAGCTGTAGATGATGCGGAAGAAATGGCTTCGGCAACGGATGAGCTAGCTGCAGAGGCTACAGATTCCATGGTGCCCTGAGATGAGGGTGCTGCTACAGCCTCACTGGCATCCTTTATCTTCTCCACAACCTTGTGCTTCACCGAGGCGGCTGCTGCTGGCATGTGTTTAGTGCTGAAGTCATCGCTAGCATCGCCAGCTGATATTTTCCACCGTCCTGTCTCCTTGAGGCGTGCTAACTCCTTTGCGGCTTCCTCAGCGATCGTCATCGCTGTATTTTCTATTTCTTCGGATGCAGCTCGAGCATTACCTAGGCCTGGATGTTCAACGACAGTTTTCTCGACATCTATGCGCCACTCGTCGAATTTCCCCTTCAATTTGTGGTACTTGGCCCAGTCCTTGTGCGTGATGCCGTCGGTCCAGGCCCATCGCATGCCAACCTCTTGCAGGCCCAAGTCCCGGATATGATCGAGTATCTCAAAAGTGTCCGATGCAATCTTGCCGATTAAGATATTTGTCTCCTGGTCGAAATTTTGTCTCCAGGTTCGGACAGCTTGCGCCTTCGGTTTAATTGCGATACCAGCCTTACGGACTGCAGTTGCGAGCGCCTCTTCGGACGCTTCGTTATCCATTGAGCCTTTGACAATAGAGATGATATCCTTTTTCAGCGCCTGAAGACTCGATTTGACCGTCTCTTCCAACTGCACGACAAGTGCATCCCCAACACCATGTGCTTGCTTCTCAATAAGTTTTTCTGAGATTTCAGTCATCCGCTCTTCTAGCTCGTCAGACCCTTCATCAGCAGCCTTGGCAAATTTCTCCTGCCAGGTTTTAAGATCATTGGCAACGATCTTTTGAGCTTTCTCGCGCACCTCCTGGTTTGTTGGCGGCGGCGAGGGTGGGGCTTCCTCGGGCGAAGGCGGTGGTGGAGTTGGTGTTGCTGATGCAGCGGTTGTTGAATCGGCCGACTCGATGGATGGCTCAATAGAGGACGATACCTGTGAGATAGATGATATAGACGAAGAGCTACTGTAGCGTTAGTTGGAATATTTCAAGGACAGTTGAGCTCCTTACCTATCGACCTCATCCACAACTGCTTTCAACTTCTTGCCGTCCCGGTACCTCCCAAGCCGCTCCCCGATTCTAACTAGTTGTGGTTCTACATTCTCCCCGTATAGGATTCGCACTTTCGGCCAGACTGTCCGATCCAAGAATACGGCTCCGGTCGTCCATGCCCACTTCGAGTACGGAATAACAGTATTTACCACAAAGTGGCTAGATATGTTGTAGGATTGGATGGCATAGGGCCGGATGGTCTGGTAGGTGGGAAGAATATGCCCATAATATGTCTGAAATGCGTTTGTCCGTGCAATGTCATAGTATGGAGCGGTAGCTGCGATGGCGCTATCAACATGGGGACCTAATGTTTGATCGTATTTTTCCCTCGCAACGCTCTGGTATTTCAACACTTGCGGTTGCACATTCTTTTCCCATTGGGCATGGCCATATGCTTGTGCCTGCGCAACGCGAGGAGCGCCGTACTTCTTCCCCAAGCTAATAGCTGGAGATATTATCCTCTGATCTACGGTTTCGTAGTACGGTCGCGCTGCATCAACGTACGGTGCAGCGTATATGTTGTAATATGGCTCTAGATACGGCGAAATGACGGACTTTATTTCGAAATATGGCTTGCATATTCTCGGAGAGATATCTGTGATGAGATCGGGCGTTGAAGGACATCGAAATAGTACGGTAATAATTATATACCAAGTTAAAAGTCTAAAGGGGGCTTGTTAGCAGTTCGTTTTTGCGAACCTGTCAAATCATAGGGAATATAACATGCCTAGTAGGTATGCTGAAGAGAGTGGAGCGGCGCTTCTTCTTCAGCTTGGGGGCCGCTGTCTTAAGTTTTGCAGAGTCGGCTTGCCCATTCGCATATCCATTCACGCCTTTCCCTCTCCCTTTCCCTTTCTTGCCCGGCTCTGCCAGGTGTCCATTACCGTCTGCCGCCATTTTCTATAGCATGCAGCTTTGACGCGTTGGTTGCTAGCCTTCGGTAATTGTTTGGTGTGGAGCGCGTGGAGAGAATGGCAACACAAAGGAGTCGCGGGACCCTTCGGGGAGCTTGTCGAGGAGCTCGCTCGCTCAAGCGCTCAAACCAGGTAGAGCCCGCGCGAAGGCAATACGTGCGGTAAAACAGAAACCAGATTCGTCGCGGCCCAGAAAAGTATAGATTCGGATTTCTGGCGGTGCTTGCGACCGAAAAATGGGTGAAGGAGAAGAGATGAAGCTGAAGCTGGAGCTGGAGCAGACAATCCTGAAGATACCAAGTAACCAAGTTAATCTGGGGCCGGGCCGGACCAATAGGTAGACAGGCAGGACAGGGGGCGCTGTAGCCCGCCGTAGATGAACCGGCGCCTTGTGCCCAAACGTCATCGGGGCCAATATTAAGACATACAGGTAATTATCATGTAGGACTGACAAGAATTCATGCGCAAGGAGCCTATTGCAACTACTACGCGGTGTCTAATAAGTTTGAAGGCCAGTTTATCATATCATATTCTATATTATTGTAAATGTCCAGATGTGATGCCAGATTACGCTTTCACCAGCTGTCGCATCCATCTGATGCAGTTAGTTGTTTCATAGTCCTTCTGGCTGCAGAGAGCTGGGCGTAACCGTGGCAGAATTACCCAGGACGGAACTGTTTGACAATTGCGCATTGACATCCCTGAGAAGTGAATCAAAATCGTTCTTTTGGCTTCTCGAAGAAGCCAAGACCCCATTCTTGTCTTTGTTTGTGGTTGTCCTTGTACTCGTAGACAATTTGAGAATCGAGACCCGGCAAGGTACCATGCAAGGTCCGCGTCACGTGCCCATTGACGCCGCCTCGGTTTTGGACTCTCTCTTTGGCCTTCCATGACACGAAGTTAAACATCCCAAGGATTCGATACAACGGCCACGAAGAGCACGGAGCGACTCAAATATCTGCATCTACCAGAATACGAATACACCATAGCCGAATCACCGTCGTCCAATTTCAGCCCATAGCATAAACCAAAAACCCAGCACAAGCGCGTTGGAGGGCGAGGATTCTGGAGGACCTGGGCTAGTCGTGGAATGCCCTCAGATGGTTCTTCCATTCTGTTGAACGCAAGGCTTTGCCTTTAACGCCACCGCTTATCCCACCGTCACATCACATACGGCCTCTCGAGATCACGCTCTCGGAGCTGATCGACCACCGCAACGATGGCTGACCTACCAGAAGCCTCTACTTCAACTACCCATGTGGAGACGCCTCCGGACCTTATGAATGACCCACGATTCGCGACCAACACTGGCGCCGGGGAGGATGGGACAGGAGATGTAGACACTTGCCGGATATGCAGAGGCGAAGGGACCGACCCGGAGCAGCTGTTCCATCCGTGCAAGTGTAGTGGGAGCATCAAATATGTCCACCAGGACTGCCTGATGGAATGGCTGTCACATTCGCAGAAGAAGCATTGCGAGCTTTGCAAGACTCCTTTCCGATTCACCAAGCTATACTCCCCGAACATGCCGCAAACGCTGCCCTTCCCCGTCCTCATACGCCATGTCATCATCCATGTTGCGAAAAATCTGGCGACATGGCTGAGGCTTTGCTTGGTGGTCATAGTATGGTTGGCGTTCCTCCCGTATGTTTTGCGGCAAGTTTGGAGGCTATTATTCTGGTTCAGCGATGGAGGGTGGCCACCAAATTACTCGAGGCTTGATCAAGTACGGAATTCTACTGTTCTACAAGCCCTCGAAGTGGCGCGAGAGATACAGCTTGCGAGTCTTCCGGAAAACGGAACCTCACCAGTAACGCCTCTCCAAGCTGCCCAGACAACATCAGCAAGCATTGGTGGCCTGATGGACAAACTTTCTGGATTTCTTATGCCAATCTCCCAGACTTTGAATATATCCGGGGCAGACCCCTTAGCGGCCGGTCTTTTGAAGTCCTTGTACTATGGGTTTGGAATCCAGAGCGTGGCCATACCAGAAGGGCCTGCTGTCAATACAACAACCTCAAATCATCTTCTGGACCTGCCTCATCAGACCCATAGTCAGTCCGTTTTAAGTGAGGTCTCCTTCCTCCGCAACCTAACTCGGAATGCGTACCTCAACCAACTTATTATCACAATTGCCGAGGGCTACATCATCTCAATTTTAGTTGTTGTCTGTTTTATTCTCGTGTTCCTGATTCGCGAATGGGTCGTGCAACAGCAGCCGGGAATCAATATGGGGGCGGGCTTCCTTCCCGATCCCGAATTTGCTGAGCCTGAGGGAGCAGCAGAGCAGCAACCTGCAGCTGAGGCGCCACCCCCTCGAAGAAATCCTGAAGCCCGCCGAGCTGCAAGAGCAGAAAATAGGGATCAGAATATTCAAGTGCCTGATGAGCGCCCGATTGCCCGACCACGGCGAAGAAACGTCCATTTTGGAGATGCTGATGAGGTTATTCCTCCCAGTCCTGGACGTGATTCGGATCAAGCACAAACTGGGCCTTCCCAAGCTAACGCGGCGGGTTCGTTTACTGACGCCCGTCCTCCACGGGAAACCTTGCCATCAGCTGCTGTTGAAATTCAACGAGGGCTCGCTGAAGAACCTAGGATGACCGAGGAGTTCCTTGCCATTTGGCGACGCGCTGACAGCGATCCTCAAGAAGTTTTGCGAATTATTGAAAGAGAAGATAAAGTTGATCAAATGCGTTATTGGGTTAATGCTATGAGAGTCTTACAAAAAGGCCTCCCTCAAGACGATAACCACAGAGCGCCCGGAACATCTTCTGTAGCTCCCCAAGCGTCGGACCCGAATGACAACGAAACGAAGCTGTCTGACACAGCATTGCCAACGCCCAAGCTCAACTCTCCCAGCCTAGATGCTTTGCCGACTGAGAGCGATAGAAGTAGCGGGAGCTCCGAGACCTGGGTGGATGTGCCCAAGGTAGTTGATACGGAGCAGCCAAATATTGCCGTGAACCGTTTTAACTACTCCGACGCTTCCACAACTCAGAACCAGGAAAGCCATGACTCGCTGGATAAGGGGAAAGGAAAGGCAACCGCCGTGGCAGACTTAACCCCTGCTGATTCAACACTCGAGCGATTTGCTTGGAGTTCTTCATCGTCGGGCATAGCCTCCAAACAATTGCAGGACGAGCGCTCTAAAGCACGATCAAATTCATTTGCACCGAGTACTTCGAGGCCAAGATCCGTATCCGATGGGCCACAGAGGAAGGAGAATATATCGTTGCTAGCAAATAACAACTGGAGTTTCTCAAATCTCCCGGAAAATGAGAAAACCAAAAGCGAGCTTTCAAGCACACCACGTTCCGGCGAGCCATTTCAACCAAAGGAAACTACATACAGGAGTGTGGGAAACCAGGTATCATCACCACCTTCATCCACTCGCGGTGAGCCAAGTACGTCGCCCATTGCATCCAGTATCCCTCCGCCATTGGTGACCGATGCCGAGATCACCGAGCTAGAGCAAAGTCCTATAGAGGTTGTAGGCCAAGATGGGATAACACGCACTTACCGGAATGTTGAGGAGCTTTTCGCTGCGAATGAGGTTGAGGATGATGACCCCCAAGGACCGGAGCCGAATCCATTCCATCCAGATGCTCCATTACCTGACCCGCAAGCACCGATTGCACCACAGCCTATGGAGCCTCAGGGTTTGCTAGGAAATATTGCTGATTTCCTATGGGGGGGTGTTGGTGAGGAAAGACAAGATGAACAAAGGGGCAATGATGAGCGCATCGTCCAGGACTTAGCAGCTGAAGCTCCATTCGTCCCTGTTAATCAGGCTCTTTTTGATCCGGCCGGCGCCGAGCAGGACGCTGATGCCGCTGAAGCAGCAGTTCCTGCAGGGATTGATCCAAATGATCAAGATGCTATGGAGGATGCCGAGGACTTTGAAGGCATAATGGAGCTCGTTGGAATGCGTGGGCCCCTATTTAGCTTGGTTCAAAATGCCCTGTTCAGCGCCTTTCTTTTGGCGCTGGCAGTCTCCATTGGAGTGTGGATCCCGTACAATATTGGGAGAACATCACTCCTACTTTTGGCCAACCCTGGCCCAGCATTTAAATTACCCCTACGACTTATATTCGGGTGTATAGCGTTCTTGCAGGATCTGACCCTAACGGTACTGGGCATTGCGTTCTTTTGCCTAATGGCAATGCTTTCATGGCCGCTGCGTATTTGGTCCTATTACGTCCAAGATCTAGGCCCTTCTATGGCTATGCACGAAACCCCATTAGCTGTAACTGCGGTCAAAGTTTCTAGCGATGCTTTTGAGAGAATGTTTAATGGCACAGCAAACAGCTTTGTTCATGTTGCCGATTCCGAAATTTTCGTCTTTTCTGCGGCATCGCATGAGTCCCTGAATACCGTCCAGTCACTCATCACAAACACAATCTCTGGGATCGGAGGCTGGGTGGTCTATCTGTTCACCGGTAATTACAGCTTTGCTTGGAGAAGCATATGTGCTTTCATAGGTTATTGGTTAAGCTTTGGATGGGGCCTACTTGTCTCCTTACCCAAGCTCCTCTTCAAACCCGATACTTGGGTGATCAGCCTAGAGGTAGCAGAACGAAGCGCGCCCCTGGACCCTGCCCTCAGTGTTTGGGATGGTTGGGCTAGATTCTGGGCCATTTTTGCGGGCTACACGCTCCTCTGTATCCTGGGAATCCTTTACACCAAGAAGGGCTCGCCTTTCTCAACCGGTCAGGCGGGTCGTGAGTGGGAAGCTTCCTTTCTCGATCTCCTTAACCAAGCAGGTGGTGTTCTCAAGGTCATTCTTATCATCAGTATCGAGATGCTGCTGTTTCCCCTTTATTGTGGCCTACTCCTCGACGCTGCACTTCTCCCGCTGTTTGACAATGCCACTATCATGTCGCGAATCCGTTTTACGATTGACTCGCCCTTCACCTCTATGTTTGTGCATTGGTTTGTTGGCACGTGCTACATGTTCCACTTTGCCCTCTTCGTCTCAATGTGTCGGAAGATAATGCGGAAAGGGGTTTTATGTAAGTTACCTCGTGAAATTGCATTCTCAATGTACTAACCGCGATAGACTTCATCCGTGATCCTGATGACCCTACTTTCCACCCTGTAAGAGACGTATTAGAACGAAATGTGGCGACGCAACTACGAAAGATTCTCTTCAGCGCGTTGGTCTATGGTGCTCTAGTTGTCATATGTTTGGGGGGCGTCGTCTGGGGCCTAGCAGTTGCATTTAAGAGTGTTTTACCAATACGCTGGTCATCCAACGAACCAGTCCTGGAGTTTCCGATTGATCTCCTCTTCTATAATTTCTTGATGCCGTTGGCCGTCAAGTTTTTCAAACCTTCGGACGGGCTACATGCGATGTACAGCTGGTGGTTTCGTCAATGCGCAAGAATGCTTCGACTCACATGGTTCCTATTTGATGAAAGGAAACCAGACGAGGAAGGGTATAATGTTCGGAGAACTTGGACAGATGTTTTCAGAGGATTCAAGGGCGACCCGACAAAGCTATTTGACACCGACGATAAGGACGAGCCGTTCACTACGGATCCCGAAATGAGGGCGTATTTCGTTCGCGATGGAAAATACGTCCGAGCGCCAGCATCGGATCAAGTAAGGGTCCCAAAAGGGGAACCAATTTTCCTCGAGGTGGACGAGTTCAATAAGTTAACCAACGACAACTGGGACCGTTTTCATGGACCCCATGCACGCAATTCCGCGCTGTACAAGCAGGCTTACATCCCGCCCTGCTTCCGGCTGCGCATTTGCCTCTTCATCCTTTTCATCTGGCTCTTTGCTGCCATCACCGGAGTCGGTATTACTATAGTACCCCTTGTCTTCGGCCGTTACGTGTTTGCGAAGATCATACCGCCTCACGTCCGCAAAAACGACGTCTATGCCTTCTCAATCGGCATCTACATATTAGGTTCTACTCTTTACGCGGCCCTGCATATCCGACAATTCTTCTGCTATTTGCGCAATGCGCTTGCTGTTGATGCGGATACGCCCCACAACGTACTGCGTCGTGCTACCACAATTGTCTCTCGTGTTTCCCGCATTGTATGGACATATTCTGCGTTCCTCTTCATCCTCCCTACGCTCTTCGCGTTCCTCGTCGAGTTCTACTTCATCGTACCACTTCACACCTACTTCTCCGCACACGAACGCCACACCGTACATTTTGTGCAGAGCTGGACTCTCGGACTCTTGTATGTCAAAATTACGACCCGCCTTATCCTCTGGCACGAAAATTCACGTCCCGCAATATCACTTCGGGCCATCACCCGTAACGGCTATCTGGACCCGGACGCAAAATTGGCGACGCGTAGCTTCATATTACCTGCTGTTTTAATTCTTTCTACAGCACTATTCTTCCCTTGGTCTCTAGCTAGAATTGCAGCTGCGGCTGTATGGAAAAACAATCCCGAGAGCCACACTTTAATTTACAGATACGCACATCCTATATGTCTGGCGCTCTGCTGCATGGGGTTTGCGGCGGCGCATCTGTTTGGCCTGCTCAAGGAGTGGAGGATGATGATTAGAGATGAGGTCTACCTAATAGGAGAGAGGTTACATAATTTCGGGGATAGGAAACCAGTTAGCCCCGGGGTTGCCAGTGGCGTGGCTTCTGTCAGAAGGCTCGAGACTTGATTCGACCACGTCGAAACTTCTAACCCAGGTTTAATACCCGAATCCCAACCAAACCTTGGGACTGTCTAATGAATGAGCGATGGCCGTATGAGGTATACCATGGTGGAGGATTGGAAGGAGTTTTTTGGAAGGCTGGCGTTGACTAGAATGGATGGGCATGGCTAGCCTGGCCGTTGTTTTGTTCATCTATTGTATTGTAGTTAGTACTAGCGTACAATAAAATAATACACGCTATTCAAGAATGTGCAATGAGGCTAGTGAGTTGTTAAGTGGTCGCATATGGTATGCCGGAGCCTAGTCTCACTCCATTGCTCTTACCGAATACCCCTATAGTACTTCACGAGCATAGGATGTAGCGAGTCAGGCTATACTAGTCTTTGAAGTGGACCGTCCAAAGAGCAAATGGCTTATAAATTATTGCAAGCAATATGTGGGTAGACTTCGAAAGCATCATTTGGTTTAAGGAGCCTATATGTTCTCATTATGCGTAGCTCTGTGTTGAAACCGCGACAGAAACTCGCTAAAGGGCGGAGGTCAAGTCAAGTCAACTCAACTCAACAACCAAACTAAAAGCCCAAGAAAAGAAAAACAAAAAGAATAACTACAACAGAAGAAAAATAAAATCGTAACTGGCAAAAGAGTTCATTGCCCACAGCCAATTAATCTCTGCCGTTTCGATGTTGTCGCTAGACCTAGTTATATTTCTCTTCGATATGAGGTGTCGTGTGACACTTGTGGGAGTGTCTTAAAGAGCTAGGTTGCCGTTATGTGCACTTTTCTTATTTAAATATATATACCTTATCTTGAGTAGCTACGAAGTTATGCCGGCTATCCGGCGGTGAGTTGAAGGAGGAGGAAATGGTCACCGGCGCTATTCGGTGTTCGGTACACCTTTCTACTAAAGCCTAAGAATCTGGTCTTGCAAAGGTTATTGGCTATCAAGGTTTGGATGGATGGGGATAAAACTGCCCTCACCCTATCTTCCTCTAGGGATGGGCTAATGAGCAACTAGATTACGGGTGGGAATAGATTCAACGAATGTTCAGAAGCTCATTCACTATTGCGGTGGTGAGGAATTTGTCCGAACCAAACCAGCCTCTCTCGATAAACACATATTGACTGGTAAATTCTACCAGTCCGTATTAATAGCTATAATTTGGATAGTTGTGTATTCCCATATATCACTACATAGGAAGTTGGCGTTCCAGCTTGTTTTTATTTGCTCATTGAAGAGGTATTCAGTTGGCAAAACAGATGGTTTTCGACTTCTTCTGTGGGAGTGATTTTGGAGGTATATATCCACAGCAGTATTCTCAGGTTAAAGAGTTATTAGGAAATAATCCGGTTCTCCGTGTAGTTATAAGGACTTGGAATAAGTTAATTCGCAAGGAGAACTACCCATTACATGAACAATAATGATTCTAATATCCCACGAAGCCGGCACGCAACCAATATCCAACTCGTAGTTGTCGCTCGACACATCCCCAAGGCCGAGACCTAGCTACAATTGCACAGGATAAATAATTCGTAGTGCCAAGAGCATAACTTGGCAGTATTATTAATAGGTGATGGAGGTAGGGAAGTCGTACTTCTACACCGGATGACTCACGCCGAAGCTGTGACAGGAGCAGCACTAAATCACGCAATTAACCCAGTCTCATCCATCAACTCAATAAAACCTCTCAATTCAACGGTCTCGAATCTCTTCAATTCCTATTCTGTACCTAGCAATCTCGACGCGCAAAAATCAACTCTCGGAATTACTTTATACCTCATTTCACTTTGGAATAGAGATAGAGTAGCAATTCTATCGAGTTGATTATAGGCCCGCTGTCCAATCGCGAAACAAATACGGAAAACATCGCAGTGCGGAAGTTCAATAAGTTCGTGGCCTTTCTACTTCGCTCTGCCTTGATACCGCCAGTGTTACGGCTACCAAGGTTGTGGCCTTTACCAATATACCTAGCTGAGAAACCCGGTATAAGCGCCATTTCGACTTCCTACGATCGGAAAAGCTAGCTATGAAGCTTCGCCTTGCTGAGTTATTGACGTCCGGATATTCCGCGCATGATACGTAGGTATGTTTTGGCAACTTAAGAGGTGCCTTGTTTACACAACCTAGTCGCCAAGTGCATACAAGATGCAACGAGAGCGAATGGCGCGTCCTATACTTTAGTAACAACAGCTTTCACCCTCCACAAGACATTCACAAAATCCGCCAACAAACTGGTAGATGAATATACGAGTCGAAATCATGAGCGCGGATAAACAGTAACAAGACTCGACAGGAATAGTACGCAAACTGTAAAAAGCAGGAAATAGAGCGGGGAGTGTTTTCGACCAACTCCTTAGCTAGCCAAGAGTGAACTTTCGACCATTCGCAATACATCTTGCATCCTCGACAACGTCCCAACAGGGCAATTATTGCAACAATCAAGTTTTGGACACCGTTTCTGCAACTTTACACGCCGATGGGATTTCCACTATCGCAGAGAAAGATACACCGTACTCGGGAAATCCGGAAAATCCACCGACATTTCTACCTTCCCTTCAACCTCCCTTCTTGGCCTCTCGGAAGCAGTCGACGATAACAAGGCTATAAATGGGGTTGTTGTTGTCTTTGGCTCCAAGCAAGGAACATACAAAGTGGGCGATAGTACCTAGGCTGCGACAACGCCATTGCTAGAAACAACACACCGGTATACAGCACTGATTCGGATTCGGGAAAGGAACTCATGGCTGATCGAAGTTGTCAAAAAACCTGCATTCTTGACTATTCTTCTGGCACCTCCGTCGCCAGTTCTCCTTATCTACCTCCAGCGAGGAATCGACCATCCATGGCATAGAATACTGCGTTTCTATTCACACGGTCCTCCTTCTGCCTAGCGACCGAGGTGTGTCGTGGTATGCTGTTGCTCCGAGCTGAAAAGGCTACTGGCCCTTGGTCCTTATCTGTTCCGACCTGAATTGATTTCTCGCTCTTCCATACCCGAAAGTCCAGTATCTTCCAAGTCGTTTTAGATCGTCTTCATTGGACAGCCCAACTCAATTGTCGGTTCGTGTCAGCGGTCGAGTACCTAAGTGCTGTGGTCCAGAATCACGGGCAAGGAGGAACCATTACTAAAACTTGAGATAACAACAAAGAATTTAGTGATTTCAATAGTTTGGAAACTCAGTACAGAGTAACTCTATGCAGAATGCACGAAGATAGTACAGTAGCCGCGCATATGAGAGAGGAAACTGAGATAGGAGATAGAGCTTGTGTGGGGCACCTGGTGGTGGAGATTTGTATTTTCAGTACCACCTGGCTGCAGATCTTGGCCATTTTGATTGCCCATTACAGATATTACTTCGCGCCCGCCAGGCGGTTGGCTCTGCTGGCATGCACTTGAGCGGCATAACAGATACACAATGTCACAAAGGCTCTTCCTCGGCCTTGGCTTTGCCACTACCCCGTACTGCGGCAAGCTCGTGTGGACAGCTGAAGCTTACAGGGTAAGCATCCGGGTACAAAGTGTTGGAGCGGTCTCGCCGTCCAAAGACGAAGTTACGAACTGATAAGGCCCCCTGAGGCTGAGAGTTTTGAGACTGCTCAAGTCGGCGGATTCCGATACTCGTTGCCTGGGGTAATCATAATCGCCGCTCTCTGCTGCATGGCTTCTTGAGCCCGCAGACCCTAAATAAGGTCCCCCCAAGGCGGGGAAACATCTCATCGAAGTTCGACCACCGTCCGCCACATGGCTAACCGGTGGTAGCCATTAGATGGTGGAGGTGATAGTGCAGGCAAGCAGGCAGTCTGGACTGTTCGCAATATCCAGACGTTGAGATTGCCAAACGAACGTATATTTGAGTGGAATTTGAATTTGGAAAGCATTGAGTTACCGAGTAGTTTTGTTTGTCTCGTGCCGAGGTTCCTGATTGGGCAAGACTCCGGAAGTTAAGTTGATCCCACTAACTAATTATAAGACAGGCCCTGGATCTTATCTTGATCGTTGCGACGCCACACTTCGATTCAGTGGCGCCCGAGTCAACGACATTCTAAATTTATGGATTCAAGATTATCACTATCCCTTGCGTGCAACAATTGGCTCCGGGAGCGGTCGCCCAACCTGTCCTCCATGAAAGCCCTCCGGAGCTGGCCAGCTGTCCCTAAGTTGGGACGGTTCCGTGCAGCTTTGGCAGCAATTTGAATTCCCACATACGAAGGATTACTCGAGCACAAACTCACCACCTTCCTCTTTGGAACCATGCCGACGGTCGTCCCCGATGTGTAGCAGCGAACTTAGCCAAGACCACGAGGCTCTTGCTAGGTTGGGACAAGGTTGTTATCGTCCATTGGATTGTTCCTAGGTCATCGCTGGGTTATTATTGGGTAAAACGAGATGGGCATCGAGGAGGACACGGCTGGGATAAGGAAAAAGTTATTACCGAGTAAAGCGAGAACGAACGAGGATGAGGATAGGAGGGCAATACGGTCGGGTATTGTTTATCTTTTCTTCTTATGGAAGGTCTTGTCCACGGAACCGGGGGAAGGAGGCGATAGCTATCGTGCATACCTGCAAATGTGATGCGCAGTTGGCGCATGCTCAGGCTTCTAGTGCAATACCCCACACCCGCTTTCCATGTTACATTTATTCTCGTCTTGTCTTCGAAAGTTTTCCCTGCTTTTCTTTTCTGTTCGTGTGATTGAGACTTTGCTCGTCGTCCCCACTCAAGGCACTGCAACTGCCAATTCCGCTGGCCCACCAACCAGTCGACAACATGGCAAACCAGTATGAGCGTGAGCATGAAAACGGCGTCGCGAATGACCACACGATCGTTCCTTCGCCAGCTCCGGCGGATCTTCCAGCTTACACCAACGAGAAGGACAGCCCATCACTCTCGTTCAATGGCAAAGGGAAAGATATCGATTCCACCGATAGGGATTTGGGTCTCGAGCCGACAACCTCGACCGAGGAGGGCGAGGAAGGCGAGGGGGGGGGAACAATACGCCGTTACTATAACAGATACGGGATCTTCGTCCACCTCTTCTGTGGGATGGTCATGACTGGGTTCGTAGCTCGTTCTCTATCTTGCCGTGCTTGGTTGAATGCGAACATTGACATTTGATATCTCAGGTGGTGGATCGCCGGCCTTGTGCTTCATCGCGATGACATTGGATGGCTCAAGCCGTTCCTGCTTTGGCTTGCCATCACCATTCGTCTTGTGACATTTCACATCTCTACGAAGTATATCACCAAGCCAATTGCCTTTGTCTGGGTTCGGGCCGTCAAGAGACCTTCGGAGATGATTCCACAAAAGCTGCGAATCCCTCTTGCAGCAGCTGGTACAATCGCCGTAATTATAGTCGGCACCTTCGTCAGCGAGGAAACCGCAGACAACACAAGGCCGAACAGGGCAGTCAGTCTCTTTGGACTCCTCGTCTTCATCGGTGCATTTTACGTAACTTCGAGAAACCGAAAGGCTGTCAATTGGCAAACGGTTATCGTGGGAATGCTGGCCCAATTCATTCTAGCCCTATTCGTTCTGCGCACTAAAGCTGGTGTAAGTAGTGCTCTCAGCCTTCAACTTTGCCGCATCTGACAATGATTCTAGTATGATATCTTCAACTTCATTGCAGAGCTTGCTACCGACCTGCTTGGATTTGCTGCCAAAGGAACGCTATTCCTCACGGGTCAGAAAGCTTTGGATAGCAAATGGTTTTTAGTCGGGGTCATTCCTCCGATCATCTTCTTCGTTGCCTTTGTGCAACTTCTATATTATTGGGGTTGGTTGCAATGGAGTATCAAAAAGTTCGCCACCATCTTCTTCTATACCATGGGAGTATCAGGCGCCGAGGCGGTTGTTGCTGCTGCTTCTCCTTTCGTCGGCCAGGGCGAGTCGGCAATGCTGATCAAGCCATTCATACCTCATCTCACGGATGCGGAATTGCATCAAATTATGACATCTGGGTTTGCGACAATTGCAGGCAGTGTTCTTGCTGCTTATATTGCTATGGGTATCAGCCCATTGGCACTGGTTTCATCCTGTGTCATGAGCATTCCTGCCTCGCTGGCTATATCTAAACTACGCTGGCCCGAAACAGAGGAGTCCCTTACGGCTGGCCAGATCGTTATTCCAGCAAGCGATGAAGAGAGGCCGACCAACTCCTTGCACGCATTTGCAAATGGGTCTTGGTTAGGCATCAAGATTGCTGGTATGATCGTTGCTGGTTTGTTGTGTATTCTTGCTTTGATCGGCCTTGTCAACGGTATCCTCAATTGGTGGGGTAATTACTTGAACATCCCCAGCTTGAGTGTTGAACTCATCCTTGGATACCTATTCTACCCAGTTGCATTTCTACTCGGTGTGGAGCGGAACGGGGATCTGCTGAAAGTCGCAAAGTTGATTGGGACCAAGGTAGTAACCAACGAATTTGTAGCAGTAAGTCTTCCCTCTTGCATCTGTAAAACCGTGCTCGAATTAACTTGCCCTCAAGTTCAACTCCCTTGCTACAGACAAAGATTATGCTGATCTATCGGACCGCTCTCGTCTCATCGCCACGTACGCCGTCTGTGGGTTTGGCAACATCAGCTCCGTCGGTATCCAGATTGGTGTGCTATCTCAACTTGCCCCTGGCCGCAGCGGCAGAGTTGCTAAAGTTGCTATGTCTGCCCTTATATCCGGCGTCATTGCTACTTTAACTAGTGCAAGCATTGCCGGTATGCTGGTTGCGGACCAGAGTGTCTATACCAAAGTCACCATCGCTCCGAGCCCATAAAGGACGAGAATGGATAATGAAAATTTGCTCCTTATACTAGTATCATGAATACATTATTTGATAATAACCGGAGGTCACCGATCTGTGACTGGAAAATGAAAATTATTGCTTAATCTCTCGTCTCATTTTGAAATGTGACGTGTGGATTCTGGATGCAAACTCGAAAACGATGGAGTATAACCCCAGGAGTTCCAACACAAACGGATCCAAAGTAGGATGTTTTCCCATTCCTGCTCTCGCTATACCCATGTTGGCTGTCGCCGCTCTCAGGCCCATGAAGTGGTATTATATATATCGAAACTTAGCATAATGGCAAGATATTGCACGACCTCCTCTCTGTATGAGCAACTTGCAAGATTGGCAGTCATATCAGCAAAGTAGTCAAAGGCTATAACAATCTACCTCTCGTTCCCCAACCTTGACGAAAGGGCACAGTTTGTTCATATGATCCAACGGACGACAATGCTATTAAAGCGACAGTATTGGAAATTCTAAGCCACTATTTCCAACCGATCAATGGCCTTATCATCGCGGCTAAGCAGAACCGACATGACAACTATGCCGACTTAATTATTCTCGATATCGAACTCCGGTCTCTGGTAGGAGGTAGACTTGCAATATATCATACAGGATAAAATCTTCTCGTTGGTCTTTAGTACTTTCTCGCAACCGCGAATAGCATGAGGGCAAGGGAGGAGCGACCGGGACCTCGACGGCTCATCTCGATTACTGCTAGGCATGAGGAAGAGTAGTAGGCTTAGGAAACCGGATTAGATTAATACGATCTATATTGTTGATAACTCAAAGGGTACATATTCAAGATACTTATCGAAACTGGGACCTGTGGCTTCGTCGCTGAAAATAGAGTCAGTCTGCTGAGTGGTCCACATGACTAGAAACCTCAGCACCGTGGATGATATCAGCGATTCCAAGGCAGATGTATAGCGGACTACACATTGGCTAAAGTAAAACCCCCGAGGCATCTCTAGAGCGACTTGAGGTACACTTGCGCATGCGAACATAGAATTTGGTCGCTGCTGGGCGATAGTAGCCCATAGAGCCCATTGCTGATTCGCAGATAATACTGTAAATTGTTTTGTTTTTCTTGAAAGTTTACCTCGTTCATTTCTCCCAGCCCGACATGCTGATATGCACCTCAATAACGTCTTGGTGTTCTCTTCCCATGGAGAATCGTGTTTTGGACAGTATGTTTCTTTGGATGAAAAGGATGTAGTGGGTGTTGGAGTTCTAATGCCGACAGTATATTTGTTCGAGTGTCTTAACTCTGATGAAGATTTCAAGACCTGCGAGTCCTATTTCTCTGAGCTCTGCAATGCACTCTCATTATGATCCTAACGTGATTCCGTATCTTAGGTGCATACTCACGCTTCCAGAAATCCTAGAAAGTAGAATAATAAGTGCAGGTGCTAGTTATTCTTGATTCTTGAGTGGTCTTTGTCGAATGGCGTCGGAGGCCCAGTAGACTTGCGGGTTTAGATCGGGCGATTATTTCTGTTATTATTGAAACATCCGTGTACTGGACTCGTCAGTCTTTGTAACCTGCGCAATGGAGTACCGGTTCTGCGAGTATTTCCGGTGTTGATAATAAGTGTTGGCGAGCCCTTCAGCCGCCGACTAAGTCTCGTAAGCTCGCCTGAACGTTTCTGGGAACGAACCAACCACGCAGAAGGGGAATCATTATCAAGCTACACAGAGCAACAAATGTCCTTGTTGCTATATGCACAGTTAATAGTCCCCCAGGCCAAGAAAGGTCCCTAACTGGCGAGTATCAGGTTCGCGAGACCTCGAGCAGCAAATACCGTTTCGTTTGGCCAACTAAAACAATGGTATTATCCCTAAAAGCTACGCCAGAACACAACTCAAGACGCATGAATCATTGTCCTTGCCATTAAATTCCATCGCGATGCTGGGTTCAAAAGTGGTAGGAATTCATTTGTCTTGACTTTTGACGTCCAACAGCACTTGAGTTTCAACCCTTGTTGTGAGGCTCGGTCATACTTCTCACGCAGACTTTGATGTCCATGGCTGCCTAAAAAATGTGCTTCTACGATCGGGTTCCCTAGATTGGTAATTGCGTTCCATTACTTCCATGCTCTTTAGCCAGTATTTGCCGGGTAAACATGAATGTTTCGCATGCAAAATACTAAATAAAGTTCGTTTAACAGCAGAAGCAGAGGCCAAGTTCGAGACCACTGGGCATAAAATATACTGGGAGCTCGAGCCATCTACACAAGTGGCAGTTGGGAATAAATCTATGAATAGATGCTCCCCAAGTACCGACCCAGGGGCATGTCCGGGGATATGAAAGTAGGGCCCCGGATTATAAGATGTACCTGAGGGATCCTGTTGAAATACAATCCCCGAGCTACGAATTGCGCACTTTGGTCCTCGCGAGTCCAATACGAATATGGGATCATCAGTATATGGTCAACGCCGCTCAGGCAGCGATGCACGCTTGTGGCTAAGCCGAACTTAATCTTCTGGAGGCGAATCGAGACCCCAGAGTTCCGATTAGATCCCATTCGCTAGAGCTGGGCTGATCCAGCGAGTATACTTCCTGAAATAGACAGTGGCGATACGAGAAATCGGGTTATTCAGATTCCTGTTGTAAGTCCAACAAAAGACTGCCATGATCATGATTGGTAGGCTCGAGTAAGCTCCTGCGATTGGTTATGGTTCCAAACTATATGACGTTGAAGGGTGTGGATGTTTCTTTCCGGAGTGAAAGTTGTCGAGTAGGAAGCCATGGCAATGATTGACGGGTCGACGCTGTAGGTGGTAATAAGGTTCGAAGTGTTTTGCTGCCGCGCCCCTAAACAAGCCACTCGCCATTTAGAGCGCCTGGCCCCAGCCTCAAGAATCCATGTGAAGCTTCTCCCGTTTGGTTGGCTGGTAGACGATTAACTCTATCTAATCTTTGCCTTTTCTGATCATGAGCATGCTCCATACGTCCAAAACATTTACACCACCTTTTCTTCCCTTTCCCGACTCAAATTACTTCTATAATAATAAAAGATTTGGAGTTTGAAGGCCTTCTTCTTGGCCGTATTCTCCCCTACTTCGGCAATCATTGAGGATATTTTGTCCCTGCACCTTTAACCACCCAAGCAGCCAAAGCTTGAAGTAGTACTACGTGCGGAGTACTTTCTTGTCTTGGTTATCTACCTCGTATCCGCCTACATCTTCCCTTACCCCGCCACTGATGAGCGCCAAAACCATGCCGAGATCTTCGCTTCACGGTTAAAGGCTAGAATGGGTTTATGAACACTGTTACACTTGCTTCTATGTACGCTTCGAACACCATATAGGGAATGTGATTCCCAAAGAAGAGCAGTAAGAGTTCTTTCTACCTTACATGAAACTCGTATCTATTTATACTCTCTATACCCATTACCCTCAGTTCAAGTTGAGAAAACATATATAAATCGCCAGTGTCTGGATTCAGGCCGTACCATACAGACACGCACAAGGCCTCGATCTTCCCTTTGCCAATTTATACTTCGCAATGTTATCCAACGCTCTTGTGCCCTTTGCGGTGTTATTGGCCCTCAGCTCTGCCGCCCCGTCACCAGTGGATGTCCCCGTTCACACCATTCCTCAGTCTCGCGATGACTACCACATCTATCCAACCGTCAAGCTTGATGGGAGCCCTCTCGATAAGGCCCTAATAAATGCCAACAACGGAGAATTATACATCGGCAAACCTACAACTGCCGAATGCCAGGAAGCCTACCCATGCGATACCCTTTCCAACGCCACTGCCATCATTGTTTCAAACAACGGCGCTGGAGCGGCGATGGTTCGTCCTTCTCTTCTATAACTGCCTTGCCCTATAACTTGCTTCAAGAGAAAGCACCAGTTCTAACCAAGGAATAATAGGATGTCTATGTTCCCGGCGGCCAAATACTGTATGTCAGGAAAACGGGAGAACTAGGATATACCGCGGCCCATGCCCAGAATGTCCCATCCGATGCCACTCAAAAGGGCTTCATGCGAGTTGAATTCTTTCCCTCAGACAAGTCAGCTTACGCTGCCGTTATTTTCCATGGCGAAGCCTTTTTGGCGTGTCCCCTAGGGGAAGAGGGGGTGTATCGTGTACACGCCTTCGCCGATTCCAGGACCGATTGCACCAAGATTGAAATCCAGGCCGTGGATTCCGGCTCAGAACCACACGCATATCAATATACTGCGCCGTATACCGTTTCCTGATCGACTGGGTAGGAACATAGGGGACGAAGGGATATTCGGAGACGGCGTGGGAGGTGGACCATGTGGTATATGAAAGATGAGGGGTCTGGAGAAGGGCAAAAGATAAATTTCTCTTCGATAGTTTGTGCTTTAAATCTAGGCGATGTTAAACTGGTCGAGTTTGCCATCAACGTGCAGATAGAAGTAAACAACTTGAGTGCCAAAAATGAACTCCAACAAATAAAATGAATAAAAGCAACAACAAATTAGCAATGGCCACTGGTATCCTTGGATTTACCAGTAGTAGAACGTAGCAGATTCGTAAACTACCTAGGGAAGACATTTTTGTTCTATAAAAAGGTAGAACGTAAAATTAGAAAAGACCGAGACTACCAGCCCGAACACGTTGCTCGGGGTAGCAAAAGTCAAGGATTTTGCTTCAATGGGCTTGGAGATGCATTCCTCGAGATGCTCGGCTGTGGGAGGTTGTGCGGATGGTGAAATGCTTGAGCTCTTAGTTAGTGAGTTCAAGCTAACTTTGGATGATGATAGATCCCGGCTGCCCAATGGTGCGATTGGCGGTGAGAGCTCAGTACTTGGGTTTACGTGCTTCGGCTGAACGTGCTTCCCTCCTATCGTGGATTTGTCACTTCAAATTCAGGGTATTTTCCTCGGGTCTCATGGTAGTTGGGGCGAAGTAGGTTCGTCATTAATCAGGGCCAAAAAGGTCGAATTCCAAAAGAAAGATAGCTACTACTCCGTAAGCAGGAATACTATTTCGTGCAAGAGGTCAGCGGGCTGCTTCTTGCAGCGAGTATTGACCGAATGAATTCGAGAAAGTAGCCCTAATAGGATAAGGTTGCCGAAAAGCCTACCGTGTAGCCGAATTCGTACAGCCAAGGTCAAAGCTCATAGCTATAAAAGGCTAGTGTTGCCGAGGTCCTGGTGTCAAGAATCTCCCCGACTTGGCACAGCATCACCATTGTGGTAGAAACTGGGGAAATGCTATAGGTGTGAGGTGTGAAGTGGCAAGCGGAGGGCAAAATGCAAGCTATAAGAGATCCTCGAATCTCTTTATTTGAGCCATAAATCGATTTCCAGTGCTTGCCCACATCAGTCTGTCAATATGTTTTCAAGAGCATTCGGCACCAGCAACATCAACCGTCTAACTCACACAATATCAACGCGCCAGGCAATGACCATGTCGCGAAGTCTCTCCTCACTTCCAATTTCTGTGCAGGTGTCACCTCGGGAGGTAGCTTCTCAAAATCTGACCTGGCGAAATCTAGAGATTGCAACAAGAGCCCTTCATCGAGACGGGCTTGTGGTACTCGAGGATGTGATCGATCATTCTAAGCTGGACTTTTTAAATGAGAAGATGCTGGATGATGCCCGAACTTTGCAAGCAGCGGGTGATGCAAGTCCATATAATTATAACAAAGGGTAAGTTTTGCGTTTGGAACCAAGGACTCGTGCTAATAAATCTGCAAGCAACATCCAGCAGGATCCGCCGCTAACAAAGCAATATTTCGACTCCAGCATCATCATAAATTCATTGGCAACTCAGGTGACAGCTTCAGTTCTCGGACCTAAGCCTAGGCTATCTTTCGCGTCTGGGAATAGCGCTCTGCCGCCGACTCCAGAGTCTCCACCCCAGTCGCAGCCAGTTCACTCCGATGCAGACTTCAATCATCCTCAGAGCCCTTTTGCATTGGTTGTGAACGTCCCCTTAGTTGAGATGACCAAGGAGAACGGCACCACAGAAGTGTGGCTCGGCAGTCACATCAATGCATCTGCGGCCTCACAAGAGGGGAAGCAGGGGGAACGAGCGAGTGGCAGGATCAGAGAGGAATTCTTGGCAGAACGCAGGCAAGAGAGACCACCATCTCAGCCGACAGTTAAGAAGGGCTCGGTCGTTATCCGTGATCTTCGATTGTGGCACGCTGGCAAACCGAACTACACCAATAATACAAGGGTCATGTTGGCTATGATCCATTTTGCGCCATGGTTCCGGTAAGAGATCTAGTCTTGAGAGGGCGAAGGGTACCTGCTAACCTAAGCCATAGTAATGCTATGGAGATTGAGGTCTCGGAAGACTTGATCCCAACATTGGAAAAGGAAGAAAGTAACCTCCAGATCCAGGCCAAGTTCGTGCCAGAGAAGTTTCTTATGGATGGTTATCTGAATCGTGGATATGGCAACGCATATAATTTCGATCAGCAAGACCCAGTGGAGGGAATTTTCTGAATATCGTTCTCAAAGTTTGTGTGAATGTGTTGTAGAAACAAAATATGACCCCACTTATTGCCAATAAGTTTTCTCCCAATAGTATCACTACATACCCGAGGGGTTGTCCTAGGTATGTACGGGCGATCTTCATTTTATAAGTACCTAGGTATGTATTGGGGAATACCAACCGCAATCGAAGGCATGCCGCGATTTTACACTGACTGGCCGGCCTAATAGTGTGACACGGAACAATTGGCGACCAATAATATCGAAATTGATGCTGAGTGAAGGTAATGCAACCTCTTCTCTGCGATATGGCGCTATTCGTTTGAAGAATGTACATGTAGTACTATGACTTACGTCATCAAGGTCCAATATTGTTCCAAGTCGCCAATTATGCAATGGACCGGCCAGGCCGTTGGCGTACCAAATTGTCGCAGCATAGTCTTCAATCCCTCGCGATGAGTGCTATCTACGAGGTACTTGCCACCTATGTAATTAAATTAGCCGCGCTGTAGGGGCTGATCAGATTATCTTCGCGGGACGGCCAAAGAGCCAGATAAGAAAGGTACTCACAAAACGCCAAAGGTCCGAAAGCGTTTACTCTTGCCGCAACATTGTCATTAGTATACGCTAATCCACATATTTTGATGGCGTGTTCAAGGACAGCTTCTTGATTAGCTGGAGCAAACGGATCAAACAGGGCCAAGAGAATTTCTGCAACAGAACAGTACTGCTGTGCTGCCACTGTTCAGAGGTCAGCTGCGTAAAGACGAGGCAATTCTAGAGCAACCTACCATGCCATGGATGGATCAGCCATAAGGATGGAAAGGGGTTGTTTTCTTTTACGGCGGTCGAGTATGGTTCGAAGCTCGCTGGTAAATATTCTCTCCAGGTAGCCAACTCCTTTCTCAAAGATTTCCAAGCAATCTGCTTCTCCTGCATCTGCCGCTCCATCGATTCTTGAAAACAGTAGTTGGTGACCCTTGCCAGTATATAACTGATGATGTTTGCACGCATACTATCTGAGTAGCGTTCTGCGGCATCAAAATTAAAGTCAAAGCCGATTCGTGTCGTTCGTTGACACTCTAAAGCCACAGTAATCTCCTCTCGCAGGTAATTCCAAGCACCGGCTTGCGAAAGGCCGGTGCGGTTCATCTCTATCGGGTCCCTCGTGGAAAATAGATAAGCTCCTAGAAGGTGTTTCTGTTGTTTTCTTGAATCACCTAGTTTCCATTAGCATTTCTACATAGCAGGAAGGCTTGAACTATACCAGCTATAATTTCATATGATCGAAGTAAGCAGGTAGCAGCTAAGTAATCTCCCCGAAGCCTAAGCTGGAAATTATCTATGACATGTAGAAGGTCCCGGATACAAGCTGCGTGAAATGCCTGCCCAAGCCCTCGCATCTCGCCCGAAACACCCGTTTTATGCAAAGCAGAGAAGGCGATGAGTGCCTTGAACAGAATCGGATTTTCAAGAGCATGTAGAGGAACTATCGTTCCAAATAAATTTTCGGCATCACAAAGGTCATACCATGGAGCGAGGTAATCGATGTAGTGGCGAAAGAGACTGGCAATCTCTGGGTTATTCAATGCCGACCGCGGTTCGGAGGATACAAGGGCTTCGAAAGAATCTCCTTGATAGGTCTCTGGCTCAGAATTTGGGACCTGGGCCCTTGACGAGTTGTTGGTAGATTTGGGTCGATCGCCTTGTAGCCGTGGTTGGGACTCGTTCAGGTGGGTAATATTAAGTGAGGTAGGATCTGGGGTGTGGATGATGAATCTCATCCCTTCGCCGCCTCCGTGACATGTTCTTTTTCCCTTGATACAGTTTCGGCATACAGGTCGTAATCCATCGCCTGATGGAGAATAGTTAGTTATGGAGAGTATCTTGTGTATATCCTCGCGGGGTTTCAGACACTTGACTTTCCGGCGGCGACAGGTGGCGCTGTAATCTTGTCAGTCGGTCCTCTGTAACAATAATATGCACTTGGGGTGACTACCAAGCTGCTAAGGTGGTTAGTTTTCGTGCCTGCTACATTACTAAACCAGTGGGCGGAGGTTGAGGATCATACAGTTCACAGGAGCCTTTCTCGGCATCCTGCATTTAGCGATATGGCAGGGCGTGATATCCCCTGGAGCAAATCATGTCCCAATTTCCAATGAGCCTAGTGATGATATTGAAAGGCTGAATGTGGGTTCTCGCGGACGGAATGTTCGCTCACGACGTCGGGAATCTAAGCCTGTTAGTTTAGCGTAACCGAAGCCACCGACTTCGATGGTTCTTGGAGTTTGATATTCGGTGGCAAACGGTAAAGGAGCAGTTAGAAAAGGAAGACAAGACCAAGGAATTTAGTGAATATCGTTCGTTCCTTCACAGAGGCGAAGCAATAACTAGTAGCTGTCAAGAGAGGACACCATGGAAAGGAGATAAACGGCAAAAATAAGCGCAAGATATCGGATTCCTGCGGCCGAAACTAGAGTTGATTCACTTGATGGGCTTCTTACTCGGCATATCTGGTGGCTCGTAAGTGCTAAAAGAGCCGGAGAGAGTACTATCTTGACTTTAATATCTGCGAAATGAATCACTTTCTGGTTGGTCGAGACTGTACGCATGCAGACAAACAGTCGTTGGTGAAAGGTTCAGGTCAGCCAATGTCCGGACTCACCTCAGGCATCAATCAGCCTCGCCTCGCTAAAAGCGGCGGGCCTCAGTGATGCGCATTTCTGGCCCATGTCTATTTGGTGGTTAGATACAGCCTCGCAGGTATTGATCAGGAAAACTGGTATCATGCCGCATAGTCTCATTTACTATGGATACTGGAGTTCGCTCTGCCAGAAATGAGCTCTTCCAGACTGTAAGATTTCGTAACCTAATCCGTGATCCATTGCTAATACATAACCAGCTCAAACCACGATGCGTCGAGCTCAGCCAGCTAGCTCTCAAGGACGACGGAAGTCCGAGTGATGCGAAATCAATAGCACAATCGACAGCCCGGCTTCTGGCGATACTCGAGCAGAAATGCAAACGAACTGATGGTGTTTTCGACGAGAAACTAGCCGATTATGTCTTCTTTCCACTCTCGCAAATACTCAAGAAGAGGCAGAAATACACGGATGGGATCTCCGAATTGACAACGAAATGTCTCAGGATCTTGTTAGAATTTGGTTGGAGCAGAGGTGTTGCATTAGACCTCGCCAAACAACTCTTGATATTGCTGAGTTTTGTCGCTGGAGGTCGACCGGATCAAAAACCGACCAATATCCCAGAGGAGATCGCCAGTGAAGCATATGGGGCACTTGCTGCCTTGTTCAATGATTTAAGAGTCACACCTGGCGGGTCGGCTGCGTTGGTTGAGACTGGAACAATACCGGCCTTGGGCCATTGCATAACCGTGATACTGGAAGGGATCACGGATGGGGCATCGGTGGAAGTGCAGCTACAAGCATTGAGTGCGTTAGACGCAACATGGCGATGTATCAAGGATATGGAAGCTCTGGCAACTTTCCTTCCTGGAACGATTTCTGCCCTGACAAAATCTCTTATGCCGGGAACGGGGACTCGAAGGCCGCGGAAAGTTCTCGTTACTGCCTTGGGAGTCCTGGGGCATGTTCTTACTTCTGTTCTCAGTGATATTCGAACTAGAAATATAAGGAATAAGGATGAGTCTCCCCAAGTGGCAACAGGGGAAAAGTCTGAGCAGAAGGTCTTGAGCAAGTCCTGGCTCAAGGCAACGACAGGTCAAATAAAGCTAGCCCTCGCCAATATCATAAGATTACGGAAGCATGATGCGGATGTTGTTCGCAAAGCTTTGAACAACCTTTGTCTCACCATTCTAGACGAGTGTCATGATACATTGTCTGAGTCGGCTTCCTTGCTCGTGGAGACATGTATGATATTGGAAGAGGTTGGCAACGAAGCCAATTTCAAGGAGCGGGGGACGACCCTTGTAGAGCTTGCAATTATTTATCCTGATGTTGGGGAGTTGGTGAAAACTACTGCCTACAACTGGGTCACCAGCTTGCCCAGGGTGATGCAGGCAAATGACGAATCAGCCAAGAAGGGTGCTCTTGAGCAGCTGCAGAGAGCAAATAACCTACTAAAAAATCTCAACTCGGAATCGTCGATACTCGAGGATGCCCTGGGAAGCTCCCTACGGGACAGTATCACCGTAACGCTGGAAGCATTACCGTCATCGAAGGTTCTGCAAGAAGCCGAATTTGATCCAAACAGCCAAGCCGCCATGACACTGGTGACAGACAATACCTCCCCTAGCTATTTCAGCCCTGTGATTCTAGCTGGAGAGAGTCAGAAGGAGACACGCGAAACGCTTATGAGAGTGTTAAGTACTATCGGAACACAGCAATCACAAACTACCATGGCCGGCGAAATGCTTGAATATGTTCGTATAGCTTCGGGCCCGAGTCTCCTCGCAGCCTACTGGCTATCGTTCCAGATCCTGAAAACTGCATCATCCCAGAATGAAGCTGTCGATGAATTCCTAGACGCCAGTGTCATATCGTCTGATGAGCAAGACTCTCTGATTCAAGAGCTGATGTCCTATTCCCAATCCATCCTTGCGAGCACCGATGACGGACAGCATGATTGGCGTATGCAGGCAATAGCGCTTGAGGTGGTAGCGGAGAGAGCCCAACAACAGCAGACGAACTTTCGGCCAGAACTTATTGATACGCTATATCCGGTTGCTCAACTTCTTGGATCGCCGAATAATAGACTACGAGAGCATGCAATCACCTGCCTCAACATAGTCTCAAAGGCTTGCGGGTATGCTAATGCTAGCGACCTAATCATCGATAATGTTGATTATATGGTTAACGCCATCGCCTTGCGGCTCAACACATTCGACATATCCCCACAAGCTCCGCAAGTACTAGTGATGATGATACGCCTGGCGGGGCCATCATTGCTGCCGTATCTTGACGATGCTGTGGGATCCATCTTCGCCGCTTTGGATAACTTCCATGGCTATCAACGTCTTGTCGAGGTCCTCTTCTCAGTGCTTGATGAGGTTGTGAAGGTTGGATCAAAATCAATCCAGCTTCAAATCACGACCGAGTCGACCACCGACGACAAACCCAAAGAAACTCCCATCCCCACAATTGAAGATATCATCGCTCTTCTCACCATAAAGCCAAACCCCGACGCCGACATACTTCCCAATGAAGACTTTCCGCGCGAACCCTGGAAATCTGCCCAAACTCTCCTGAACGAACATTCTCAAGCCAACAAAGGGGAAGACGAAGAAGAAGAGCCCCCACCCCCATCTCAAGAACTCGCCAAACCACCCCCAACAAAAACCTACACGCTCCTCCAATCCATAACCCGCCTCTCGCAACACTACCTAACCTCATCCTCGCCCACCCTCCGCACCAAACTCCTCTCGCTAATAGCCACCGCCTCTCCGGCCCTCTCACACTCCCCAGAAGACTTCCTCCCCCTCGTAAACGACATCTGGCCCGTTCTCATAAAACGCATTTACGATAGCGAAACATACGTTGCTATAGCAGGTATGGATACCGTTTCTGGGATCTGTCAATACGCGGGAGATTTCATGCGGACGAGGATTAGTGTGGAGTGGAGTGGGATTATTGGGATGGCGAGGAGGGTTAGGAAGGAGATGGAGGGGGAGAGGAAGGGTAGTGCTGGGAGGGGGGTTTATGCCGAGGGTAGGAAGAAATGGGAGAGTGTTGTGCGGTTGCTCTGTGCGGTTGCTGAGTGGGTTAGGGTTGAGGATGCGATGTTTGATGATGTTGTGGAGGTGCTGGGGAGTGCTGTGTGGGAGAGGAGCGAGGTTAGGAGGGCGCTGGAAACGGTTAATGCAGATGCCATTTGGTTGGCTTGTTATGTAGCTAGGATGGCTACTAGTTTGCCTACACAGAAGCCGTATGTGGAGGGTTATGAGTTTGTTGCATTAAGGGCAACAGTGTATTGATTTAGTATAGAGGTCCGTAATAGAAGTACTGCACGCAATCAAAGATATCGAGCTCGCACTTTTCTGATACGATTCACGGGTGAAGCAAGCATAGGTTATGGAGATGAATGCATTCAATTTATAGTAGCACAAGTTACATTTTGCAGAGCAGAAAGAATGAGTTGAGTAACACAAGAACTTGTTGCGAAAGCATCGTACAAATTGTCCGTTTTACCACAGCAAAAAGTCCTGCCAAAATGATCAGGGTTTTGCAGCGTGGAACCCCCCAATTAGACTTCTACGTCCAAATATCAACGACCATTCGTTCGCTCCAAAATCTACTCGGAGTCTCCATCGTCATCGTCGCTCTCGGCCTCCGCAAGCCATTGAAGGAAAGGCTCAGCGGACTTTCGGACCTTCTTGCTAGTGGCGATATCAATGTATTTCTTGCTGGCCTTAGTGCCCCATTTGATGATGATATCCTCGGTAAGTAGATCAGCGTTGTAGAGGGACACAAGGATCTTCGAGGTCTGCTCGTAGATATCTGGCTTCTCTTTGGCGCGGAGACCGATGAACCGCTCCACACCTCCAAGAATAGATTTCTGGTGCTTTTCGGAAGTCCCAACCTAAAATCGAGTTAGCAACTATATGTTGCAAGGGTGATGGATTATGCTTACGTTTTTGAGCATTGCAGCACGCTTAGCCACTTGCTTGGCCATGTTATCATCGAAGATGGTCGATACCAAGACTAGGAGGGTACGGTGCTTAGTCTCAATACCCAGCTCCTTAGCCTTGAGATAGATTGCAACATCATCTAGCTTGTCGACTCCACCCTTCACTTCAACCTCACTGGTAATCCAGGTGCCGAGCTGGTCATACTTGGAGATGCCACCGTTTTCACCTTCTTCATCATCATCATCGCCGAGGACGAGCTTCTGCTTGAGGTCCTCTGGAAGTTGCATCTGACGAGCTCTGACAGCTTCATCAGACATATCAACAGTCCACTCATGATCATTGGCTTCGATTTCCTCGTCGAGCACCTGAGCCTCGGCGTTGATTCGGCGAGTGAGTTCATCATCACTGCCTGCCTCGATGGCAACGTCGTCGCCGTTTGATCCGTTCTCAGAAATATTTTCCCCGCCACTGCCGTGGCCGTTACCATTTTCTTTCACCTCGCCGTTTCCGTTCTCTCTGGCTTTGCGTGCAGCCTTTCTCTCGGCCTTGTCCTTCTTGCCCTTCTTTGGCTGGGTCTTAAGAATGAACCCACTGAGCTTGAGGCGGAGGTCGACGTCGGACCGTTCACCGCAGGCCTTGCAATCGAGGACAATACTACCGTCCTTGATAACCACTTCGGTTTCGGGGTTCTTGCACTTCTTGCAGAGAACGAATTTGTTGATAAAACCAACAAGGTAGTCCTGGAGCTTGGAGGCCTCGTGGGCACCGTTGATGATCCAGCGATCATCAGCGGGGTTGTTATTGGTCTGAGCTCCTAGCTCAAAGCCAAAGTACTTGATGACATAAGAACCAGGGCGTGCGAGAGACTGGGCGACGCTGCTCAGGTTGACAATGACAGTCTTGATGCCGTTTCCTTTGCCTTCAATCTTGGACTGGAGCCTCTCCATCTTATACCGGTAGAAGGGGTCCTTGATATCGCTGCGGATGTTGATGGTAGCCATGGCTGCGGTTGTATGGCGGTGTAACTTCGAATTTCTGTTTTTTGAATCACGGATCGACGTTGGCAGTTATGGGGCCGGATGATGCGATGTACGACATGCGGATATGGCGAACGAGGCGAGGAGGCTGGCAAAGAGAACGAATGGAAGGTGATATGGTTACTAACGGGACATTCAAAAGGTTTGGTGAGGCTTAGCCGTTGCTACTGAAGTAGGGGCTACAAGGTTTTCGCGGTATGCGAAATGGTTGCAGCTCGAGTGGCGGCTGGTGTGAGAGGTCGTTGGCGTGGGGTTTGAGATACATATAACGCAGATGTATCCGTAGACTAGCTGATGGCTTTGTTGATGAGGTCGAGGAAGAAGGGCAGCCTGTGGGTGAGGGATGGGTGATCGTTGCGATAGCGATGGGGCGATCGGATGGCGACGACGAGGCGTACAAGTTTGGAAAGGGCACAGTTGCTGCGGCGATGGAGTAGCTATGCTGTGGTATGTTGTATTCAGCGGTGATCAGACTTTCAGTTGCGGTCTGGCAGTTGATGTTGTTGTGCTGTCTTTGGGAGAAGACGTTTGTGTTGAAGGTTGTGATGTGAAGGGGAAGAGAAGTGGAGAGGAGAGAAGAAGAAAGATTTCACGAAGGGGTGGTGGTGGAAACATTCATCAAACGAGAAGACCAATTCACGCTTGGCAGATCCGCGCATGTTCGGCGGAATCCCGCCTGCGCCACTGAGGCTGCCGCGTAAAAATTCCAGTTAGTTCCATCGGCGTTTGCGCTATCCCCGATGAGGCCGGTTTTTATGATATTTTGTTTGTTTTTGTTTGCTTTTGAGATTGTTCGCCACTGAATGCACTACGCCGCAAGACCCCGAGTTCCATATCATTCATCCATTGGTGGTTTTAAAGGTAGAATTGCCAGCTCTATTGGAAATAGGCATATCGACAAGTCAATATCCATCCTAAAGTCCATTTCGGGGTTCTCGGAGGCGTCCCCGGTGGCTTATTATAAGCCCTTTGTGAAGAGCATACCTGGGAATTCCGGAAGCAGCCATCACATGACCGTCACTTGGCCTGGAACCTTACATTTATCATTTCATTCATTGTTTGTTCTTCCCGTCGTCACGGAGCCAATATAATGATGGACGTAGATCAAAGGAGTGTTGACTACTCCCTTTATCTGGTCACTGACTCGTCACCCGCCACCCTAGGTGCTCGAGATCTCGTGGAGGTTGTCGAAGCAGCACTACAGGGTGGGGTGACCGTCGTACAATATAGAGACAAAACCAACGATACTGGTGTCCTGGTCTCTACGGCTAAGAGATTACATGAGGTGACACGGAAATACAATGTGCCTCTTCTTATCAATGATCGAGTCGATGTGGCATTGGCCGTTGGGTGCGAGGGTGTACATATTGGCCAAGATGATATTGGTATGTGTGGCTTGCTTTTGCTCACGCCTCAAAATATCTGATCTGACTTCCACAGACCTCGGAAGTGCGAGGAAGATACTAGGAAAGGATGCCATCATTGGGGTTACCGTATCTTCAATTGTGGAGGCTGAAGCTGCCTGTGACGGTGGTGCTGATTATCTTGGTATTGGGACCGTGTTTGCAACGCCAACGTAAGTCAAGTGATACGTTGATGTGTTGAGCCGGGTTGCTAAAAGTACGCCAGTAAAACAAACACCAAGGAGATAATCGGTACCGCAGGTGTAAAAACGATCCTTCGGGCTCTAGCAGCTAAAGGATCAAACGTACGGACCGTGTGCATCGGAGGCATCAATGCATCTACAGTTCAGCGCGTGATATATCAGTCGTCGGATGCGAGCAAGAATCTAGATGGCGTTGCGGTTGTCAGCGCCATCATCGCCGCCCAAGATCCAAAGCAAGCCGCCCAAGATCTCCTGCAACTGGTGCACTCCCCACCGCCTTATGCAATCAGCTCAATAGTCACCGGGCAGAAGCCTACAAGCGTGGATGACCTTGTTAGCGACGTCTGTGACATTATCCAGACTGTTAGTGCTGAGAACCCTCTCTCCCATAATATGACAAACCTAGTAGTGCAGAACTTCTCAGCAAATGTCGCGTTAGCATTTGGAGGATCTCCAATCATGGCAAATTATGGGGAAGAGGCGCGGGATCTCGCCAAACTAGGAGGCGCTCTTGTCATTAACATGGGCACAGTCACCCCTGACGGTCTACAGAACTATGCCAAGGCATTGTCGGCATATAATGTGGAAGGAGGACCAGTGGTCTTCGATCCCGTTGGTGCCGGAGCTACATCTGTTAGGAGAAGCGCGGTTAAGACGCTAATGGCCGCTGGATATTTTGATGTGATCAAAGGCAACGAGGGAGAGATAAAGACTGTATATGGAACAGTGGTCCAGCAGAGAGGGGTTGACAGTGGCGCGAGTACGTCAAGTGATCTGGAAAAAGCCAGGCTAGTTCGAGACCTTGCTGAAAGAGAGCGGAACGTCGTGCTCATGACAGGACCTACTGATTTCGTCAGTGACGGAACCCGCACATATACCGTTAAGAATGGCCACAAGCTGCTAGAGGAGATTACCGGAAGTGGCTGCGTCCTCGGGACTGCGATTTCCTTGATGCTAGCTGTCTGCCGAGGGGATAAGTTGCTTGCAACTCTTTCCGCGATGCTCCATTTCGAGATCGCGGCCGAGATCGCGGCTGAGAGGGAGGATGTTAAAGGACCAGGTACCTTTGTCCCTGCTTTGATTGATGAGATCTACAATATCCAGAAAGCTACAAATGGCGGAGACTATAACTGGCTGAAAAGAGCTAGAGTCGAAGCTGTAGATACGAAGTAACTTACATAAAGACCGTCAAGTTTCATCAAGCAAGTATGATTAGGACAGAAATATCAAATTCCTCGCGAGTGCCAATTTAAATGCCCTACTAGGTTTGACGCCAGAGATTGTCTCTCTTGGTTGCTTTGCCTACACCTGCTATACATTGGGCTGCTGCGGCGGTTCCCTAACTTCAACTTCCTAAACGCCTTACGAACAAGCAAAATAATAATTATGACAATAAGTTTGAACGGCTTGGGCTTATAGGGTAAATAGCAGGTGTTGTTTGTTTAAGCCGACGTGCCTAGGTAGGTGGGCAAGGTAGGTACCGAGGTACCTTGGTATTGAAGACATAACACAAGTTTAGAGTCGCAAAGGTGTATCCAGAGGAGTGTGAAATTCGCAGTTTGGTATGTTTATAGGTTGGATATGTATAGGAGATTATCGTAGAAGGATGATAGGGGGCTTTTTAGAAATATCAACCCTCTTTGCAAACCATTTTATATAGCCTTTTCATTTTTAACTTTCTCTCGTTTGACCCCAGACCGGAGGCCATTCCGGGGGAAAGGAGTGGCGCCTCGGTTACAACCCCGCCATCCCCCGCGCTCGTGCTGTAACGCGCGATCTTTACCCTCCATGCTTCCAACGCTTCACATCACAGCAATAGCACAACGCAGAACTCTAGGCTTCTTGCATCGCCATACTCCCAATTCAAGAATTAATTTAAGCACAATGTCGGTCAAACCAACAAGGCGTCTAAGTACGTTCCCCCTTCAAGAGCTTCTCCAATCCTGCTAACAATGACACAGCTCGCCCCGCGCTTTTGTTCGTCTGCCACTCCACCCTTGATAGATGAGTCGAATATGGCATAAGCATACGGCTGGCAAAAAGCTGATCAGAGGAATGAAATAGTATTTGCGATATCCAGGAGAAATTCCGGGCGGGAATCTGGGAATATGAGAAAATGCAAGTTGCAATCTCTAGCTTCTAGAGTCTACTCTACCGCTCGCTATTCAAGACCTACCTTGAATACGTTCTTCCCCTATACAACTAACATACAAGGTACAGCATAACAACGACGCAGAAGATGCTGCGCGCGGCGCAAATCCTCTCCATCCCCGTCTACGTAACGACGCAAAACCGTGCCCGCCTAGGCGAGACCTGCTCCGAGCTCCTCCCCCTCTTAAATTCCGCCGTCGAGGATGTCGATAAAAAATATTTCTCCATGTGGCTCCCCGAAATAACCCGACACTTCAAATTCTCCTCTGAGATTGTCATCGTTGGTATCGAGAGCCACATTTGCGTGACGCAAACGGCAATAGACGCTTTACGGGAGGGCCATAAGGTGTATGTGCTTGCGGACGGAGTTAGTAGTTGTAATAAGGAGGAGGTGGGGATTGCGCTTGACAGGTTGAGGGCGGCGGGTGCGATTGTAACGACGAGTGAGAGTTGGATTTATGAGTGTATGGGGGATGCCGGGATTCCGGAGTTTAGAGATATTGCTGGGCTCGTGAAGGAGTATAATGGGAAGACGAAGGATGTTCTCGGTACTCTGTTGAGCAAGATGTAGATGGCTGTGTTTTGTTAGCTATGGGGATGTCCAACCATTAAGTTAGCATAGCACTGCGGTATATGTCCTGGCAGAACATATTATAAGCTAAAAATCAGTTCCTATTTATTCGGACTTGGGGTTCATAATGGGAATCATCTCCATATACGAAGTAGAGAGAATCATTTCGATGTCTTTCTGAAGACTCAACTAACTGGGAAACTTTGCAGAAGTCCAACGATTCTCCATTTGACCGGCACGGCAGCTCACTTCGAGCTCCTAACTCTCCCTTGCTTTCGAGGAAGTTCGAAAACCCCCCAAAAGCTCTTCTAAGTTGGCATCTATCTTCCTTATTAATCTCGAGGGCTTTTTTGTGACTTGCTTGTGATTAGCCGTTTGCGGAATCACAAGCTCAGGAACACACGAAGTAGATGCAACCAAGCAACACTCCCCTGCAGGTACCGGATTCTATTTCTGAACCCCGGAATCGGAAATGGATTCGCAAGCGAAAACCCGAAACCGCTCACATGGACCAGTCAGGTGACCCAAATCGAACCTCGGCTCACTGGCAAACCGGTATCATCCGACGTCGGAGGGGCGAATTCCGAATGCAACCGATTGCGCCCCGCGATTTCACAAGCCGCTCGACATCATTGCACATGCAAAGAACCATTTTATGCCTTATCGATTGACTATCAGAAGATACACGAAACAGCCAAAACAGAACCAGGAATCAATTGAATCCAAGGCTATAGCTATTCAATTGGGGAGAGGCAAAAGCCTCTATTCCCTTAGTCCAATCATTTCCTGCTCTGCTTTCGGGACTGACGTTGTGTACTTGGCATGGCGATGGTTGGATTGCGAGTAGAAAGTCCTTCCTTTCACCAGCGCCTCCGCTACCCCGAGTTAAAATAGCCCATGGAGAAGCTAGTAGCTGGGCAGCTCCCCGGCTCCACGATAGGTTTCTCTTATGCGGATAGCACCCGGTCTGTTCTCCACAAGTGCGAGGCAAGAGTGTAAGGGACGTCTTCGGGTCACCCGCGGTCAAAGTCGGTCTGGGGAATCACCGAGCTTCGAGGCAAAAAACAGCTCCAGTCCCAAATCACAGTCACAGTCACACTTCTTTTTTCTCTCTTTTCTTAACCTCTGTGCCTCTGCCCATTTTGCTTCTATCCCATAGCAGACTTCATTCTCATATCCTTATATCCATTACATCTTAAGAGCGGTGGCTCTTGACGAGGCGGGGACTGACACAGGAAATATCCATTCGGCCGATTGCATCATTTTTAGGAGCAAACCCCCAAAAGCCCACCAATCTTCAATATGTCGGCGAGAAATGGAAAGGGGTCAGAAGGCAAGAGGCCAGCCTCTGCGGCCACCAACTTGATTGGTAAATCTAAATCCTTCTAAATTGGAACCAAAGCGAATACTTACCGCCAAACTAGCTGGAGGAGCAGCAGGCATGATGGAAGCCCTCGTGTGCCATCCGTTAGGTATTATCCCCTCGTTACCACTATGAATCACTCACAGTACTAACTCCCCTTGAATAGATACCATAAAAGTGCGCATGCAACTTTCACGGAGAGCTCGCGCCCCTGGCACAAAGCAGCGCGGCTTCATCAAGACGGGCGCCGAGATCGTGAGAAAGGAAACAGCATTAGGGTTGTATAAGGGGCTTGGCGCTGTAGTTACGGGTATCGTGCCTAAGATGGCTATTCGGTTTACGAGTTTTGAAGCGTACAAGAAACTTCTTGCGAATAAGGAGACGGGGCGTGTGAGTGGGCAGGCCACATTTTTGGGTAGGTTTTCTCTTTCCTCCTTCCGCCCTTGAGGTTCTAGAACCCATAGCTACAACAATTGCGCGGATATTTATCTCTATGGCCCTGTAGAGTCAAGCCCATCTTGGGAATTGGACGGTATGCTAATATTTTTCTGCAAACAGCTGGTCTATCAGCAGGTGTCACGGAAGCCGTTGCGGTAGTCACACCTATGGAAGTCATCAAAATCCGTCTGCAAGCTCAACACCACAGCATGGCTGACCCACTTGACATTCCAAAATACCGCAATGCTGCACACGCTCTCTACACCGTGGTAAAGGAAGAAGGAATCGGAGCTCTGTACCGAGGTGTTTCCCTAACCGCATTACGGCAAGGTCAGTAAACCCCCCTGTTCTCTCTCTCCCATTGCAAAACCTCTCGCTAACGACGAATCAAAAACAGGCTCCAACCAAGCTGTAAATTTCACCGCATACACCGAATTCAAAGAAATCCTGCAAAGATGGCAACCACAATACTCAGATTCACCGCTTCCCTCCTACCAGACAACATTCATCGGTCTCATCTCCGGCGCCATGGGTCCTCTGAGTAACGCACCCATTGATACCATTAAGACGCGCCTACAGAAGACGCCTGCGCTGGCGGGCGAGACTGCTATGGGCAGGATTATGAATATTGCGAAGGATATGTTCAAGTATGTTGATTCCCTAAGGCAATGTAGAGGTTGGATACGGCCAATATATACTAACATTGTGAAACTAGACAAGAAGGTTTCCACGCCTTCTACAAGGGTATCACGCCTCGCATCATGCGTGTAGCACCCGGCCAAGCCGTTACTTTCACTGTGTATGAATTTTTGAAGGAAAAACTCGAGACCAGCAACTTGCCCCTCGTCGGCGCCGGGTATGAAAAATAAGTTATGTTCGGTATAGATGGGTTTAGCTGAAATCAGATAAAAACAGATCGCGAGGGGATGAGAAGGCCGCGGGGGCTATATAGTTGATATTGAGGGGTCTTTCAGGTGCAGAGGATCGAGCCCGGAGAAGTTGATTGCGGTCATGAACGACAATGGGGAATGGAATCCGGGATGTATATATGGAAGAGGGAAGTAGAAGAATAGGGAGGAAAGGGACGGTTCTTGTGTTCCTTATCATTGTTCTGCATCTAACTCTGGGTTTTCTTTGTCGTCGTCGATATGAGAGAAGGAAGCATAGTCCAGCATAGCATCCTATACCCAATCACATGCCTATCTTATCATTCCCATACCTTTTTCCCGTTTTAGAAATCCTATAACCCGCCTGTGTCTCATTGCGTCATCTAAATCATATCCTTATCTCCGGCCGGGTCTCTTGGGCCTCTCAAACGCCCTCTTAACCTCGACCTTCGGATGTAAATCCTCCATAATGCTTTCCTCAGTAACATCCTCAGGGCTACTTGACTCGATCCTCCTCTCAATCTTCAACCCCGCCTCCGCTTCCGCTACTTGTACGGCTGAGCGGGAAGATGCGGCATACAACATCCGCTCTTTAACCTTAGAGCCAGAAGGACAGGTATAAATGAAAAGAATTGGGGAAGTGGTTTCACCGTTGTGAGAATGTGCGAAGCGGTAGACCGAGTAGCGTGGTTCGGTGGGGGAAATCGTGGTAGGAAGGGACTCGATAGGGGTGCTGGTAATGGAGGCTAGCTCCATTGTTTCGGTAGGGATGTCGATTTTCTACATTATATCAGTGTTGCTCTTCGTCAAGGAATTAGTATACTTGGATAAGAAGTAGTACCTACCAATTGCACCAAGTTATCTCCCTCCCCATCACCGCTAGCCAAGCTCTTCAAAGCAGCCAAGGCATCATCCGTAATAGGCATACTCACACCACTGCTAACATGGCTCTTCCTCTCACTCATTCCCCGCCCCTCCTCAGCCTCCTTCCTCTTCACCTCGCCCAGAGAAACCTCTTCCTCCGTCAACGGCGCCTCCAACTCATTATGCTTATCATGTTTCTTGAACCCCGCTTCGGTCAACTCGTCTTCCCTATTTGCGAAGATAGACTCTCGGAATCGCTCAATCCCCAGCTCTCGAACGAGTGTCAGCCTCGTAGATGCGAAGAGCATCTTTTGCCGCACTGGTGCTGCATCAGGGACGTAGGTTATAGCGACGAAGGGTGCGGGAGAGGAGGTCTCATAACGTCGGAGGATTATGTAGAGTGCAGTTTTGGGCGTGATGTGCGGTGTTAGAAGGGAGAGGTCGGAGGTGAAGGACCCCGTTGAAGGGGAGAGGATGGCGGATGGGACTAAAGATTCCTTCTCTATTGTCACGAGGAGGCCGCGCTGAGATTCCGTGGACACGAGGGTCTGGAATGCGGTATGCAGCTCTTGGGATGCTAGCAGAGGAGATGGTTAGTAAACAGGGCATAATACGAGTACGTAGCTGGTAACCAAAGAGAGAGTACCTGAACGCACCTGATATTCCGGACTGCATCTTGAGATATGATACCCGCCTGTTATATAGGTAGTAGAGTTGAGTTATTTACTTCCGTAGTTCTCCGTATATGATGTTCGTGTTGTTTGTTGTCACGACGTATGGAGGGGTCGAGGGGCTTGGGTGGTTGGGCTTCAGGGGCTACGAGTACGATGTGCGAATACGAATATCCGTTTATTAATGCGTCGAGTACGTGCCTTCCTACTAGGTACCCAGGTACTTTATACTTTGTTTAACCTGAATCCTTACTCACTTCTGCATTAATCGTCCTAATCTACACTTTGCGTTACCCTTACTTTGACTACCAGTGTCATCTAATGACCCCCTCGCTCACCCTTGTCCTAATCAAACATAATAAATCTTACAAAATAGTTGATCCCCCAGATCCTTCAAATATGGTAGTCTTTGCCGATTTTACTAAAACCGATGAATGTAGGCTCCAGCCACCTCTCCTTGTTGTTGCGGTGAGGTATAGCCATGCCCTATTGTCACAATATCATTAATTCCCAGCAAATGCCTTCACACTATACCATTCATATTCATCTTCTCGAATTTTGCCTTCAGAGCTTTCACACGCTGTTTCCTATCTACCCACCAATAAACAACATACCACGCCGCGAATGTCATGGCCATCAACGGTAGTGTGATTGTCGCATACCGCTTCAGTGCCGTGGAGGAGTAATCTTCCTTAAAGTTGTTGGTATCGGGGATTTTTGAATATTGAAGTATGTCCGTGCTCATAATCGTCTGTACTTCGGTGTTAGTGAGAACGTTGGGTGGGGGCATGAATGAGATGGAATCCGACAAAATAAGGTAAGCTGAATAGGCATACAGAGATGAAGGTTCCAGGCAAGAAGAACAGAGTCACAAGCGTGATGATACGCATTGAGACCGTTTCCTGTTTAGTTTTCTGGGCGAGTGCATTCATCTCTTCGGTCATGATTTGCATCTCACTGGTTGATGCCGCTGCCTTCTCGGCGAATCTCTTACTAGCTTCCATATTGCAGTAGTTCAATGCTCCATTTAGCTATATGGTATTAGCAAACAAAGATCGGAAGTGGATTTGCTCTTACCAATCCTTTACGATTCGTCAGCGTTGAAAGTAACATGCTGGCTCGTGAATGCTGCATTTCGAGATCATTGACAATACTGAAAACAGTCTTTTCAAAGTCCCTGATCTTGCTTGAACACCCGGTCTTTATCTCGTCCGGAAAATTGGTGGAAGCAACGAGGTCCATGTAGTAGGCTTTGATATCCGAGACAATCTTGATATTTGACCTGATCACAAGGAGTAGCTCACTTACCTTTTCCTCGTATGACTGCACGTTTTGGAGATCAGAGAAGGAGAAGAGCTCTGTACTTTCAAAGTCAGGTTCGAACTCTGGAGGAGGGGCAGCTGGGTGAAGTATCGGTGCCAGTGGAATCGATGGTGATAGTGTTCTAATAGCTAATGAAGCCCGTCTGAATATTCGGGTGACAGCGCGTTTTATCTTTCCCGGTGGTGTTGTTGCGGCTCGTGGTGGAGATATGTTAGATGGTTGGGCTGGACGAGCTGAAGGCCTATCGAATCTCATTGTCAAGGCTCGGCATGTTGTGATCTCTTGAAGTCCTTCTAAGTAACTTATATACCAGCGCCATTGTTCACGGCACCAATCGAAGATAATCAGCTGTACAGTAAGTGCTACACAGAATGCTTGTGCTGCACTTGACATGTCTAAATTTGGGTGGTTGTCTGGGTTTGTGGCAGCCTTAATGCGTTGTTTGATTAGTTCATCCCCCTTGATCATAGTCCAGAAAGCTTTGCCGGTCACAACGTCAAATGAATGATACACTGCTAATTGTCGTACAGACCAGGGAAAATGTGGCTGGCTACTGGATGGTTCGACTGACTTAAGATTGTAACACATCTTGAAATCTGTACCAGACCGTCCGAGGTCAGGTAAATGCAAGTTTGGCTGGTCATTGTTCAAGTGGGTCTCATGGTAAAATCCGCTGAAATGGAAATCCCGTGGATATTCTTGTTTGCCAAAGGAAAACAGAAAGTCGACGAATGGTGCCATAGCTTGGTGATAAGTGAGCGCAACCGTGAGCATGTATCTTGTGACTTTTAATTTTGCTCTTGAGTGAGCGGCATGCACAAACCTAGAAATGGTGATTAGCATTATGAAAGTGCCACGCGATATGGAAACTACAAGTTCGAAACATTAACTCATACATGAACCTGCATTGTGGGTCAACCTCTGCAAAGAGCTGCCCTCCCACGAAATGGTTTCGCAGTTGTGTACTGTTATTGAAATGATGGGACTTAAACCCTATATTTTATTAGCAAATATCACAAGCGTTTAAATCCCATTCGGAATCATATTACCAGTAGATTGGGCTCCATACTCCCATAGTTCGAGATTTGTTTTGTCTTCGCAGCTGAACAGCCGATCGTCTTGCTCATTCAATCGGTCAACATGTGCCTCGAGAACATGCTCATAGGCTCTGTGATAAACCAGGCTTTTCGGAAAGCTGGCGGACTTGTTTAAAGAGTCCCGAAAAGAGTCATTATCAGCCATGTTTTGTGGATAGCCGGGTCTAGTACCGGATACGCCAGTACCAGAACTTCGGGGTTTTGCAGAGAAATAGATAAAAGGTCTGACGAAGCAGAGCTTTCCTTTGTTAGTTGGTAAGAAAGACTCGAAAGGAAGAGATATCTCCGACTTTAACGGTTAGTTTGTTGTTTGGTGCTTGCGCCACAATGTGCCTCCTGAGCAAGGCAGACCATCCAAGCTGAGCGCGAGACGCCCGGCACCAACCATAGGTAAATTAAAGTACGTTCATGCGACACATTAGCATGCTTGTTGCTAAAAGCTATTCCTCATTTGTTCCTTTCTTCGCTAAATATTCTTGAACTCGTAGCCTCATTCATGCCTCCATTCTTTGTCAAGTCTCCGTTATCCGCAATCCTACTCGGCCTTGGAGCCTCCTGATATTCCTCACGACTTTACGGGTTGATTAAGTGCGCGCCTCATCTAGCTTTGCTTTCTCGCCCTGTTTATGTTTCAGGCTTGCCGCAACCTCGCTCTCCACCCTTGGCTCAACCTACCTCAGTCAAATCGCGAGAAATCCAAAACGCCCAGGCATCACTTTTAAGCTACACAGCATCGCTCAGCTATTCATCCTTGCACAGACACAGAAGTATGCTTGCCTTGATATGAAATTTCATTCTGCCAAATAAGCCTACGAGGAAGTCGTCAAGGGCAGATTGCGACAGCCGGTAAGCATTAACTGTGCGCCACTTATAGTCATCCATTGCGACACTTTTAGCCACTTGTGGTTTGACTAAGAAAGACTTTGAATATCTAAAATATTGAAGTCGGACAATGGCTGGTTTTGGGGCCGCATGGCTCGGGAGAGAAGGCTATTGTCGATTATATAGCCCATATCTCCGGATGGCGGTGCAAGTAGGCATTTTGAGTGGCGAACGCGGAGTTAAAGCAGCAGATCAATCTGGGGAGTTGAGTGGTATCGCGTGTCAGGTTTCAGGCAAGTTCAAGGATGTCTTGCATCAAAACCAATCCCGTGGAAGCTGCATTTTGTTTTTCCTTCCACCGGCATCTCGATTGGGAAACCGAGCCTCAGAATCCATTTGAGCGGCTAATCGCCAGCCAAAAGCGGCCCCAGCTTCGATCAAACAAGAGCGGAAGTGTGAAGGTTTAGCAGAAAGGTGTGCTACGTCAAGCCCGCACCGCAAATACATTTTCATCTTCTTCAGGCGCTTCGGCTCTGCTCTCGTTACTCGTTACTGGGCGAGAGGCCACCCAATGCTGGACATGGCCGAGCGCTACTTATTGTGGACAGCACTTGTGACCAGAACCTTCGTACGAAGTGCTCTTTGTAGGTAAATGTACGATTAGGAGATGGAAGAGCCATTGATTCGGGTCAAGGAACAGCGGAGGTAGCCAGGATTACATAAGTATAAAGTATATACCGTGCAAGTGTACTTCGTACTTTGCGCCTAGTCCGTTCTATCTTAATGTTCGGGAAAGCTTATTGAAACCCGCGGAAGCTTGCTACGTCTTGGTCAACATCTAGCTAGTACTGCTGATTGCTACATATTGGTACCTTACCGTTACCTACCTATGTGCTGTGCAAAGGCTACAAGGCTACAAGCGCTCTGCTACCTGACACCTCTCGCCAACCACCAATCATACTTCCCAAGGACCCTGGCCCAGCGCTTCCATCCATTGCGAAGGTCTTCCCTCGCCTCGGTGATGGGGTTCGGAAGCCCAGAACGGACCCCGCCAACCTTCCTTCTTCCCCTGACAGGATCAAAGCTAGACGTCCCCTTCCATTTGCACTTTCCAATACACCAACCCCACCTTCTTTTAATATACATCACTTTCTGCCCCTTTCGGCAGATGGTTGCTATGGGATCAAATCATTATCCCTTTGGTTTGTCGACCGGTTAGGCTGCTGCACCTCGCGGCGTGGTTATGTCGCAATCGAGCCGTCAACCGTACGCCCATGAAACCTTCCAGGTCTTCTATCGTTGGCTGCACCAAAACTACATATCAACTGGCCACCGCAAAGATAGGAAATTTCTGCCATGTGACCTTCTCAGCGAACATCTAGAGTCCAATGGATGCAAGGTTCTGAACGATCTGCTCAGCGACATTTACCCAGGTCAAGGGGTTCCAATAAGCCCCAAGGAGGTTGTGGGCGCCTATTCAAAGGTCTTTTGCATTCTGATATGCATTGGAAAGATTGACTTCCTTCCGCTGTTTATGAGCTGCGATGATCTCAATGATGCCCACCTCCCGTTCAAACTCCATGAGCCTCCCACCGAATTCCCCGTTGACCCAACTTCCCCAACGTTTTTCAAGGACTTTTGTGACAAGCAGTGGCGTTTCTGCCCGCCTGATATCGACGCCAACTGTAATCGACGACTCGACCAGCGCTACATATTGCCATTCACATCAAAGACCGAGAAATTTAAAGGTGCAAGCTCAACGATATCTACGATTGAAATATATCCACGACACCATTTCCTACCCTCCTTAAAGGTGAGTTCTTATTTCCAAACGCTCTACGCTCTATCCATTGGTTGATTCGTTCATAGCATGAAACCAACAGATCCACGACTATCTTCGCCCTCAAGACGTATCGAGGAACGGACGCCGAGAAATCATGGAACAACGAAGTGCGCGCCTTCCAGAAGTTCCGCGACCCATCTGAGGAGTCTCCTAATGTCGTTGGCTTCTACACAGCCTTCAAGCATGGGAACATCTGCCATGCGATCCTCGAATATGCAGATAGAGGCTCGCTGGAACAATACCTCGAAGCGAACAAACCGCCAGTAGACGGAGTAGATGTTGCAAGATTTTGGAAAAGAGCTTTGGGTTTGATTAGGGGTTTGAAGGATTTACACAATGGGGATCGTATAGTGTAAGTTTTCCCTCCCTCTATTTTGGTATGCGGCCTCTAACATTTAAAGATGCCATCAAGACATCAAGCCTGCAAACGTTCTTGTATTGAGTGATCCAAGTATTAACTCGCCGTATGCTTCCACATTCAAGATCGCAGACCTTGGTACAAGTCACTCCAAACGCATCACCTCTTCCGATGATGATCGCTCTAGCAGAGACGCCCAAGGCACCCGTACATATGGTGAGTTCTCGCATAGTATGCCTTCATCTCATTACTTACTAACCTATGACTCAGGAGCCCCAGAATGCTATCGATCCGATGGATCGCTTGGTGAGGGGTGCATCAGAGTGACGCCAACTGTTGATGTTTTTTCCCTTGGGTGTGTTCTCAGCGAAGTTACCGTTTGGATTGCTGGTGGATACGAATATCTGACCGGGTATCGCAAAGCTCGTCGGAAAGCCATCGAACAAATCCCGGACGGGGACTGCTTCCATAATGGCACAAGTCGGCTGCCAATAGTTGAGGAGTGGCACAGAAAGGTTGAAGCCAAAATTGACTCCACCCAAGATGCATTTACTCCCAAGTTTATCCCAATGATTGAGGAAATGCTCCATGACCAACAACATCGGGGGGATGCCATGAGTTTCTGCACGAAGGCTCATAAAATATTTGTTGAAGCACTGGACGAATTTCTAGAACGATCGCAAGATCTGGTTATTCCCGAAGACATATTATCATGCTCGCTGCGGAGACAGAGAGGGAGGATAGATCCACCTGTGCCGCCCGTCGAAATTGACCAACTGGCGACGACTCCACTAGCTGTCCACTCTACCTCAGCTTCAAAAACCACCGCGTTGGAATCCAGCCTGCCGTTTGGTAGACACAACCTCGTCACCAGTGCACCGATTGAAAGTTCAACTCGCTTCTTCGATAATGAAGATATGGGAGCCCGCCGCCACAGTGCGCAGCCTCAAGGCTACCAGAATAGACCCAAGCTGAGTAAGACAGGCCATCAAATATCACTCGTAACCAATTCACCAAGTACCGCTCCAATTGCGAGTCCAGCCGTTGAACCTTCGACTTGTCTTCCACTAGAATTCCCAGATATTACTAAGTCTACGTATCCTCCTACGAACCACGTAATCAATCGTTCAGTCGTCCGCTACATGTCAAGAAAAGAGGCGATTTCATGGCGAGAAACGAAGAAAAGCTCGTGGATTACAAACTCTACTCTTCGAGACCAGTCGGTCTTGAATTTCTTAGATAATAGAGATAGCGTGAGCTTCCCTTCCCCAGCCACCACCCTTTGACAGTCAACCCTAATGATAGCCAGGTAATCATCATTGACGATTCAGAATCCATGCGGAAGCATTGGAAGGATATGGCAGAACTCCTCGGCATCATTGCATACATGATCAAACCCCATGATAAAGATGGCCTCGACCTCTACTTCACCTCATCAGCATCCAGATACCATGAATACAACTCGACTAAACTTGTCAGCATCGTTGAGAAGAGAACGTCCTGCGAAGACATGGGTTATACGGACATGAGTGTTCGGCTAGAACAAGTGTTGGAAGATTATGCGTGTAAAATACAGCGCAAGCCCATGGGAGGCAGAACTCGCGGGCTGAATGTTTATATCTTCACGGATGCCATTTGGACCCCACTTTGCAACATCGTACCGGCGATCCACACCATGGTTAAGACATTGGTTGCCAACGACCTCCCAGAGAAACAAGTTGGCCTTCAGTTTATTAGTTTTGGGGACGATGCTCAAAGCCTTGAAAGATTGAGGCTTGTGGATAGTTTTCTGGTGTCAAAACCCGACTTTCCCTAGTAAGTGTCCTAAAATCTTGTTAATATTGTCCTGGGTCCACATCTAAATTTTGCAGCGACATTGTAGATACAACTCCCTCTACCGGCAACCTATACAAGATGATTCGTGGAGCGATCGACCGAAACTTTGATTATGATTCCGAGGATCAATCAAGTTCCGTCGCCAATTGCTCTTTTGTGCCTCCCTGACAAGGACGACAATCGCTCATTACAATCAATCCCACAGTTTCCGGTACTCCTTGGTCTCACCATACATATATTTCCCTTACTCGGTACACCCCATCGAATTGAAAGCTCATCACAACTTACTAATTTACTCTCAGGGTCTATCATTTACAGATAGGTATAAACAAAATCTATTGCGCTTCTAAATTAGCGAATTTACCTTGACTATACACGAGTGTTATGGCTTTCTCTAGCCAGAGAGAAGAAAGGAGGTGTACTTACATGTGTGCTGATATCTCGGAAGTTCAGCGGAAGTCTGTGTAAATATCGCAAACAAGCTGGAGGAAATTATACCAGAATAGATGTCTAGAACATGTGCTGGAAATCAATTAGATAATCTTATCAGAAACATAGAGGTCCTTGCAAATTTTCAAAGCACATCTTTTATTTGATCTGTTAGTGGTTCAAGAATTTTGAAGGGGGAGTGACATAGGTGTCGTCGAACGGGAGTTGCACAGTGCTTGAGTTCGCGAGATTGTGTAGCGTTCCCTTGGAAATTTTTATCTCTCTCTGTCTCTCTCTCTCTCTCTCTCCGTAGTACGAAAAGTCGAGTGATGTTTTGGACACGTTCTCTACTTTCGAATGTTGTGCCTCGGATTTCAGCGGGGCAGTCAAAAGAAAGATTGGAGTCAAGGGAGTTGTCGAGCTGTCGAGAGAGCAGTGGGCAGTACATACGGGAGGCACCCTTCGGACCCTCTGTTGAAAGCTACCAATTTACAGTAAGATAGGTCTTTAACTCCGCCGCGGGCGCCAACTAGGCAAGCAGACCTGACCGATTTATGTGTTAGCTAGAGTTATTATTATTGTAGAAAGGTTATTCAGATTTTATATACTTACTTTTTAAAATAAAAAAATTATTTTTTATAGGTTAGGATTAAGGTTAAACAATCTATTGTTATTGCTCTTGATATCTTAATTGTACGTACTGCTGGTTATATACGTAAACCGTACCATTCACTTGCTTGTTTAATGACTCTCAATTCGCCAGAGCACGTGCTTGGCAAATTGCGGCTTCTTGATTTTACGTCTTTAATTTGATTACAATGAATCCATCTATATGTTGCGGGTTATGGGCTACGTATTTTTGCTGCAAGCCGACGGATTATGATCACCGAGAATATCAGGATCAAGCGATCTACGAGATAACAACTATCTAAAATTGGAAGACATCCATAACGCCAAGTACTAATGCCTTTTATGCAGCTCTATTCTGCGAATCCTTTCTACTCCTGGTAGAGCGCAATCCTTTTTCATTAACGCCGCAACTCGTGGAGCTTTGTGTTTCATCCTATCCATCCGGGCATCCTATCTAGAGGAGACGGCGCGGGTCTTGGCACGATTCCTGCTGCTCCTTATAGCTGGCGGCCTCGCCGCAATCTCGACTTTGATGGGGCTATGCTCTCCTTATCAGTCAAACAGGTTGCATTTCGAGCAATTCCCAATTCCTTTTGGAAGACATCTACGTAGAAACAAGCTTGGAACTACGCTGCGTAGCTTTGCCGTCGCGCTAGCTTGGTATATTCCAGCCGTCGTTTACCATATTGCCCTCGGAGACAGGACTTACTTCCTCGACTCAGATACAATGCGAAGGGGTCCCATCTCGCTATTCTGGGTATTGATAGCCCCGGTCAGCGAAGGAGCTCTATCCTCTAGGTTCTTATTGTTGCGAGATCACAAAGTCGGCAAAAGAGGAATTAGGAAGATTGAACGTAACAACGACCAGCTTCAAATCCATCTTGTAGAGCATTGTCATTCATTATTGTACTACGTAACTTTACAGCTAAACGCAATGTTCGGGTGCGATGGTCGCCGAAGCCAGCGCGTTTGGTCGCTGTTTGAAGTTATGCGACGATTGTCCCAACTTACTCGTACCAGGTCGGCGGATTCTCCTGCATTGAATAACACGTTTTCCCACATCGTACTACTCTAGCCCGATCAAGCTAGAGTCTACCCGGGCCAGGGGAGGGCGCTGTTAAGCCGCTGGTATGTACTTTTAAGCCGACGTGATAAGAAATTGCCTCTGCCACTAAAATGTATATGTGATTATCAATAATAATATGCTATTAATCGACCTAGACCAGTAATGTCTAAAGTAGCAGCTAATTGAGGTTATCCCCACTTCTCTATCTGCAACTATTTTGTTTTACTCCTTACGGAGTATTACCAACCTACCTACTCTACAAAATAATGTTTTTGTTAATTGAGCCACCTACGCCATGTCGGGGTCTCCGGGTACGCTAGACGTGCATCTCCTAACCACCCTTACTTCTAGCCTCTTGGCGGGCGCCTGTTTGTTTACACAACATTAACCACCTCCTACTACGTCTACTCGCGCCAGTGACGAACAGCTTCATTTTGGCGCTACGTGATTGTCGCTCTCCAGTCGCGGAGCAACTTATTGTTACACGCACCCGCGTTTTGGTTGCGGCGGCAGTTTCTTACCATCCCTGCTTGGGAGCGGCGTCCTCCTGCCTAACCGGGCTAGCACGATGTGATGTACCTCCTCGAGTACAGTACTTGTACGTACGAAAAAGGCGCTCCTCGGTGCAGGGGAAGCTGCCTAGAGTTGCAATTTGTCGGGTTTATTATGGGGATGTACTTACTGTGCGTAGTTACGTGGTACTATGGTATGTACAGTAGGTCAGACGACCTGTTATCTATACCCTCGCCCCTACTCTAAGTCGGCGTTTCACGAAAATATTGTACCTAGCGCTTACAGCTTTAGGGATCCACTCGCGCTCGCTGGCTTTCCAGGCGACGTATAAAGTCGTCTCCCAAGAGTCAAGACTCCTCGCACGAATTGAATGTGGATTTGCGGGGCGATAAACTCGGTCACTAGTACATACTTAGGCAACGGTTATCGACGCTAGCACTTACGTACGACAGTAAAAACGTACCCTTTTGCCCTATCCACCTGCCTAAGGCGTGTTGGATCAGGGCATGCCAAGCATACCCCGGGTAGCGTCCCACGGGGTAGCCCTGTATGGCGGAGGTGGCGGTTTGCGGCGGGAGCTTCCCGCCGGGATGTTGTTATTCTTAAAGGCTTCCTCTCCGCAAATCTACTGACAGCACCAACTTTCTGCGCAGTGCGAACGAGCGCGGAGAACAGCAAACATGGACTCCAAGTATAACGAGCACGACTTCAAGGCCGAGAAGGGCGCCGAGGAGGACGTGGGTCACCCAGTCTCCGGAGAAAATGAGTTCAATCTGGCGGACGGACACAACCAGCTGGAGCGTGGTCTCAAGAGTCGTCATATCCAGTTCTTAGCTCTCGGTATGTATTATCTTTTCGATGTGTATCACCTGCGAGATTTGAAGCTGAACAATAGACAGGCGGTGCAATCGGGACGGGTCTCTTTGTTGGATCTGGCGGCATCCTCAGCGATACAGGCCCCGCGCCTCTCTTCATGGCCTACCTCTCTATGATGTTCGTCGTCTGGTGCGTGATGAACGACTTAGCAGAGATGGTAACGTACCTGCCGATGAAAGGTATCTCGATTCCCTACTTCGTTGGGCGCTTCGTAGACCCCAGCCTGGCCTTTGCGGCTGGTTGGAATTACTGGTATGCCTATGCTATGTTGGTAGCAGCAGAGGCCAGCGCAGCGTCCATTGTGCTCGAGTACTGGCACGCCCCGGTTGGCGTTGCAGTGTGGATCACCATGGTCCTGGTGATTATCCTGCTACTGAACGTTATCGCTGTGTCCTTCTTCGGAGAGGCCGAGTTCTGGTTCGCAAGTATCAAGCTCATCACCATCCTCGGACTCATCATTCTCGGCGTTGTGCTATTCTTCGGAGGTGGACCCAATCACGATCGACTGGGGTTCAGATATTGGAAGAATCCAGGGGCGTTCAACAACTACATGGTCCATGGCAATCCAGGGACAGGGCGGTTCTTGGGATACTGGCATGCGTTTGTCAAGGCCGGCTTCGCATTTATCACCTCCCCCGAGCTTATCGCTATTGCAGCCGGAGAGACAGTTGATCCCCGTCGAAACATTCCCAAAGCTGCTAGGCGCTTCGTGTGGCGTTTGGCATTGTTCTATGGCTTTGCATCTCTAATCATTGGAATCCTCGTGCCATACACTGACGACCGATTGCTCGGGGAGTCCAATGCCAGCGCAAGTCCATTTGTGATTGGTATCAAGGCCGCCGGAATTCGAGGACTTGACCATGCCATTAACGCCGCAATCCTGACATCCGCTTGGTCTGCTGGGAACTCCTTCCTATACTCTGGCTCTCGAGTGCTGTACTCGATGTCGCTGAACAAGCAGGCGCCAAAAATTTTCGCCAGAACGAATAAACACGGTGTGCCGTATGTTGCGGTCGCGTTCACCTGGATGTTTTCCCTGCTTGCATACCTCAACGTCTCCAATAATGGTGCCACGGTCTTCAACTGGTTCGTGAACATCTCCACCATTTCAGGCTTCATCGCCTGGATCGTCGTCATGGTCACCTATCTACGCTTCCGCAAGGCTTTCGTTTACCACGACCTCCTTCACACGCTCCCCTACAGAACACCATTACAACCATACCTCACCTACTTCGTGCTTTTCATCATCACTCTCCTCACCCTGACAAACGGCTTCCAAATTTTCTGGCCCAATAAATTTAATGCCACGGATTTCCTCGCCGCGTATATCACGCTTCCCATCTTCCTGGCGCTATACTTCGGTCACAAGATATATTTCCGCACCCGTTTTGCGATTCCCGTAGCTGAGATTGACATTATATCAGGCAAGAAGGAGATGGATGAGCTGGCCGAGATGGAGCAACCGCGTGTGGCCAAGAACTTATTGCAGAAGATCTGGTTCTGGCTTGCTTAATCTTGTTTGGCGGAACATACAGCACTGAAGTAGCTTAGATATCTCAATCGTCATGGCATACCCATTTAGAAGGCCTAAAACTAAGGTTATTTTAATTTTTACACACTATTGCTTAATTCCTACTTCTGTGCCCCAAGCTTTCCCTGCTCAGGTTTTTTCAGCTCAATGTGATGTGTTCTGAAAGCATCCCTGAGGTATCCACCCCTTCCTTTCCCATACCCTAATATTAAAATATATATATGAAAAATACCGACTCGATTACTATAGTTTTACTAGAGTAGCTTGTCACCAATCTTTCAAGCTTCATGGTACATCTTAACCCCAAAGCCCAAAGCTGGGTCCTTTGGAAATTCCACATTTTGTTGGACCCACCATTATTTTTAATTATCAAAAATGAGTACTGCTCTCTCGAGAGTGGCGCTCCTGCTTGCAAATTTTAACAAATTTTGGGCTTTAACTATCGGTAAAGCTATCTGCAGAGAGGCCTTTCAGCTAGCCGTCACTCTGAGATTGCAAAATGACTTCTCTTTTTATAGAGCTTCGAAGTCAGCTTCTGACCGTAGCAACCGAATTCGCCTGCTAAGAATACAGCCATCCGCTTTCGTTATATTATCCCCCTTTCCTTTCACCCCACTAAAACAGGCTACAAGTTATGCCATAATACTACTCGTCTACGTCACTGCTGCTCAGGATTCACCTGACCGCTCGCCATGCAACGAATTCATGTATGGTACAACCGAGACCTCTAAGAATATCCACCTAAACGCTCGTAATGCAACGAATCGTTTATGAGACCGTTGAGAACTAACAGGAATAACAGAATTACGTGAGACTTATGTCAAAGTGCGACATGCAACAAATTACCTATAACACAGCTCAAAAGTGGCAACATTGAGGACTTACGTGATATTGCGATGTGCAACAAAGCGAAAGAGAATATATTATAGAAGTAGCGGTCACGTAAACCTCCACTCGCTAGACCCTACCAAGCTGAAAAAATTACATCTTGTTATCGCTCAGCATACAGTGAGCCTTGGCTATATTTTCTACACTGTGTGGCAAAAGAAAGGGAGCGGAGAGATTACTGGATTATGTTCACTTGAATGCTCGTAATGCAACGTAACCTAACATCCACGCCGCTGTAGACTCTATGTATCAGGGGAAATCACAGGAGTAGCAAAAATGTAATGAGATCTGCAATATGCACATATCTAGCTTCTTGGGCCAGCTCACAAATGAAGAAGGATTTGATAACTTGGACATAGAACCTGGAATAGAAGATGTAGTTCTCAGCGTAACTTGTGGGATAAAGAAAAAAAGCAGTACGCTTCTAAGTCACTCGGGTGTCCGAAACGTAATGAAATCGTGAATTATATTTTGATTCTATATCCAGTTATGCGGCAATATACAGACTGGATTCACTTGAACGTCCGACACGCAATGAATGGTAACTGTTGGTGATTCGGTGCTCAAAAGAACGGAAGCAGCTGGGTATTTCCCGCTCGAACACTGAAAAGTGAGAAGTACGCTCTACATTCCTCGTGCCGCATGTATTAAAATACACCATCTCATCAATGCAAAGAACATCGACCGACGGATGTCCGATATTGTTTCTGGCATGGACAAAAATAGGAATTGGGGGCTGTACCACGTACATGTACAAGCTGGGATGTGCATTTCGTTGCATTTCGGACCTTTGGTGGTCTGTGCTCTGATATATATTTGCTCGGCGATGAGTACCTCCTTAGTAGGATTCAGGAGTTAGAACAAGGCTGTGGGGAAAGAGAGGATGGGAAATGTCGAAACCCAAAAGGAGAATATGTAGTCCATGATAAGGTTGTACGTAGATAGGGGTTTGCGCTGTCGGACCTCGCTTTGGGTAAATGATGCGACTTGAGAGCTATGCTAAATTGCAATGTGGTACAGGACCTGTTAGTTATATGGGAAAATAAGCAGAAATCCCATAACAACTGGAGACAGGTGACTAGGAAGCGTTGGTGGTGGTTAAGACCCCACCGCTAACAAACCTAGAGTGACCCTGGAGGGCTCCGCCAGAGAGAACTTTGAGGCTTGGAGGTAGTGGGCCCAAAGTTTCTCGGTATCCAACGCTCCGTGAAGATATTTCTTTTGCAATATTTTTGCTTTAATTCCTTTCCATTCTTTTTTTTGAGGGCTCCGTTGGCTGGCTTGTTGCGCTCAATCAAGCGAAGGCAAGGCTCTTACGCGTAAGGCATCCTACGATAGAGTTGTAGCAGATGGGGTCGTAAATATCTAAAATCAATCAGTACATCTTTCAGTGGGCTCCCTCCATGTCAAGCCAAGGCCTTCAAATAGTCTCTTCTCCTTCGCAAGCAAGTCTCCAGGACCCTTCTCCAAGTCTACCCAAGATCCGTCCTGCACCTTTCTCACTCCGCTACTATCGAACTTATACCCTAGCTTCTGCCTGCAATATTCCCTCAAATGTCTCTCAAAAAATGTAGCTCCGGTCCAGCCCAATACCGCGCATCCAGCCGTCTTCCACGGACTAATGATCACATCCACCCTCCTGTGGGGATTCGGATTCACCGCGTCAGGGTCCCTCTCCATATCGTCGTCCATAATAGGCAAGTCTTGATCCTGCCAATCCACAAACATATGATCCAGTGTGTCAAATCCGCCCTTTCTCCGTTCGCCCCCCTTCCAAGAGACCGGATTCTGATACCTGTCGCTATTTCTCGTAGATAGTTTGAGAGTGTGCCTAATGTACTTGCTCTTCTCTAGCGCAAACAAAAGGTCTTCCAAGAAATATGCCGTGCTCTCCTCATCCGGATGGCTCATGATGATATCAACGTCACCGGAATCCACCTTCCCTCGTCGATATCCACCACAAATCACCATTTGAAACCCCGGTCGCAATTTGTTGGCGTGATCCAAGACTATATTGCCGATTTTCTCGACTTCCTCTCTAGGGATCCGCATCAGAAAATCGTCATAATACTTTACTCCTATCTGCTGAGTTCTGGTGAGGGTGCTCCAACCATGCTCTATAACATCCTCGAGATCCCTCCATCCTTTCCTGTAGAATTCCCTAGCGGTATGTTCGCCGACGTCGAATATCTCATAAAAAATACCCAAACATTTCAGCTTCTCGTCCTGTTGGATTTCCTCGACTTCCTTGATGCGCCCTGTGTCTTTCCATTCTTGAAATAACGTCGCGAATTTGGGACCACAGTTGGGAAGTCGGAGTAATTCGTGGGTAGTGGTTAATGTATACGGATAAGCAAGAATAGTTGCGATGGCAGCACCATATGCGCGGGGGGAATGGGCGTGGGTGCCGCCAGCTAGGATGCGAGCTTTTTTGATGATTCTGAGCTGAGAGACAAAAGCATCATTGGGGGAGTGAACAGGTGTCGGTCGCTCACATGAATACTTAGTGAGTAAGGAGTCTGGAACTGGGGGGAGATTATCGACCTCCTCTTTCTCCATGGTGCTCTCCGGAAGCAGAGATGGGTGGCTATTTGACTGTATAGCTTGACTTTCAGATTGCGTCCTTCTACGTTTGTGGAAATAATTACGAGAATTTGGTGCATCGATTCGGGCACTCGACACGATGCTTGACGTAATTGGTGCTTTATTGGGGGTTAAGTTCTTATCTTTCGGCTGATCAAGAATCTTTCCCTCGTAGACCAAGTAATCATCGATTGGTAACAATTTCCCCGATGCGAGCGAATCCGTATACCAAGAAAGCTTTAGTACTTTGATAGTATCGCCGTGGTGCTCTAAGTGATCTCGCCGGGAATTCGAGCCTCTTCGCCTTGAATCAACAGTACTGGTTGGACTAGCGGTAATAGCAGCTGGTCTTCTCGATTTGCTCTCGCTCTCTGTTTCCGGCTCGGATGCGGTACTCGAATCAATCACTATGATGGCTTTTGGCGAGCCATTTTTGCCCGCCTTCCGGCGTTTGGTTGGATGTGATCGCTCCCCTTCATCAATGGTAATTATAGGCCGAGTTCTTTTATCTTTCTCGACCTCTTTTGTAAATAATCCTAGCGTCCGAAGGTCATATTGGGCCCGCGCTTTGGAATTGACTTTCCCAAGCACCAATTTCGCTTCTGTGATGTCGAAGACAACATCTATTTGCGTTTCAAGTTTGTGAAGCTCATCTAAATTACGCTCAAAGTGGGATTTGAGGAGGTATATTGGTGGGAATGACAGGTCCATCTCAGCTGGCACCGATGTCAATTACATTGAAGTTGGGATTGAATCGCCGAGTCCTTCGCCCAGTGTTAGCTAGGACATGGAGTTGAAACACAACAGGTTTACCTAAGGTGCCTACTGAACTGTCTAAAACCGCTCATGTTGACGTTACTATATCGTCCATCACCAGCTGGGGAATCAAGTAGCAACCTGTGCATTGCGGGGGATAGGTGGGACACCAGCAGTCAGATTTCAGCTTGCATGACGTCGGCTTGGTGGAGGTCCAATTGAATTGCGGGCCATCTTACGTAAGCCACGATAAATCAATCCGTCAAATGGAGAGAATACTGCTACTTGTTGTTTAGCACTTTTGGTTTGGAAGGATATTTTTTGCCGTGTTATCTAGCCATATCTGGGTATTCTTTGAGTCAAGGCAGTCTGATATAGGTTGCCTTTTTAAGTTTTAGTTTATAGATTACGGACCAACTGTTCTAAAGCACCTTTTGTTGCCATTTGAACGGGCCGCAAGGATCAAGAGCATACTTTACATTTTCCCCAGCTCCCTTGCAAGCTCCAACTGAGCAACGTTCTATAAATCCAGTCGCATATCCACTGAACGCCATATGCGCCGCAGCAGCTAAGGACGCTTTTTCCCCCATACGCCGGGTGCTAGGTCTTCCATCCTTCAAGCGCAGCCCACCCAAATGCAAAATTTTATACATCTTCAAATTCAAAGTCTTCCTCGCTCTCTTCTTCGTCCTTCGCAACTGGCTCCTCGATCCTGACCTTCTTCGCAGGCCTACCATCCTCATTAGGTGTATTGGGTACTGTCACCGGACTGGTCACTCCTGTGCTGGTCCCACTACCAGAGAAGCTGCCACCTTTCTTTAGCACTCCTGCTAAGCCGCTTCCCATTGGGGCTGAGGTTGGCTTTGCTTCCCCAAATGAACTACTAGCTGGGGTTGCAGCACCGGATCCGGTGCCATTCGGAACCACGTCCTCGAAATCCTCTTCCTCTTCGTCATCAGTTTCATACTCCTCATCTTGTTCCTGTTCTGCCTCCTTTGCCTGCTCGGCTTTTAGTCGTGCAAAGTAATCGTCAATCTCAGTGCTATCGCCATTGGCAGATGTACTGTCAATACCAAGATCTTTCTTATCGGGCTCCAGAGACTGAGAGGACTGCAGGCCAGACTTTGCATCGAATTTGACTTGCTCCCCCGTGATCGTGCTATGAGTGAAATGAACAGGCAAAACATTCTGAGCCGCAGTCTTCTCCTTTCTAGCCCGCTCAGCAGCAACCTCGGCTTCGGTTGGGCCCTCAGACGCGGTGAGTGTGATCGAAATGTGCTTGGGCCCAGTATCCACCATTCCTTTGACTGATGTTTGTCCTGTTGCGCCAGCGTCCAGCGGGGTTGTTTCATTCGCAAGATGGGTTTGGGGGCGATTGACCTTAACGGCAGATGCATAAGCTTTATCGAATGTATTTTCTGGCACCACGACTTGATCGATTTTGGGCAACAAATCCGTGATGAACTTAAACTGGGCATTTAGCTTCGTCGACTTTTCGTGTCCTCCGCGATTATCGTTAACGACCTGCTGGAGAAGATGACTGCATTTATGGCATAAGAACCCCCCAGGGCCTCTCTTGTCTAGCACCTCCATCGTCGTCCATTCCGATTTACATCTCGAACAAAACCACTCCTTTCTCTCAAGGACTGGCACTGTATTTCCCTGGACGTCCTTATCGATGTTGTAAACTCGCCATTTAATCGCATCGATTGCCGCACGGTAGTCGATGAAGTAATATATTTTGTTCACCGGACGCTGCTGGCCCTCTCTGACCTCGGCACGAGTATGACTATATTAGGTCACGAACATCAGTATCTAAACTGATATCAAGGACCGGTGGATTGCATACACTGTAAGAAACCGATCCTCCCTTAATTTTCCGCAGAGCTTATGAATTTCTTTCGTATTCATACCCATAAGCCAGGCCAAGTCGTCATCGCGCAAACTGTTGATTGTGTCAACATCTCCGCACACGAGGTACTGATCACTCGTCAAGAGACATACGCTGAGTGAATGATCAGCGCATCAATGACCAGAGTATGCTTTGTATCACAGAATGCGCGCATGCAAGAGCGCACAAGCATCTGGGCCAGATCCATGGCGATAATGAGGGAATGTCGAGAAGTGAGGAGTTGGGGTGCGAAAATCTGAGGGTTCCAGCAGGCCGCTGTTTTCGCAAAAGTTGTGGCGCGGTATGAAAGAAGAAGGAAAATATGGAATTAAGAGTAGCTGAAGGAGCACATTATCCACATCAATAGAAGCTATTGTTGAAGGAGTGGATAAAGCAGGGCGGGAAGGCTGGACCAAAATATCCTCCACGAACGAGGACAATAGGTTGAGGCTTAAAGGTGAGGGAACCACCTTGACGTTCGGCGAGGCTGCCAACCGCCTCGCCAAGTGCGTGCGGCAGCCTCAGTAATTCCACGCTAAGCAGCTTTTAAGTTTTCGGAAAGGGAGTCGCGTGAGAACGGTTTTTATTTAAATTCTGCTCATCAATGCCATGAGAGGCATTCGACAACTCTCAAACGTAAAATGGCAGACCAAGCCCCTTCAGCCACTCCGGCGCGAGTGGAAGGTGAAAGCAGTACACGGGGGAACCGTAATTCCAGTCCATCGAAACCATACTCTCGCGATCGCGGAGGAAGGAGACCCCAAAGGGGCAGAGGCGGAGGTAAAGGCAGAGGGGGCCAGATTCGGGATGGGCAAACAGGTTTTGGATCGAATCAAACCGGCGGTCGTCATAAGAGGGGTGAGATGGGGCGTGGGGAATATCAGTATGTTTATGGAACCATCCTCACTTATTCCATGACTAACTAAACAAGTCGGAAAGATATAGATAAAAGAAAGCGGAATGACGAGCAGCAAGCTGCTAAACGCCTGAAGATGGGAGAAGATGGCGAGTACGCAAACGCCCAATTTTCAAAGGAGGAGATAGAAGCAGAAGGTCGAAAGCCCAAGCGGAAAGTCGCAGTATTGATTGGATATGCTGGATCTGGATATAAAGGCATGCAAATAAATGGCCAAGAAAAAACGATTGAGGGGGATATATTCAAGGCATTTATCGCAGCCGGCGCAATCTCGAAGGCCAATGCAGATGACCCCAAAAAGTCTTCCCTAGTCCGATGTGCTCGAACAGATAAGGGCGTACATGCTGCGGGTAATGTCATATCGTTGAAACTCATTGTTGAGGATCCGGATGTTGTACAGAAGATCAACGACAACCTACCACCTCAGATCAGGGTATGGGGCACGGAGCGGACGAACGGTGCATTCAGCTGCTACCAGAGTTGCGACTCGAGGTGGTACGAATACCTAATCCCAACATATTCTTTCCTTCCACCACAACCGCAGAGTTTTATGGGCAAAAAGTTGGTTGAATCTGCTGAGAAGAAAGGTACTCTCGAGGAGTACAAAGCCCGACAGGCGGATGTGGCCGACTTCTGGCAGAAAGCAGAAGACGAATACATCAAGCCTATCCTTGACCAGCTCGATCCTGAAACTCGGGAGACAGTTATGGCCGCAGTTTACAGCTCCGAGGAACCAATAGTGGGCAATGAACTAAAACAGAAGGTCGACAAATTAACCAAGGCGGAGGATGATCTCGATATAATGAAAGAGGAACCGCAAAAACCGGAAATCAAGTCAGACCAAAATATGGAAACACTTGGCAGTGCCGATGAAGCTGCGACGCAAAAGCCGGAGGTTGTCGAGTCCAAAGACCCCACAGATACCCAGGTACAGGAAATTCAAACGGAAGCGAAGATAATCCCAGAGGTATCCGGGGACTCTACAATGGGTGTGCCCCAGACAGCCGCCCCTGAAGATCAGGAAGCATCAGTCTCAAAATCGATTCTCAGCCCTGTTGACATCGCTATAAAACAAGTCAAGGCTGCGTACATCAAAGCCAAGAAGGCATACCGAATTTCAGAATCGCGACGCCAAAAGGTCCAGGAAACATTAGACTGCTACCTCGGAACACGCAATTTCCACAACTATACCATCCAAAAGACCTTTTCCGACCCCTCTGCTAAGCGCGTAATCCGCTCCTTCAAAGTCGGTCCAGAGCCTATCTATATCAACGATACCGAATGGCTGTCTCTGAAGGTTCATGGGCAATCCTTCATGATGCATCAGATCCGGAAGATGGTCGCGATGGCAGCGCTCGTTGTCCGCTGTGGCACCGAGAAGCATGTCATTCAAGAAAGCTACGGTACAGCTACGATTAGCATTCCGAAAGCACCAGGACTTGGTCTATTGCTAGAACGACCGGTTTTCGATAGCTACAATGAGCAGGCTGTGACAAAGTTTAGCAGAGAGAAGATAGATTTTGATAAGTTCCAGAAGGAGATGGATGAATTCAAGCAACGGGAGATCTACGATCGGATCTTTAGGGAGGAGGAGAAAGACCACCAGTAAGTCTAATGAAGCTAACTACCGGTGGATAAAGTGCAGATAGCTAACTGAGATTGTAGATTCCACACTTTCTTCCATCATATCGATCATTACCGCACGGACTTCTTCCTCTGGGTTACCGCCGAAGGCATCGCAGCTTCAAGACAGAGCAAATCGAGAAGCGAGGTCTTGGATGATGTTAGCGATAGTGAGCCTGATGCTAACGGGCAAGAGGGTTGATGCCAAAGCGTAGCAAAGTGAAGGATGTGGATGAAACCCATTTAAGGATCGGGTTCAGGCCTACTAGCTGTTTGCATGTTGTGGCTATAGTTGGATATCTATCTGTAGAAATACATGGCAAGATGCTGCACTTTAAGCGGAAAAGCGCAGAATGCCCATCCTCGTCATTAACATTATAGAGCACACGCTGCCAAAGGCTTCACAGGACAGCCTCGCAATAAAACTTGTCTACTCCTCAATGCTTTCATACTTCCATCGTACTCTAGCTAGTGATGCATGTGATACGATGTATGTGAAAAAAGGGTGTCTTGATAGTGTATGGGTATCAGCCTTTTCCTATTCCATTCCAATCACTGACGCCGTCCAAACGCAAACGCCTCCGACACATTGATCCTCATCCACCCAAATTTTTGCAGTTGATGCGCGTGGTGGAACATACGCCCCAACGTAGCCCCAAGGTAAATACCTCCGTAATATCTAATTCAAGACCCACCGCCTTCAGTAGGAGCCCCAACCTGTTTCCTTAAAAGCGCCTCCGCAATCTCCCCAACCTTCTTAGAATCCTCATCAATAGTCTCCCCACCTTCACCTTCACCAATGCCTCTCAACGGCCCAAAAAGCCACATCTCCTTCAGTTCCCTACTCAACTGCAAGAGATCTTCCGCGGCTCTCACCTATATTTCTCGTTAGCCTTCCCATTTCAAAGGATTTATATCCAAAGTGAGAGGAGATAAGGGAGCTAGAGAGAAAGTCAATTACCAAAGCAACACTCTCAACCTCTAGGGCAAAAGCCTGTCCTGCAGCAACCTCCTTCGTCGCGCTCGCGCCATCATTATCTTTCATGCTAGAGAGCGAAACTAGGTTCCTGAACCGCGAGAGCATTTCTGCAACAGCACGCTGCTCGCGGTCTTTGAATGAAAGAAGTTTATTAGCAGTGTTTGTGGCGGTTGACTGGAAATCACCGTTCTGAAATGTGGGAGCAGGAGCGGGAGTTGGGCTCTGTGAGAAGTCCAGCGTATGCGTGGAGGGTGTTGACGGAGCTGGCGATTTAGATGGAATCTTTGGAAACCCTAAGTCTGCCATTTTCGTTTTCGTTCCAACTAATGCCTGAGGGCGTATATGCTTGCTATTATGTTGTCTAAATTGCCGTGGCGGTCCGTAGCATTTTTTGTGTTGTGTTGCTGTGGGTGTTGTTTGATGAAATGCTAGAAGTAAAATACTGGGCTTACCTATTAAGCTAGTAGTGGTGCGCTGTGTTCCGTCCATGGTAGGTGCAAAGGGTTAATAATATTTAATGCCCGTCGTCGCTGCTGTAGCTGTATAAGGTATATACGGAGGAAGTACTGAAGTAGTGAATGTGTGAAGCTCCCGTGGAAGGGATGGTGGGTCAAGCGGTAGCCCGGCTAATTTTCGGGTATATAGGTACCGAGTACCTCCTGCGCGGACATTATTCAGCAAGAAGCTGAACGACCACATCGCCATTTATATACCAGTGGAACTCGCTGTACAAATTTCCAATCATGATTATTAATATGGAAGCATCCCGCAGCTCTATACGAGGATAGCAGAGCTAAGTAGCCGTTGCTATATCACGTCTTCATCGTCGTGTTTTCTTCCTCACCCCACTCCTCTCTGTCTTCCTTGCTCCCAACAAACGCCCGGTTTCAACTCCCTTTTTCAGAAACCATCTTCATCTCCTATCTATTCAAGTCCCTCAAGAATATATTAAACAATGGAAGCCCTTGTCTTGGATGTCCCCAAACGAACAGCCACTGTCAAAACTCTTCCCATCCCGTCCCCCTCACCAACCCAACTCCTCGTCCGCACTCACTTCGTAGCCTTAAACCCCGTCGATGCCCTCTACGTATCCCATCCTCTCGCCCCTAAATCCCAAACTAGAATAGTCGGCAGCGATTTCGCAGGAACCGTCCAGCAACTCGGATCTTCAATTCCCGCTTCAGCTAGAGAAAGCCTCAAGATTGGCACTCACGTGGCTGGCTTTCTGCAGGGAGCATGTTCAGTAAATGAGCGCCCAGGTGCTTTCGCTAAATTCATAGTCGTGGATTGGGATCTCGTATGGCGAGTGCCTGGTTGGATGGGTCTTGAGAGTGCAGCGGGAGTGAGTTTGTGTGCTCTGACAGCAGCTCAGGGCTTGTTTGCGAGGCTTGGCGTTGAAGCCCCTTTCGAATGGGACTCCAGAAACACAGATAATGAGAGGGGTGTGTCTGAAGTAAAGGATAATACTCATGGAAAGAATGGAGATCCATTGAAGGTTTTCATCTACGGCGCATCTACCTCTCTGGGCCAGTACGCTGCTCAACTGGTGCGTATCGCCGCTCATGCAAGTGGGAGGGAGGCAGTTCTATTCGGAGCCGCGAGTCCAGCACGGCATGCTATGCTTAAGGTTCCGCCGTATAGTTACAACGGTCTCGTGGATTACCGAGAGGCAAATTGGGTCGAAAAGCTCCTTGAAGTGCAAAACGGTGAAGGCGTCCAGTACGCTTTTGACTGCATTTCTGAGGGCGATTCCGTGCGAAATGTCATCAAGACTGTGGCACCTGGTGGGAAAATGGCTGTGTTTAGGTCACGAGAAGGTAAAGCATGGGCTGCGGAACCTGGTGAGTTGCCTTTTGAGCCTGTTTATGGTGCTGTGTGGGAAGGGCTAGGCGTTGAAGTGCAATATCAAGGTAAGAAGATTTTCTGTAATTTCTCATTGGCATATAACCCTAGGTTTTAGCTAACACCAAGCACGAAAGGTTTTACTGTTCCCGCATCGGCAAGCGCCCGGGAATTTGCCGTCAACTTTTATGGATTCTTATCGAGCATGACCGAGGAAGATGGACCCCTTGTCTTGAGGCCAAATCTCGTGAGGCTAATGCCAGGCGGGCTGGAGAGAATCGTACCTGATGGCTTTGCGTTGCTTGGTCCTGGGAGTATGGATAATAGGGATACTTCGAGGTCTGAGGCATATATGAGACCGATCAGTGCTGAAAAACTTGTATATCAAGTATTGAAGCAGTAGATTGGGGGAAGTGTGTCAAAGATAGGCATTGGAAGGAAGAGACGTGTACCAAGTTTTAAGGCGAGTAGGTAGCAAGGTTAGTTACATCACCCTCTTTAAAATACAAAATTCTTTTACTCTTAAGACAGCGCACACCTTTTTATTCACTGTCACCAAACGCATCTTCACTTCAGGTACATCTCTATTTTATGTATGCTTCTCTCTGGATATATTTGGCCGTTTATTAATGGCGTTCTACTGCTACATATGAAAAGCATCTCTGTAAGATTACAATTATCTGGGTATCTAAGCAGTCCCCGACTCCCTCGCAACATTCATAAACACCTCCTCAAGCGTTGGTCCCGTAATGGTATAATCCTCAACATATTTCACATGCACCCTATCCCCTCCCGCACTCCCACCCACGCCATCTTCACCCTCACTAATAACATCACCCTTCAGCCCCTCCATTACCTTCATAATCGCCCCCAAAGCGGCCTTATCATGCGGAAGATTGAAGCTGATCTGCCCATATCCATCGACATAATTGCTGACTCGCCCCTCAAACTTCCCCTTAACGATTTCTTCAACCTCCGTGGCGGTAGTGTGTTTTGCACGGATAGCACGTATGCTATACGCGCCACCATGGGTCTCCTGTAGACTAGAAAGGGTGCCAGTGGCCAACATTTTCGTCCCCATGATGGCGACTTTGGTGGCGAGGGCCTCTGCTTCTTCCATGCTGTGGGTTGTGAGCAGGATAGCTCGGTTCGTGCTCACGTCTTGGAGGGCTTTCCAGAGGATGCGTTTTGCGCCTGCATCTTGGCCTGTGGATGGTTCGTCCAGGAGGAGGACACGGGGATTACCTACTCTTGTTAGTTATATTTCATATAAGAGCTGTGAAGGGAAGCAAGCTAACATACCTAGTAAAGCGATCGCGACAGATAATTTTCGCCGTGTGCCGCCGCTCAAATCCTTGACTGATTTGTCTTGAAATGTGGAGATATTAAGTGCTTCGAGTACTTTATCCACGTTATCCGCGGCATTCTTGAGCCCCTTCACTTTTGCGTAGAAGTGGAGAGTTTGTCTGACGGTAAGATTGTCAATAGCGTCGTCTTGTGGACATACGCCCATGCGCAATCTGGCCTTGTAGGGTTCTTTCAATACCGATACGCCTTCCAAATGAATGGTTCCGAAATTAGGGGTCAACTCTCCCCGGATCATGTTGATACAAGTTGTCTTTCCAGCCCCGTTACCGCCAAGTAGGGCGAGGGTTTCGTTAGAGCCGATATCGAATGACACATTCTCCACTGCAAAAAGCTTGCCGAAGAACTTGCTAAGCTGAGATACTTGGAGAATCTCGGATTGATTAGCGGCAGCTGTGGCATTCTTCTCGCCGGTGGCCACAGGACCTGTTGCTTGATTTTCCGCGGCTCCAGCCTCGACGATGTAATGAAGACGGGCAGGAATTCCACGATGTGTGATATTGCGTCGGATCCACTCTCCACTGCCGTACTCATGTATAGCAAGAACTATAATAAGGAAGATGATTTGGATCAAGAGGTTTGCATAGACGCTACCGTACCGGACATAGGCGAAAGGATGTCCACTTGCATCTGCGTATTTACCACAGAGGATTTCGAAGCTGTTACTTGCGACATAGAGGGCTCGTGCTAGGTTTGCTCCGGGGGATGTCAGGCCCAGGCCGTATTGTAGCTGAGAATACGTTTCGTGCAGGACGAATTCATCTCCGAATGATTCAACCATAACATATGACACTAGGTATAGGACGAAAAGCAATATGTGAATTCCCGCGGCGATAGCGAATGCTGCCTTTCTGGTATATAGGGATAACAAATACGTTCCTAGATAGGTTGCAATGCCGAACAAAATGAATGCTCCGAAGAGGTAGTTCGAGGCGTACCACACTTTTGCCGCAGATCCGGCAAAGAGCAAGGCCCAGACAACGATGGATTGTATGAGGATAATTTGGATATCGAACAGCAGGTACCCAAGCCAAAGCGCAACAGGCAGAACACCATTGCAATAGTGAAGAGCTCGGACTCGATTGATTTTCTCGAAGGCAGGATAGATCACAGCAATGCTGGCTGCTGCGATAAACGACAACACGATAAGTGTCGTCAACGGCATATTTCTAAAGTCTACCTCGTTCTGAGGATGGCGCATTGTCCGAATCGTAGTAACGACCTCTCTTGCGGTGCCAGCTTTGGTTGTAGCATTGGCAATCCGATTTGTGATTAAATTAAAACCTATCGAATTTTTTGTGAGAGTCTGGTAGCTTCTCGCTGTGCTATAAAAGAGTATAGCCTTTTCTGGAGCTGGAGCGAAAATAGCTACTGAGATACCAAAGCTTGCATATGTATCTGAGATTTGGGACACCATCTTTTCAGCTGTGTCAACAAATTCCCGGCCGGCTAGAGCAGCTTTAGCCTGAGCTGTCTTATTAAGTAGTGTGCCGGTGTTGTTCATGACGATGTATCGGCCAATAGTTGTCGTCAGTAGTTCGTCCTGGCCAGGTCCAGAGAACTCAGAAAGGGGTCCCACGAGAGCTATTGGGTACTTGTCAAAACTATGCAATGTCGTTAGAGTTGCTCCGGAGAGTGGCGCCATCAGTGGCATTCGGTTGTAATATGGGTTCATCGACAGCTGTTCCTTCGCAGCATTGTGGAATATTTCGACGTTGGTTTGGCAAGTTTGCATCGCACCCCATTTATGTACAAACTTGGCAAATGCAGCTGCAATGATTATTGGAATAATCAAATTAATTCCGTAGCTTATCCAGCCCGCTTTTTGTTGGAGGAGTATGTAGCGCTTCTGGAAAAGGGTAAAAACCTGCCGGGCAAGCCCAATCGAATGCCCGACTTCTAAATCCATATCTCTTGCCCTCTCTTGTTCAAGGGCAAGTATTTTCTCGTCGAGGACAGTGGAAGTCTGTTCTTCTCCGACAATGCCATCGCCTCCGTTTTCGTGAATCGCTGTATTTGAATCGGAAGTAACCTTTAGGAAGACTTGTTCTAGAGTAGGAAAGACGACGTCAAAAGTATTATCGTCTGTCAGAGCTTCCAGTTCAAGAACCTTTCGAGTTGCCTCGGCAGAGTTAGATGTTCGCCAAATTAAGTTATCTTCATCGGAAGGATCGCCGCTTCGTATGAGATACTGGTCCCCGAAGCGAGATTTCAAGGAAGTTCCTGGTCCTTCGCAGACCAATTTGCCCTTGTAAACGATGGCAATGTGATCAGCTAGGACATCAGCCTAATAGTAAGTTAATACAAGAGCTTCAACCAAACTAAGCTAAACATACCTCATCCAGGAAATGCGTTGTGACAAGGATAGTGCGGCGAGAGTGACCTTTCTGAATGATATTCCAAATATTCCGGCGAGATAACGGATCCTTTAAGAACGTTAGTATTTCAAAAGTGATTCAATGCTAAATCATTCTTACCAGGCCGCTGGAAGCTTCATCAATGCAGCACACCTTTGATTCACCAACAAATGCAATAGCAAGTTGTAGTTTCCGCATTTGCCCGCCGCTGAGGGTTTGTGCAGGAGCCTTCGCCTTTTCGAGCAGATCGCATTCCGCTAGTACATCATCATCGTCATCGACGGCAGTATTATCGAATGCGGCAGTCTTGAGTTTTCTCCATATCTTAATATGTTCTTCAACTGTGAGATTTTGCCAGAATACCTGCAGTTGTTAGTAGAGTATAACCTTAGTTAGCAGGTCACGTACATTGTGCTGAGGGCAGATGCCAAAGACAAGCCCGGCCTCATTAAGTTCCAGCTGAGAACCCGAATCCATGGACGCCATCCCAGCGACGCATTTAAGGGTGGTAGTTTTTCCTCCGCCGTTGGGTCCAAGCAAGAATGTGACCGAGCCTTTTTTGACTTCAAGATTTAGGTTGGACACAGCCAACGTGGGTGCACCTTTCCTCGAAAATGGCCAGTACCAACGTCTTTTCCCGTAATATGTCTTGGAAAGGCTTGTACAACGCACTGCAACATCGCTGGAAGCGTCGATAGTGCCGAACTTCCTCGATACTCCCCAAAGCTGGTGTTCGACGGCGTAAGTTGCTAGTGAGAATACGATTATTTGAAGGATAAAGAAGACGACATAAAGATACCCGCTCATGTCCACGTCCTCGCTAGGACCACTAAACATTGACTCTGCTTGGATGGTGCTATTTGTGAGAGAAAACGGCGCCAAGTTGTACTCTTTTGTAGCAACGTCGCCTATTAGAAATGCCCATGTCATCGGTGGAAAGATAGCAGATAAGGCAGTATTTTGCGTTTTGATATCTTTAGAAGTCAACGAAGAAGCTAACGTAACGAGGGACAGGGCAAACACCAAAGTCGAGGTATAGAGGCCTGCAAGTTGAGCTTTGGAGAAGAACGAGGCTAAAAAGTGCGCGGAGGTGATAAGTGAAGCACCACCTAGGAGCACAAGGAAGAGCAACAAAATATCAGGCGTTCTCGTGAACAGTATCTGCGTCAGAAGAATCGAGGATATCAAGAGACCAGGGAAGTAGAGTGCAAAGAAGGATATAAAGGTTGACAAGATCCTAGGTGTGATGGAGACTTTTTGAGCGGCCATTAGTTCAGCCATAGATGTTTCTCTCTCAGTTGCTACAAAGACCGCGAGATGATATACCACGCCGATAGGGATTAGGATGAAGACCGGCGCAACGAAAACCCCAATAATTGAGAGCCTGGATATCACCATATTAGTGTTTTGAGGCTTAGAAAACAGAGAACGGGAGGAGGTAGACAGTAAGTTAGGCAGATCCCAAAATTCAAGGCTAGGAAATGGAAGAGTTGAGGGGTTTAATTAAGTTATCCATACCAAATTTTCCCAACGCGCGAGGGAGGTGCAACATAGGTATGGGTCCTTGCAAAGGGCCAGGTATATGGTTGTATTGATGGACGAGGACTCGTAGAGAAGCCGCCAATGTGGGAATTGATTGCCCACTGGAGAGGGAGAATGTAGTTGGCCATCGTCGAGTCCTCTGTACGATAATCGCCCTCATCAGTCAGATCAGCCAAGGGGCCATCAATCACGATGGAGTACTCGACGGTTGTCTCATTCGAAGCCTGGAAAACCACAGCTGCAAAACAATCACTATGGCCTTTGGTCGATTGCTTGCAAAGATCGAAGAGGTCGTCCGGGTGGTCACCAGTATCGGTTGCCACGGACTCCATCCCCGGCTGCTGAAGAATCCCTTGGATGACTGGGTCAGTGCTATCTGGTGCGATTCCATTGCGTATGAAGACAAGTTTCTTGCCTCGTGCTGATCCAATAGCGTCCGAAAGGTCTTTGACTGGGAATGTCGAAGTTGAGATGCCCCCAACCTTCGAGGAATAGGACGAGCCCTCCGACCCAACATCTTGGAGGTAACAAAACAGCAGCGTTACAGCAATCGGAAAGACCAGGGCTCTGAAAATAGTAGCGATAGGGCTTTTGTAAAACAGGAGCAGATTCTTTTGAGTGAGTATGAGGGTCTGTCGATAGATGCGCCGCAATCGCGGGCGTTGAGGCGAAAAGGCCATTGCAGTGAGTCGATCGAACCAATTTCAAAGATATAAACAATTCAATGAGGACAAACGGCGACTACCAAGGCCTCCTTATAGAGTCGGGCGTTCAGTCTTGTAGTAAACTCATTTAATCAACTATACGTAGTACCACATGAACAGAAGAGAGAACGATATGTATGCAAACGCACGTGAAAGATGAAACGATGTCAACCTCGTATTATTTTTCTGCAAGGGGAAAGTCCCTACCCGTTGGTTAGCCATGGCCGCGAGGCATCATGGGGATCATCCAGTCCACCGAGGGCGGAGTGAGGCGTAGCAAGAGGCAGCAATCCACTTTACCCGTTGCATATTTGATTTGATTTGTCGCAGCGAGATTGCCTGGGTTGATCAAGCCTCGCTTGAGCCTAATGAGACCCCTCGTACGTAAATCGCCAAGCAGTAAAATCCATATTTCAGAATTCCAGGGAAAACAATTTAGAATTTGAGACAAACGATACGCTGGCGCCGTAGGGCTACTGGTCCTCCCCGCAGGTCCACAAATAGGCGTGGAGCAGCTAGTCAATTGGCGGCCTTTCGGGGGACAGGAGGAGTCCACGAAGGAGTACTTTGTACGATGTGAAACCGTAAATCAACGCGACTGCCTGATAATCTCCGGCAGTTGGCCGCATAAACCCCATGAGGACGTGTGGACCATCTTGTCGTAGGTAAGCATCCAGCAATGCAATGGGATCCTGCTCGTATGGCACGTAAAAATGGGCGGTGCAGTGCAGGATGCGGGCGCAGGGATGCTCTGGGCGGCTTAGACTCCACAGATCGTAAGTACTCTATAAAGCTTGTTGGTTCGGAGGCTGTCCTTTGTTGCTTTTCACGTGGTATATATACCCTCAAGTCTCGACTGGTCTTCTCTTTTCGGCAGCCTATTTGTTAACATGGCTTACTTGCGCATCTTCTTGGGGATTTTAATTCAACCTGTTGCTACAGTAACCTTAATGCCGTATTATCATCTCCGGCCCCTTTTTTCCATGAGTTCTTTTATTGTAAAGAGTAGCTGCGTAGTTGCCCGAGAGGGCGCTGCGAAGTCCATTTAATATTAGGCTAGTTTGCTATCCTATTTCTATTAAGGCTTTCTTTTTATTTTAATTATAAAATTTCTACCCGAAAGCTATTATTTCTCACAATTTACAAATAAATAAGAACCTCTTTTCAATCTGGAGCGGAGTACAGTGATGATCTCGAGTCCAGGAGTGTCGAATCTTCACATCTCTACAGCGTAGGTACTCGAGTGAGTGTCCCGCAGCACATAATCCCAGCAACCCCCGTAGACCAGGATCGCAACGGTGCTACGAAGCTGGTCCTGTACTGTACGTCTAAGTGACTGCCAAGATCTCTTTCCTCCTATGAAATTGATATCATCAGGATTAATTTCTCTTAAAGTATCATTATGATTAAGAAACAGCTTAGCCAGGTCGTCCTCACTACAGTCTGCCGAGTCGAGCTGCAAGCGATAGAACTTGGAGATTGCCAGCTAGTAGAGAGTGCACTAATCCGCTCCCCCCTTTTTGCACAGATAGAAGCTCAGGGAGAGTACTTCTAGGGCTGGAAAACGGTCAATAAATTTGAACTGGTCTCTTGCCCATACGCCCAAACTTTGCCCGGTTTCGGGGTTGATCTAAGGGATAGGAAGGTCAGAAGAGCGAGCCGTGACAAGGGCTGGCCTTCAGATGCCTGGCCGAAGGGGGGCATCTCACACCCCATTACCTCTCGATTAAGGCCTGAGGAGATCTCAAGAAGGTCCAGCGAAATTTGGCTAGCCATTATCGCGGCTGGAACAACCTTGATCGCACGCTTCAAAAACTCGATGCTCTCGATGAACTCCATACTCAGAGTTGGAAAGACTCTAGTGTGCCTCTTTTGCGATGCTGCTCCCCAAGGCCGATTGGTGCCACCGATGCGGGCGGTCTTGCAGTTCGAAAGGCTTGTCAATGCATACCTAAGATATTCGATCGTTAAATGAATTCACTCTGTGAAACACATGTCGCTTAAAGAAGTCGATCGTGAATAGAAAAATAATCGAGGCTTCGGTGACTGAGATACAGAACTACGTCACTTTATCCAGTGTCGTGAGCTGTATCTTTGTAGGGAGTTGTTGAGATTATGTGACTTGGACTGGAGGGATTAAATTGATTGATTCCTTCTAATCTAATGAGTGGAAAGCCCATATATATACTTCGTAGGCAATTAATGCAATAAATCAAATTGACTGAAACGACCCGATATCTGTGTTCCTGAAACAGTCCCTGGCAGAAGGCATGAACCTCAACAGACTCCTACCAGTGAGAAAAGGACCGCCGGGCTTCACTATAGCTACCTTGCAACGGGTTGTTCTGACAATAATAATATCTGTCCCCAGCAGAATATGCTCTGCATTCCGAAATTTCACTACGCCAAATTGTTAGCATAAAAACAAGAACCCCGTGTCACGGGAAAACGTACGACCAGTCAGCAAGCACATAAAAGTGGTCGGTGCGATCGGTGGCAGTTGCGCCGCCCTGTCGATACTGCTCAATTACAGGTACAAGTCTTAGCACAGCGGCCGTTCCACCTTGAATCGTAGATGCCGGGGGCCACTCATCCATTGACGTGCATAAATCATTTTCTGCCTGGAAACCGGAGGCGCTAAATGCAGCCTTACCACGGTCGGTTGTGAAGAACTTGAAGCCCGAGTGCTTTCTGCTTTCCTTGTTTTGCCCGCCGCTGGAGCCAGAGGAACCTCTGGCCTGGTACTGCCCCTCGGCCGCAAGAGCCACGCCCGGCTTATCTCTACACAAGGCAGCCAAGCACATGTTTTTGCAGATATGTGGCTTGTTTTCGCATGTAAAGTCGTACCCCACGGGTTGGCGAGCTACTATAGTACGAGTAGCAGCATCAGAAATATTGACTGGCTGTCGGATCGCTTCTAGGCCGGGGGTGGGGGCCGCGAAAACCAGTTTGCTAAGACCCGAGAAGGGGAGGACGACCAGCGCGAAAGCGACACGCATTGTGTTTTGGATAAAGTTCTTTTGAGGGACTGCTTTTGATGGCAAAAGGTAGGAAGACAGCAAGTTGTAATATTAACTTTGGAATGTGAAAGAGAATAGACTCATATGCAGAAGCAGCAGAACGAAGCACTCGTCTTTATGTTGTGAAATAGGTACCCATATGTAGGGTTTCTAGTACCTCAACCCCGATAGGTACCTATGTTACTAGGTACCTAACATGGTGTACCTTAGGTTTTTGACCCTTCTGCAGAGGTTCTCTGGAGGTACCCAAGCAACCCAACCTCTAACAACCTACCCATCCAGGTACCTAGAGTAGGTATCTGGGTGGGTAGTACTACCGTAGTAGGTGGGTAATCGGTCCTCCCATAGACCGTAACTGTTTGATCACTTTTTGTCGTAGCTGTCGTAATAAAATACTCGATTTTCCCGTACTCGACTTTTCCGTACTCGATCCCGCTGTACACTATAATGTCGACCTCAGATACTGTAAAACGCGCAGACCGCACAGGCCTACGACACCTTTTCGCTACTTACGTTACTGCTAAAGTCCCAACCACGGTGAGTATACTAACAGAAACATCTAAATCAATCGAGTACCTTAATCTGACTCTACTACTGGCAGGTCCTCGAAGACTTAGTAAAGTCAAGTGCCGCTGCGTGGCCTTCAGCTTACGCTGTCAAATCGCCATATCTCCTCTCGATATTCCGCAACAAAGCAGAAGTATTCAAGGAGCAGGATCGTATCAAGGAGCTTGCTACTATATCTGGCACCGAACCGCCTATATCTGAGACCAAGGAATACGACTTCCTTAACGCCAACTTATATGATCTCGCCAAGTTTACGCTTGATACGTTCCCAACCGGTTTTCAGCTTGTTAATAATACCTTCCCGGACCCGGACCCTAACTCCTGTTCTTTTAGTAACGGATATATGCTAATTGTTGACGAACGATCTATTAAAGATAGAACCTGTATCCTGGTAGAAATACCAGAACAGATAGAGTTTAATGACAATGGGGATATTATTAAGTGGGAGCGGAAGATTAATAGGCATGATGAGTATGTCTTGGATCGGAAGGGCTGGCTTGATGAAGACGGGAATGATACGGGGGTAGAAGAGCTAAAGGTCGTAAGGCTCAAGTTTGAGGATGCGCATACGGTCAATATGCTTGATGATGAGCATGAGACGATTGCTTTCTTGGCTCAGGAAACGTACCAGACGGATGGTGTATATAAGGAGGGAGCAATTTATCCGGATATGCGATTCGATCCATTGGTCTGGAGGGGTTAAGGAGCTTGTTAGTACAAATTGCCAAAAAGGAATATGGCTGAGCAGTAGGGAGTTCTAGTTTTATATATAAACGTCCTTCGCCTAGCTAGGGGTCCGAATTCTAAACTGCTGTATGTTAATCATAGCCATTGCTATAATCAAAGCCACCAGGCCCTGGACAACCATAGACAGGCTTTGTACAATCAATCAAGTCCATGCAAACTCCATGAACACAATTGCCAAAAATGCCGCATTCCTGCCTTCCCTCATCGCCACCGGGTCCATTCCTCTCCACGTCCACCTTACATGCCACCTTCGCACTAATACAAATCCTACTCGGCGTCCCCCTCATTCTTGGATCATCTACACAAATCTCGTCCTCTGCGCATCCTGTCCCATCAGAACCACATGGAGGATAAAGGGGCGAACAAACCGGCGGGGCTCTGGTTTGAGATCTTTGACATGTAAACCCCGCGGTACAGTTCGTGCCGTAGCTGTTATCACTCCGAGCGTCACAACTCCAGGGATTCAAAATTCTCGTGCCGTTTTCGAGTGTTGCGGAGTAGGTTGTAAGGCCAGTACTTGTGACGCCATTGCCCCAGTCAACGATATTTCGCCGACAGGAGGCTATTGGACATGAACCCACAGGCGCGTTGGGCGTGAGGGTAACGTAGCGGCATGAATCGGGGTGAGTTGGATACTCGCAGCCTCCACCATAGGGGCAGGGGAGGATAGAGTCGGTGCGATTGCAGGGGTTGAAATCTGCTGCAGCCAGAGAGAAAAGCCCAAGGAAAGCGTAAGAGAGAACGATAAGTAAAGACATTGTGCAATGACAGCCTTATCTAATAAAGTTTTGATGGACAATAGCGAGGTCCGCGTTTATAAGTACTTTGAATTTAAATCAGCTCGAATGCTTAAAAAGGCTTATTTTGCGTACGCAATTTAGGCAAAAGCATTTTAATTAATAGAGCAGTCCATTTTTCTACCCCCTTCTCGTATTAATATAATTATTATTTTATCCCTTGGCGATTAGCCGATAGGTTGCTTCTAGGAGGTACGATTGTTTAGTTACAGTTTTGGTAAGGCACTCCAGGCATAGTACTAATACAGTATTGAGATATATAAGAAAAAAGGCGCCTCTTATGCTCGACATTCCTGTTACGAGGAAACCAAAGATAGTAGCTAGCAAGTATGCACTAGAAAGTCGTTAACAATAGCGTTTCCTTGGCTTGTACGCATTGTCTGTGCTGTCTCGCTATATTTAAGGATCTCTTACGGATCTATCTATATTATCTTTTTCATCTAGGACAAGCTGTTTCTTAAAGAAGCGCAGAAACAATCCCTCAAGCCCACGTTTGCCAGACTATAGCTATATCTGTATCATATTAAAAGAGCATCCGAACATACATAAAATACCTAGCGCAAAATTTCTTTTTAACAACCTCAGAACCCATTACACCATCCATTCCTCCCCGAACCCCCCAAATCGGAACTTAATCCTCGGCCTATAAATCCACCTCGTACAGAATTTCTCGCCATCCTCTCCTATCCCACAAGCTATGCATCAGTTAACCACTTAACACTCAAAAACCCAAAACATCACCAGCCCATCAACAAGAGAAGGTAACTCACATTCCTGAATCTGCGTAATCACACATCTCAAACCCGTCTTAAAAAGCACACTCCCCTTCCCACTGCGATCCTCACACTTGCCCCCCAAAACCCTCACAATCTCCTCCCGCTCGCCATCCTCCTTCTTCCCCCTCTTCAAAATCCTCACGTGAGGACAATCCCACTCCGGATCCCCCGCCCGCGCATCCTGGAAATCCCCACTGAGGCTATGCAGGTAGATCCCGTACCGCGGACATCTATACACCTCGCCCTCCTGCACGAAAATCTCTAGCTCCCGCAGCCGTGTCATGCGTTTTATGATATCGATGTGGAAATGCCCGAAATACGCACAATCGCGTACGTCAAGCACCATTCTCTCGATCCCAGCGAGTTCTTTGGGGCCGAGATATGTGAGTGCCGTGTCGTGTAATTTCACCCTGTCGCTGGAGAAGGAGAGATACGTGTATCGAGGTGACCTGTCGGTTTCGAAATACCGCTGGTAGATCCGCAATCCTTCGGCTCGGGATTCTCGACATACTTGCAGCACGGCTGGGGATGGGACGCGAGTCCGGAAGCTTTCTGCGAAGCGGCGGGTGTATTGGACGTTTCTTTTGCATTTTAGCGATACGGTTCGCGGGTTAGTGCAGATCGTGGCCCAGATTTTGAGGCGTAATTCTGAGGGGAGGGCGGGGAAGAGGTGGAATTTTGGGCGTTCGGGCATTATGAGGCTTTTTGTTTTGTTGGGATTGGAGAGGTTTCGGGTGGTGGTGAAAGAAGGGATTGTAAGACACATCTCGGGAATGTTGTTGCTATCTTGGATTTGGATTAGGAGGATGTGGTGTCATGTTGATATGATAAAGGACCTACAACCTTGTGAGACTGGCTGACGGCCTGCACGGAATGCCCCTATTAAATAAAGTTATGATGACGCTTCAAACCTTATTCTTCATTCCTTGGTACGTACTATCTTAGCGAATGGTAAGAACTGGATGCTATCCTCGAGGGGGAATAGTGTGGCATAAGAACTGTATCTATTCCATCACCAATCATCCAAATGACACAACATCATACCACGAGTCCCTTAGCTCCACTAGCCCTCTCCAAAGACCCCAACTTAATAATACTCTCCAATTCATCAGCATCCTTAATCGCCGTCGTCAAATTCTCATAGCCATTTACCGTAACAAGAATATTATCCTCAATACGGACACCTCCGATTTCCCAATATTGCTCCAAAACAGTGGAGTTGATATATTGGGCGTGGATGGGATCGCAAAGATAGGGTTCAATTATGAACCGGCAGAAGTAGATCTGATTTTTGCGTTAGTAGGTTGGATTAACTCTGGACCAAGAGAGGAACATAAGTTGGGAAAGTAAGAAAAGAGGGGATTAGAGACGTACGCCAGGCTCGACGGTGATAACGCTCCCCGCAGGAAGCTTCCCCCTGGTTCGTAGATATCTAAACATTGGATCCTTATCCTTATAATCCGGATGGCCGCCCGTATCATGCGTATCCATGCCAAGATAATGCCCCAAGCCATGTGGGAAGAACGCTACCGAGGTACGGGATTTAAGAATATCTTCTTTTTCCCCTTGGAGGATTCCGAGTTTAAGCAAGCCCTCAATGGCGACTTCGTGAGCTTTAAGATGGACGGTATCCCAGAGGACGCCCTCTTTTAGCATGTTTATGCAGACATGCTGCATTTGGAGGACAATATCGTAGATGGCTCTACTTTCTGGGCTGAATTTTCCGTTGATGGGGAAGGTTCTTGTCTATATCCCGAATATCAGTATATCCACATACAAGCAAATTCTCATCATCAAATTCAACACCATAAATAGGAAGTAAACTTACAATATCACTCGCATAACAATTAAACTCGGCGCCAGCATCAAGCAACAAATTCAACTTCCCCTCCAACGGTTCATAATTCTTCACATAATGCAACGTAGCAGCGGCCGTTCCCGCCGCAACAATAGAATGATACGCCTGCTCCCTCGCCCCATTCGCAATACACCTCTCCAAAAAAGCGGCCTCAAGCTCCCTCTCATTCGTAGCAGTACTCGCCCTCTTCAGCACCTCCGTGTGCGCAAGTGTGCTAATTTGATTCGCATGACGGATCAGAGCGACCTCGAATTTATCCTTTACTACTCGACATTCCTCGATGGCTTCTTTGAGGAGCGTGAAGTCTTTGTTGTTGAATTCGAGGAAGGTTATGTGGTCGCTGACTTGGTTGGCGATTGTCCATACGGAAGAAGGTGCGTTGACTTTGCCTTGGTGCGTGAGCGTTGCGGCTACGTCGGTGGTTGTGAGGACGTGGTCGACGTCAAATAGGCCGCTTGCTTCTTCTTGAGAGAGGGGGAGGCCGGACCAGATGACGGACTCGGGGTCAATTGGAGGGATGAAGAGGGTGGATGTGTCTGTGGCGATGTCATAGGTGTAATAGCTGTCGGGCAAAGCGCAGCCGGTCAAGTAGTAGAAGTATCGTCGTTGTCTGGGTAGCGCGGGGTATCAATATAAGGCCGACGATGTAAGATGCAGAGGCACGAACCGGAAAGGAGCTTCCCCATCATTATCCTCAATCAAGCGATCCTTTTGCCCTTCAAGATAGAGTACTCCGCTGATATCTGGGACTTTAGTTCGCATGTATTCGACAACCCTCCTTGCATGCGCTTTCGCGGGGTATTTGCCCGCGAGGATAGCTTCCGTGGGCTCCATCTTTTGTATGTGGGGTACTTGTAGAGTTGCGAGATTCCGTAACCCAAAGGATCTTGGTGATTTAACTTGCAAGTTCAATCGAGCTCTCTTTGAGGCGCATGTGTATGTGCGATGGGAATCTCGTGTTGTCTTGGGTACGGGACTTGCCGAATGAGGCAGGTGGGATGTTATGTCAGAGAAAAGCGGGGTTGTAGTACACAAAGCTCGGTGACACCGTCTTAGTGGGAACATTGCAAATCTGAGTTCTGCAGCGTCTACGTCAGAAGCTCAGTCTGACGGATGCTGTGACGTTTTATTCGGAAATTGCACCCTAGATAAGAGTTTTATCAAACATATCCGTGCATCCACGTGATGTGATGTTAGAATGCTCAAGGAATGAATGAGAGGGGACACATCTTCCATATCAGTGTTGATATTAATTATGGCTATGTAGCTATCATGATAAGCCTTGTCGCTAGAAGAAAATGTGAAAATGCCCAGATGCGCCACCAGCAGACGATGTCCACTCTATGCGCCTTTAGAACGCCCGATTTCCCCCAATGCTAATGCGGGGTATGCTCCATGCCATCAAATCTTATTAAAGAAGATCTTCCCAACGCCCTAATGCATCGCTATTTAAATAACAGCAGACAGGTGTAACCCACTCCCGTGCAATCTCAACCATAACCCGCTGGTTGCCGAAAGGATACCTTGGTGAATGAAAGCTAAGGCGGCGTGACGGCGCGTGTGATTGTTCGTCCGATCTTTCAAACTAGTGTCACTAACTCCTTTCGTCGAATCTTATAGATCCTTATAATCGTCGTGCGTGAGCGATTTATCTAACGTATCTTTCTCCGATTCTAAGCGTCTGCTAAGCCTCCTGTCGCTTTTTCTTCATCGGCAACTTGGGCACGAAGTTCACCGCTCCTTGCAGAGAAGCAATCTCCTTTAGATTGATTGCATGTTCTAGAAGTAATTCTTTGCTCGTCTTGAATTCGAAGTTGGTCAAAAAACAGAAGCTGATCTCCAGTCTGGCCAGCTCATTCTCACTGACCCCTCCCACCTTTGCGAATCGGCTATGTGGATAGCTTAAATCTTCTAATGCTTTCATGGTAACTCGGAGACCGGCCAGTAACAATCGGTGACAATTTCGACGTGTGACTGGAATAGCCCGTTCATCAACTGCTAGCTTGTGGATATAATAGCTCGTCGCGAGGTAGACAGCCGTAGACATAGGACAGAAATTGTGTATGCGCATGAGATAGTCTTCTAACGAGATGGGAGGAGGTTCTTTTGAGTAGAATTTTCGTGTAATGGCGCTATGTTGGACGTTTAAGGGTTCTGCATTATCGCCAATGATGATATATGGTGGTGTCGGGGCACGAGCGGAATTGCCGAGACGTGTCTTTCGGAAGGTCACGCCGTCAATCTCATCCGAACTTGCACTGCACGGAGAGGGCGTTCTTGGGCGTCTGTGTAGCTCGGCAAGATTTTTATAGGAATCGCTCTTGTGTAATTCGCCCAGGTTTTTGTATGAATTGCTTCTCGCAATGCTCTCCTTCTCTGCCTGCATGCCTCGCATATGTGGTGGTGTCGAGCACGTTGGAGGGGGTGTTGGTGGGATGTCGCCGGTTATCCTAACCAGTGCTTCTATTCCTGCACATAGCAATTTGAGGGCGGTAATGGGGCCTATCGTGAAGACATCCATGCTGCTCGGAGAAGGTGGAGAGGCATTGGGGTCGTGTTTGCTCGCATCCATCGCAAGCCCAGTATCTGCAGAAGGGTTTGGCCGAGGTGGAAGGGTATAGGAGAATGTATCCGCGGAATCATGGACGGATGGGGTGATTTGTGCTTGAATTGAAGCTGTCATGTCGAGGTCGAGGTCATCCTCAGGAGGAGTGTGAGTGTGAGACATGGTGCGGGACTCGAAGAACTGTCTCGAGTGCCTTAAGAGCGGTCTGATATCGGCGGTGGGAGATGAGACTATCAAGGCTTGCTTGTGCTTGTGCTTGTGCTTGGCCTTAGCCTCGGCCACGGCCGTCGAAGCTCTATGGACGACCGCCACGGGGGCATATTCTCGATACAAGTAGGATGCGGATATGGATATCGGCCAGCCGTCGGCCAAATTTCTCTGGAGTCTGGATGCGGAGCCGCTGTGGCTGTGGCGGGGGTGTTCTGCAACCTGGAGTTGCACAGTTGCACCCAAGGGGATTCTTATCTGGGGATAAGGTTTGAGGAGTAAATGCAGGAGGTCGGTACGAGGGAGGGTCCCAGGGAACGAAGGATGGGGATTGTGGTGGGGCGGCGTGTGGTGTTGAGGTGGAGGCAGAAGAAGAAGAAGAGAAAAAGAGAAATAAATAATAGAGATTGGGATGTAATGAGGCCACGGAAATTACCTAGTATACCTAGGTAGATAAGCTAGGTATCGTTAGTTACCTGGGTAGTCTGACTGACACGTGCTTGTAGGGTTTTTCGTGTTCAGGCAGAATGGGGCGGATATAATTTTGCAGCACGAAGAGAAGACGTGGGCGAGGGCGAGTGAAGCGGGGCGGAAGCAGTTGCGGTGGGCGGTGGGGGATGTGGCCGTGACCTGAGGGGATTTTGGCGTGAGGTTGCGAGAATATTGATAGTGCTTGCTCGGCGGTGATTATTATTGAGGCGGGATGGGGAGGGTGGATGCGATACGAAGTATGATGCGGTGCGAGGCGGTACGTACAGTACGTACATCTACCTACCTTGGAACATTCTCGCGGCTGCGGCGTGCCGTTGCAACGGTACATGAGTTAGGTGGGATCTGGGGTTGCAGGGGGAAGGGGGCCACGATGAGGGCGAAAGGGGCGAATACACGTGGGACAGAGGCGCCGAGGGAGAATAAGGTAACTTGATTAAGTCTTGAGGGCCGTGATGGTGAGGGAGAGGTTAGGTTCTAGGCTTGTGGCTTTGGTAGTAGTTAGGTGCTTAAGGTGTTTTAAGCTACGTCTCAATAGGCCACCCTACTTATAACTACTAGGCAAGGTAGGTATGGGTACTTTTATTCGAAAGAAGTATTAAGTATTAAGCACTTATAGAGAGAGATACTACGTGGCTGCTCTCATAAAGTTTAGTCTATAGTAAAACTTATTACGACAGTAGAAAGGTTTAGTACTAGCAACACATCTTCTCTCTCTTCTTCGTCCCGGCATCTCATCGCGCGGGTAAAGGCGGAACCCGGCATCCATCCGGGCCACGGGAGATTGAATGATCCGGTCTCGCACCACGCTCCGCACGCTTCCTCGACTTCTCCAAGGGGCAATATAATAATCAAATTATCTCTTGTCTCTCTTCATTTATCTCCTCTTGCCTTTCTCCGAGGCTACTGCTACTTGTCATGTCATTTGAACCACAAATAGGTACCAAATATGCAATGCAATGCAGTTCCTCTGGCTATCCGCTCCAGAGGGCACCTCTTTTCTCCCCAAGGTGACGCCACCCCCACGTTTCTCACGCACCTCGGTCATCCTTGGCTGGACCCTTAAAGCCCAAGGGCACAGCAGAGTTACATTGATGATTATCATGACATGTACTCTGTAGAGCACGAACATGAGGGGGGTTATTGGAGCCTACTTCGTGTACCTCGCTTCTGGGCATCGTTACACCAAGGTCGAAAAAAACATCCGTTGGCACCATGCAACATGCAGCCCCCATGCGGACTCGTTCCAACCGGGGCAAAGTACCCGCTCCCGAATGCAGCTCGGCTTGATAGATGTTCTTGGGAGACAGCGCGCCTGATCACACGAGAAATTCAGCGACGGATAACTACAGGTGCACAGGACCGCAAAGTAGCAGCAACCAACCAAAACATCGAGAATTCAAAATGCCATATTATGCAAAGTGGGCCTTGGACCGGAGTCGGATCCTATAGGCTACTAGAAGTCTGCCCAGATTTAAACTGTGAGAAGGGAGAAGAGAGGAGAGAGGAGAGCACGGCTTCGAAGTCGAGTCATCCAGGAGGCTAGCTGCTCTGTGGCGGCTGCGCGTTGGATGTACTCGAGCGTCCCCACCAGTGGGGCAAAATTGTGGATGGTTCCCAATCCGTGCGTTTCTTTATATATTGGATGTCCCTGGCGATCTTGGGGTTGTACTACCAACAAACTAGAACCCAGACACCAAAAGCACCCAGACATTGGAGGTAGGAAACCCAGCGAGCTGCTCAAGTTGAGTATGCCTTTCCAACTGAACTGGTGCATTATCAGCCGTAGATATCGTCATATGTGGTGGCTCCAAAACCGAAAAAAACTTAGCTGTTTTTATTAGGCTTTAATAGCATGGACGTAGTCCCGCACTTGTATTTACTTGAGACTCCTGAGAGCCCCCATTTCAAGCACAGAATCACATTTCGCTGAGTCAGCTGAGGTAAATTCCATCCGCATCCAGAGCTACTCCCCAGACATCAGGGGTTTACCATCAAAAGCCTTCAGCGATATCTATCGATCCATGAATTTGCCTTGAGTACCAAACAACAGGCAAAGAGTGCCCATTTAAGGTAAAAGGGGGCCCTTATTATATTCATGTCTACCTATGATAAGGTTGTGGAATCAAGACATATTTATCTTATAGATTTCCTCCACCCCCATCACACTTCTTCCTATCAGCAACAACACAACTCCCAAATCCTTAACCCAAGACATACACCCAGCCATCCATGCGATATGCAACGAATCTGCAAGTATGCAGGGTCTGCATACAGCCTAAACCTACCCGCAAACTCTCGACTCCAGGACGTCGGGTGTGTATTATTTGTTCGGAAACAACTATAGTACTTGGGAATGTCTGTTGGTTTAGTGCGATTTGAATAGCTGGACATGAGATGGAAATGTGCTAAGTGGCTAGAAGTAGCTTGGTATATCATATTTTACATCGATACAAATCCTCCTGTTAAGGCTCAAGTCTCCGGCCAAGCCTCTGAAATATCATGGTCCGGGGAAATTACCCAAATGAATACGCGCAGGTCGACTAGTTTAAACACCTGTTTTATTAGTTGTTAGTATAGTTACCTCGATTATATAAAACTGAGAGAATATAACAGTTCTGAAGCGACGCCCAACATGTGCTCCCGCTTATACCGACCGATCACGTAGATAGGTAGTCACATGTTTATATCACGTGGCTTACTTCAAGTGATATATACTCCTAGAAAAGTTATACTTTCTCTCTTTCTGTTTTTGGTTTTAGCTTAATATCTTCGTATTTATAATTAAAGTCGAATAAAGATAAAAAAGACGCTTCGATCTTCTAACTTAAATAAATACAAATATATAAGAAGTGACGAGGAAGAAGCGGGTGGTTCCGGATGCGGGGTCAGTTTACTTGCAGTGCAGCACAATGATATGGGGCGTTTTTGAATTCTTGGAGTTCTTCGACGAAAGCATGGGCTTCATAAAGTAAGAGTACAAATCAGCTTCCCTCTGAATGCTGAAGTGCCCCAACATCTCCTGGAATCACTCCGTTCGACGCGCTGCGCTCGTGTTTTGCCATCTGATGGTAAGAGCTCCTTAATAACTCCTTCATTATTGGCCAACTTTAAAGGCGTGTAATGATTTTTGTCAGGTAATTCGGAATTTGCTCTTCTTTCCAGTAACTCCCTGACGATCTGGAGATGCCCAGCTGTTGCCGCAATATGCAGTGGTGTTCGTTCTTCATTGTCCAGAACATCTAAACGTCCCACAAAGTCTCCATCTAAGAGCTCTTTCACAAATGTAAGGCTTCCTCCCTCGCAAGCATAATGTAGAACAGTGTGACCTTCTAAGTCGGAAGCGTCCGAGGCAGTAAATTTAGATCGAAGTAGCTCGATCACTCTGTAATGACCTCCTTTTGCTGCTAGGAATATCGGAAGTCGACCTTGGTTTTCTCTTATGTTCATAGGGGATACAAAGTCCTGGTGGTAGAAAAGCTCCTCGACCACCCTCACGTTTCCGTTTTCTGACGCGAAGTGAAGAAGCGTAGAACCATCGCTAGTTCTGGCTGTTGGATTTGCGCCAAAGCGGATAAGCAGTTTAGTTATATCGAGAAAGCCTTTTGCTGCACGACATGTGAAGGGGTGTAAAACTTGATATGTTCTTGTGTACACTAGTTATCTTAGCTTCAGCCCCAGACTCCAGAAGAATTTTGACTATCGGTGTATATCCCTTCTCACAAGCTAAATGAAGTGGTGTTAATGTCGATTCTTCTTTCTTTTCGGAGTTGAAAACATCAAGTGAATAATTCTGCTTTTTATGTTCCTTGCAAATGGATAATACCACGCCAAAATTTCCTCGTTCTACAGCCAGGTGTATGGGGTTTGATGAATTTTTATCCACGGCTTTTATTTGTTCGACATCCCAGTCAAGAAGGCGCTGAACAACGCTCAAGTGTCCGTTTATGGCACCGAGGTGGAGTGGTACACGGCCCTCGTTGTTCTCCACTCCAGCCGCACGAGGCGGCCGTACGCGTTTCTCGAGAAGCTCGAAGGTAACCTTACAGCGACCATGACCGGCGGCAAGATGTAGTGGTGTCGAACCATCGTTGTCTTTGCTTTCAAGAAGCACGCCCCCCATTCCAAAATCCCAAATTTCCTTGAGAAGCATCTTGACAATATCAACGCGACCTGTGCTGGCGGCTATATGCAATGGCGTCTTTATATTGTTGTCAATGCTGTCGACTCTGAGCTCTGCTTCTTTATCGAGGAGTGCTTCTACCGCGCCTAGCTGCTGCCACTCACACGCCTACACAGGAATACCACCGAGTTAGCATTACTTCTTCGTAACATTCGGGAACATTTTGCGGATAAAGTAGAGTATGCTACGGGAGTAGACATGCATCTGGAATCTAATATCGACCCACAGAGTAATTAAAACATCTACCAAATGCAACGGAGTTTATAAAATAATGTATTCTAAGTTTATAGAGTAATAAAATTGATAATTTAAAATTGAAGATTAAAGATTTAAATAAAAGAAATAGAATTAATAAAAATATATACACTATTCTATTATTTAAATATTAATAATCTTATAACTTCTAACTTCTAACTTTACAACTACTTTAACTTTATACTTTCTAGCTTTATACTTTCTACTCTATATATTTTTATACTGAATAAAATCGATATATAACTTAAGGTGTACTTAGTCTGTCAAATAGTTGAAGTTTACAATGTGATTAAGCTTCTCGCTTGCGGAAGGATTACTGTATCCGGATCTAGCCTCCCCCCCGGCCCGGGAGATCTAGCTAGCAGATATAAGAGCTTCACTTCTGCCCAGAAGGAGATATGGGATACTGCCATTGCTGGTATCCCAACCATGCTTGATAGCTACTCACAGCCAGACCCGCAATTCCTAAAATGATTGCGATGAGCACGCCAACAAGTGTAGCCATCATAACATATCTTGCTCCACTCTTCCTCTGAAACCACCTTTCGATTCCGCGAGGCGTTGGGTTTTCCAATTCTTCGTGCAGCTCTGCGAGTCGCGCACCGAAGTAGTGATATGGAATGTCTTTTTCCTTTGCATTTCGTATAGTTGTGGACTCATAGCGGCCACAGTCTTCATCAAACCCCTGCGTAGCTGTGAGAGAGTCGAGGATTTTGCGGGACTTTTTATCTGTGCGAGGGAAGAGTATTTTCTGAAGGGAGTCGAGGATTTCGAGGACGAGTTGGCGGGGCAAGGCTCCTCTGCATTAAAAATTTGGTAAATGTTTGTTCAGTGTTTATTCAGTCGCTAGCAGATGGACAAACGCATGATACTCACAGTCGCAATGATTCCTCGAGAGATAAATTCTCAGGCTTGTCTTTTGTCAACCTCAAATGCTCCTTTAAGAAGGCTGCGTGATGGTACAGCTCCAGGACGCCATTTTTCTTGTCGAGTCTGAGATGGCATCTGAGATCATCTGTTGGCTGAAAATTCAATCCAGCATGTTTCTTTAATTTCTTTGCAAGCAATGCTCCCTTGATATCAACTTTGTCAACACCCTTTTCCAGATCGTCTTCGTTCGACCAGGAATGAATTTCCATGTCGTCCTCGTTCAGTCTGGGGTGATCGGTTGGTGTCGGAAACAAGTCGCTCACAAACTGGGAGAAGGGGATGTCGTTTGGCCAGCGGACTCTGTCTTGCAGACCTGAAGCGGAACGCAGATCAGCGGAACAGTTGACCATGACCATAATCTTCACTGCGATGTCAATTGCACCCTCCTCATCTACCCCTTGGCGGTCTGCGAACAGTGTATTCCGAATTTGGGACCGCGTCAACTCGGGAGAAGATCTCAAAAGCACGAGGATCCTAAACAGATCCTCGTGGCAGGTCAGAGCAGCGACTCCTTCACCGTGTTTAGTATCGGGCTCGTATGCCGCTATTACATCTTTGTAATGCTCGAAGAATCGGCTGAGTCGTTTCATGCGCTTGAAAGGACAGCCGTGTGACGAGCAAGGCTTATCATCGCAGCAACCTTCGCAATCGGGCCAGGACCAGAGAACCTTGCAGAGATGTCTCAACTGTCTTTTTGTGACAGTTTCGAGTGGGAATGGGCGACCTGACGAAGGCATAGCCACCGAAGCTTATGCTGAAGATATCAAGATGGAATTGAGGTGAAGACCTTTTTGAAGGTAAGGCTACACAAGTAGCGCTTCCTCACGTTTGGGGCTGTGATCGCAGCGATTGGATACCAGCAGCCTGCACAGCCATTTGCGGGGATTTGGACAAGGCACTTCGAGTTTTGGCAGATATTCGTCGAGGCCCAAATCTCTACTTGTGATGCTTCAGTACAACAGCGATGTCAACGCGACACGAACGATTTCGGGCCGCGGGCCCTAGAATGGCGACTCTATCTCATGCCATTACTACAACGGCCGTATCTTCAGGCGAAGAGCATGCGCGAATTGTTCTGAACTTGGGCGAGCCTCATCGTCCCGCGATACTTATGACTTCGAGTGGGTCCTCTTCAGGGATTCCATCTTCCACAGGTACGGACTCAGGTTACGCGTCTATGACTAATGGGAGTCCGAGAAGCTTCTACAAAGGATCTATTGAAGGGATCGCTATTCCAGGAAGCAAGTTATGGTCCCAGAAAGTCAAGCTCAAAGTGTTCTCCAAGCCACTGTCAGAGGCAGCGGAGAACCGTTTCGCAGACTTAATGGAATTCATCCCCAAAGGTCTCGAGGAATACATATCAAGAGCACGACTCGCAGTCAAACCTTATTCAATCATTCTAAAGGTTCTAGGAGAAGACGAGGCTACTGCGAAACCTTGGATCTTTATACAATGTGACAAGGCTCTGACTAGGAAGACCAAACAATTCTTCAAGCAAGACCATATCAAATCCGAATATCATCCGACTTCGAACGACGAACTCCAGCCACCATTTCGGGTCTTCTTGTGTGAACGACCTCCGAGGAAAATAGCAGCAACAGACACAGTTGATGTTTACGCCAAATCTCACTTCGGGCTGGCATCATCTTCTGCTTTCAAAGTCATAGATCCCAGTGGAAGCTCAAGGATTGGCACACTTGGAGGTCTGATCAAGATCACAGCAGGAGACGGCAACTTCAATCTTTTTGGAATGACGGCTGGGCACATCTTTGCAAGTGATGACTTCTTGGACGACGAATCTGAACTATACGAGTCGACGGATGAAGACACTGATGAGGATGAAAATTCTTCAACAGACGACGAAGAGGTTGTTGAGTTAGATCTTGGATCTCTCGGCGATGGTGAATATATTTCGAGCCAGGACGAGAAGATCGAGACGGGTACGGGGCTCGAAGATGATGATATGCCTACGCTCTCTTGGACAAAAATGGGACGGCTTCAGGATATGTCAGCCAATACCATCGACAATGGGATGAATTTGGACTGGGCTCTAATCACCATTGATGACCTTCTGCTATACCGTGGCATAACTGATACTGATCCCATCCACAAAATGCAGGAGAATGCAGAGCTCAAAGAACCACTCGAATTGCCAAATCAACGTCGTTCCAGCCAGGCCGTCACTCTCTGCGGTGGCACCAGCGGCACCAAGGAGGGCATACTCTCTGCTTCATGGTCATATCTTCAACTCTCGCCTGGGAAGGCTTTGGTCAGGACATATACCCTTACTTTATCAGATCATACAGGTAAGACTCCGCCTCAGTCAAAGCATCTTGCATGTCTAAAGCTTCGCGAACTATGCAGAATTGCGAGACGGTGACTGCGGGGCATGGGTTGTAGATAAAACGACCCATGAGCTTTACGGACATGTTGTTGCATCAGGCGTATTTGGAGAGGCCTATGTCGTACCACTTGATTGTTCGTTTGAGAATATACGACTTCAATTAGGAGCTAAATCTGTTTGCCTTCCACAACCGCAAGAGGTAATACTCTGGCTTCAACGAGTCATTGAGACCAGAGAGAGGATTCGAGAGCGATCTCCATCACCATGGCGCGTCGTTAGGCGGGAAGGACGCCCACCGTCACCACCACAGGTCGACAGAGTTCGTATTCACAACATTCACCGAGAGGAAGTCGGACAACCAAGTCTAGAACACTCGCCATCACCACCTATTCGCGCTCCTCCCATCCACCAGGAAATCATCACCCATCACCTACACATCGATCATGGTATTGACCCCTCTTCTACTCAATCCACATTGCCGCTAATCCTTGATAGGCTTTGAACGTGCTCCTGTCCCGGCCCCGCCCCCACCACCTCATCGCACAGAGCCTCGGACAAAGGAAACAGACATCAATATCTATACCTCTCGGAATAATACTGAAGTCGATATTACTCGGAAGGAAACACAATTGCCTGCACCTTGGCCTAGCATCTTGACCCGCCGCGACACTTTTTATGATGATTCTGTAATATATGAGCAAGAGCAAGACAAATTACGTGTCCGAGACACCCGACTTAATGTTGATCGACGTAGCAGTCTAAGTGCACGACCCGAGCAAAGGGAGGAAGAAAATGTTCGAATTGATGTCAGAGAATCTGGTCGTGATCTTGGCACAGACGAGGAAGAAGCGGCTTACTACGAACGAAAAGCAAATGAGCGGGCATTTATCGGAGAGGCATACGATGGTGCTACAAAGCACTGGACTATTGTCGATGTGCCACCTGGAACTGAGCGTGTGCAGATGGATGGCATTGGTGGTGGCGTCCAAGATATTACATGGCAGAAGTATTACGGTGTCCGCAGAAGCAGATTCCTCCCCGAACGCGAGCGCGAGAGAGACCGAGTTGAGGAGAAGGTAGAGATTCGAGAGAACACAAGACCAAGCGAATCTTCTACTAATCTAGAAACCGACATCTCGAGAGGGCCAAGACGGGAGAAGGAACCCGTTTATGAGGGATATGAGGAGAGAATCGAGGAGACTAGCAATCTTCAAATTTTATTTCCTCAAGCTCCGCCAAAACAGAGAATAGGAGACCTCTGGACTGAAATCACCAAGGACCTGGTTACGCGGGAAGCTATCGAGGAGCTTGGATATAATTACGAGGAGACGGAATTCTTCTTCTATATACTACAGTATCTTCAATACGTTAGTCCTCCCTTTATCCGCAGATCTTCTTATAATAGCTAACAAAGTTATAGGAGGACGTTGTCGAACTAGTACAACTCTCCGAAGGAATCCGCCGCGAGCGTGGCTATCGTATCCGAGAAATTCATCGCTTCCGAGAAATCGAGAACGAGCGCAAGAAACTGGAACGTAGAGAACGCGAACGAGACGATTATATAAACGAACAAATTATTAAATAATTAACTTTAAATATTGTAGTAGGGATCCAAGGGACTACTAGTTATTTACCTTGTTTTTGCATGTCCATTTATACTAGAATTAGCACGTGGATAAGTGGAGCCACCTGGGCATATAAGCTCCTGGCTCTCACTCTCCCTTTTGCAAAAGGAATCAATCATCGCGACTAGATTCACCAGAATATAGCTGGACTAGGGAGAAGCTGGCCAGTTGAGATAATCACGAATACAAACTCATAATAACTAGATCTTGTGACTATTAGTGGTTCTGACATGCCACTACATGAGTGCGCCCTGAATATTCACCTCCTCTAAAAGAACACTAAACCATGGTTTAGACTTCTTCAACCAGATGACCACATGACGATAATCCTGCACCGCGCCTACCGCTCAATTAATCCTCATACCTTGGCTGCGGTCACTTGGTTGTTTTATCCATGATTCCTCCTGATAATCCTAAGGGTCCTCCTAGTTCCTCTACACTCTTATTTACTAAGAATATATTATAACTGAAGTTAATTAATAGAATTAGTAAAACGCTGGTTTGTAACCAAGGCTCTCCGACTCTATAAATAAAGGGCGCCTCCCCTTAGATTAGGAGGCGAGAGATTAGCTTGCATAATAATACAACTATTTATACCTCCTCCATCAATATCTTACGACGAGAGTGGTGTAATTATACTTCGGGTCGCTACAGTTTCCAGTAACTTCTTCTTCTAGATACGCTTTTACACAGTATAATTGTTAAAATAGTATAATTGTTAGGGCTTGCTCAACTGCCATTGAGTGCTCGAAATCAGTTGAGCGTTTTCGGAGACCTAGGTACGCGTCGTCCTTGATCGTGACACGTGCAAAACTGGCACTGGCCAACCTCAATCAGGCACATGGAAAGCCACAAGCCAGGGCTCTATTACCCCTTCCTGGCATTTGACCAGTGAGAGCGAGGCTGGCAACGTCGGCCAAGAGCCTTACCTGCTTTTGGAACTATACCCAGGATGCTGCTCGATTTCTCGCCGCGCTTCTCGAACTGTGGCTGCGGAGTCGCTCCGAGAGCGAAGCGCGTTATAATATAATTGCCTTTAATATATTAAACAGCGTGCTTGATCCAGTTAGCCACACGTTCACCTGATCAGGCCCGTGAGCAACTCGGTCCGAAAGTCAGGCCGCGCTTCACGGACCGTGAAACGCGGCCCTACTTCCTTCTCCCCTTTACAATGAGGCTGAGTATGATAATTGCATAATTATTAAAGCAACTCTATATAGATGTCATGATTCGATTATATGGCGGCCCCAGGGAAGCACGCGCCTTATAAAATACAACAGTAGGAGCTTAGTGAACACACAGGTAGGCAGGTATACACCTGCGGTCGGCGACCTTGGGAGCATCGCCGTAGTGTAATTCCCCGTCTAAGGCTCATGTACCGTACATGTACAATGCTTAAACCCTGTACCGGCATCACAACTCCCGCCTCGTTCCTCCCCACAACGACCGGGGAACCATCGTCCCATCCATCCCCAGCTATTCTTCCCCACAATCCTTAAGCATTCTCCGCTTGGCTGTGGCCCTGGCCATCTTCGGATCCAACTCCATTTTCGAAGGACCTCCTGTGAAAGAAAGAATTGGGCGGACATCAAGATGCAACCTTCGCGCTCCATATATCGCTGGGGCATGTATTCTCCGTTCGTAGAGCATAGCCAATTGATACCCACGTGAAGATATTTAGAGATCGACGCCGCCCCTCCTTGGGACCCCGCGAGGGACCCCGCGAGAAACCCCGCAACATCGATCCCTACGTGCAGCCGCATCAGGTAAGCGGCAACGTGGATACCCCATACCATACGTCGTACCTTGTGATCGAAAATAGAGTTGCTCGGCATTGTCTACATGCACAGACGGTACTGATTTCCGCCACAATACTCTGGTGTGGGTTCCATCACAATACGCTGGTGTGGGGTACAGGGATTGGGCATCAAGAAGCTGCTTGCCAGAAACTTGTATCGTGATTGTTCAATAATATATTGCTATTATCATTGCACCGAGCAAATGTCACCGAATTAGATCACTCTCATTCTCATTCTCTATAAAGTCTTGATCATTTCCCTGATGGATTTCTATCTTCTCTCAGTACCCGCCATCCATGCAATTGACATTGAATCATGCATTACTCTCAGATCATATCGTTGTTGTGCCTCTCTGCTGTCTCGGGACTGGTATCCGGTGCGGCAATCGCTCTGCCGGCACTCACGGCCTCGAATGGCACTACGGCGAATTCAACAGCATCAGGGACCACAGGAAAGCCTGTGTTCTTCCACTATATGATTGGCGGCATCACAGATGCGCACTGTGAGCAAGACATCAAGGACGCCATGGCTCTTGGCGTGGACGCATTCGCCTTGAACCTTGACACGGTCACTGCATCATGGGCCACCGGAACAGTTGCCTCACTTTTCAACTGGGCGCAAACACTTGGTTTCAAGGTATTCTTTTCATTTGATATGACTGGATTCACCCATCCAAACCAATTTACGGGCTTTCTACAGTCCTACGTCACCAGTTCTGCGTATTATCAATACAATGGCCGTCCCTTGGTATCCACATTCAATGGAGGGGCGAGCAGCTTCACTTTCGGGCAGTACACCGTGAGCGACGGATATAAAGTGGAACTGGAACAGGTGATGGCCAATGCGGGACATCCCATCTACTTTGTTCCGGCATTCGACGATGCCCCGGTCACAAGTTCCTTTTTCAACACTTTTCCATGTTTAGATGGGTAAGGCTAACACCACTTTATCTCGGAACCTTGCTAATACCTTTCCAGAGCAATGAACTGGAACTCGTGGCCTCAGAACACCCAAGGAAATATTGTTGTTCCAACTGCGGATGATCAGACTCTACTCACAGCGGCACGTGCAGCGGGAAAGACCTTCTTGATGGGCGTTTCTCCCCTCCAATTCAAGCATATCGATTCTGGAAACAATTGGTACCGCCGTGGCGAGCAGAATCTTGAGTCCAGATTCGGCCAAGTTCTGTCTATGCAGCCAGATTTCATTGAACTCCAAACCTGGAATGACGCTGGAGAGTCACATTATATGGGAAATATCTGGCCCGAACCCATAGCTGGGTCAGCCATTGTAGGCTACACCAAGGACTACGACCATACTGGATACTGGCAATTGCTTCCGGCCTTCTTCAAGGCTTACAAGGCGGGAGCAACGACGACCTCAACCATGTATCCTACCAATGGTGCTGTGGCTCAGGGTACATTCTGGCATCACACTCTATTGGCTGCTGGCGTAGGACTTTCCACCCTTACTCATTTTGGACCGAGCACTAACTTTATTTAGACTTGTCCCGGTGACTATTTAGGACCCCCGGGAGGCGTCAACACGGCGGAGGATCAGGTCACTGTACGTTTGTTCCTTAACAACCGTGTCATTCTATATACGCTAACATTCAAAAGGCTGGAATCCTCGTCGCAGCCGGTCAGACCGGGCTAAAAGCTGTAGTGACCAGTGGAAGCGCAACCCTCGGTACTCAGACCTTAAACCCTGGCTTTAATGGGTTTTCATTCCCGGGTATGACGACAGGCACCGTATCAGTGAAGGTGGTCAATTCTGCTGGGGCGACTGTCGTCTCAGGATCTGGACCTATTGCTGTAAGTCTAATAGCGTGAAATGCAAAGTATATTGCTTACTCGTTGAAAGGTTGTAAACACGGCTCCACTTTGCAACTACAACTTTCAGGTAGTAGGGTTAGCTTAATACTCTTTGTCGAGTACGGAGGAGGATTCAATGACCTAGTCACCTGTTGAGGATCTGGGATCACAAGTATAGGTCATGGGATTAAGGCATTGAATTGATTGCTTCCTCCTGGAAAAGAGGAACTATAGGAGCTTTATTTGATTACTTCCTCCTGGAAACGAGGAACTATAGGATCTCTATTTGATTGCTTCCTCCCGGAAAAGAGGAACTATACGAGCTCTATATAAAGTATTTCAATAGCAAATGAATGGAATTCTAGAATGAAAAGGCCTCGTATTATTTGATAGGCCTAATTGACTGCGGATCGATGTAGCTGATTATACCGAAAGTGACAAATATTAAATAGGAGTAATAGTTAAGGGGATTTATATATAGTTGAATTAATATAAGATCTAGATCTAGGTGCTGAATATAATAGTCTAATAGTTATCACTTCTATAAGAAAGCAACTAGTATATACAAAATTTCGAATATTTCTTCAAGTAAAGTAGTAATTACTTTAATAATTATCAGAATAAGATAATTATTTAAGTTATTACAAGTAAGTTCTATTCGTCGGCTCTTAATATAACTATAAGTCTAAATCGATATAATTATAGTATACCTATATATATACGCCGATAACTCTATTCTACCGCAATCTTCGGCTTGTCATCTATACAAAAACGTCTACTTATCAAGGGTCCTTGCAGGAGCCGATTTGGATCCCTTCTAGTCCACCCTTCTCACCTCGCGCTCAAACCTCCTCCTCCTCCCCTCACCTCACCACCTCTATATTAGGCCTCTTGCAGGTGCCATTCGCTCCTTATTATATATATATATATCACACCAACACCGCACCTTCGTGCAACACTTCCAATACGTAACGTCTCCATTCAGCCTTCCGAGTCAGCCTTCTGAGGCTGAATCCAACACTGCAAGGCAGACTTTATGTTCATGCGACCGCTGACTCAAATGCTCAAACAATCAATTGGCTACAACAACATTACAATTTGGAGCAACTAATGAGATATTCGGAATATTCGGAGCGTTATTCATTATCTATAAGATTATAAAATTTTCTAAGCACTTTGAAAATATCTCAAATTTTGAGTGTTTTCACTGGGGTAGAACTGGGCGTTGGGCCGCTATACCCTTCTCTAACTGCTCCGAGCCTCGTGCATAAGTGCAGAACTGCTCCTGGGCTTCCATCGCTGCTCTTTCTTTCCTTTCCCCAAATCCTCCGTCACTCCCTCCTCCTCACTTCAATTTTCTTTAGTGCCCTGCCCTACCCTCGAGCTGCGACCACTGTCGCCGGCATACTGTCGCGGGACCCTCTTAACTCGACGCTCCTCTGCGAGGCCGCCATGCGCTCCGATTTGCTCAGTCATACGATACTTTTATCCAAATAAGCGCGCAGCTTAGACCCACACTGACCCTGCATTGTCCTCTCAAGCCAGTTTGAAACGCGGGCATATTTACATTTACAAGGAAACGGATAAGACTCAACCGAATATTTTAAAAGCGTAGGTAGCTTTAGCTTGACATCCACATGATAAGTTTGATCCTTGGTGATAAGAAGGCTCACACTGCATTCAGGCACAGTCTCTAGTCCCCCATCAATACAAAAGAGGTCCTCTATGCCGCCTGAGAACTCCATTAGTAAAAGATCAAGGTTTTGGTTCCGGTTGAAGTCATATAGCCAATTAAGTGCGTCTCTGGTCCTACCCCCAAAAGCCAAGTGCCTGTCTGCTCACTACTCATATAGCACTATCTGCCTTAAACCCAACAGCTGCAGGGAGTATATCCAGCTTTCAGTACAATAAACCGCTATAGCACAAAATCAAAGGTATGTCTATCGAACTCCTCTGGCATATCCGAGTCGTTCTTGAAACACGAAATCATATTTCGTGCAAGTTCAGAAGAGCAATATCCTATTCCATTTGATATCACTTTTTTTCAGGTTCAAATTCTTACTCTTTACTAGCCTGGCGTCTCCTAGGTTGTTTTGAAAACAATGACTTCGAGGCATAATGACGGACTTTGTCGCCCGTGTACCAAGGTTAACTTTCACTCTCTCGAAGAAGGTCGTACGAAACGAACGGAACGAGAAACGGAATTTGACGTATTCTGGGATTTGCTTTCAGTGTTAAACGAGAAGAATTGTCCATTATGCCGACTCCTTATCAGTTGCCTTCGGAATGACGACGACTTTGATTTTGCAGAAGCTGGGAAGTTTGACCACATATACGGTGTATATGCTGGCCACGAGCTCCGAGTCCTTGTAAAGCAAAAAGAACGAACGAAGAGATCGAGCTATAGCATTCAAGTTTGTGGAGACAAGAATAGCCAGATTCAGGAGCATTTGGTCAAAATTAAGCCAACAACTTTCGATGTGAAAGAACTCAAGTCCTGGCTGGACAGGTGCAATAACGGACATCGGCAATGCAGCACTAAGGGCGACCTTCTGGCAAAGCCTTTACCAAACGGCTTTCGCCTCATTGACGTCAAAAGAGGCTGCATTATTACAGCTGAATCGGACCCCATATACTGCGCCTTAAGCTACGTTTGGGGCGGTGGGAATCAGTTGACTTTAAATAAGCAGAATCTTACAACATTGGAAAAAGAAGGCGCACTTTTTGGCAACGACTTTCTCCTACCGAAATCAATAACGGATGCTATCAAGCTCTGCAAAGATCTCAACCAGAACTATCTCTGGGTGGACTGTTTGTGCATTCTTCAAGATGGAGAAGCGGACAAACATAATCAGGTTAGCTCGATGGACGCCGTGTATAATTTAGCATTCTTGACGATCGTCGCTGCAGCTGGAGATAGTGCGAATGCCGGCTTGCCTCCTTTCAACTCACCTCGACTTAATTCCCACCTTTTATTCCATGTCGAGACTATCTCAGGCATTAACTTTGTCTCATGTCTGAGCCCTCGAATCGCTACGGAAGCTATTACAGAATCAAAATGGGCCACTCGTGGGTGGACTCTTCAAGAGTATGTACTATCGAAGAGAACGGTCATATTTACAGGAAGATATGTTTTCTTTCGCTGCAAAGAAGCATTATGGGCTGAAGACTTTGGCTTGCAATTTTTAAGTTTCCGTGATAACTGGCCCGGTTGGGACCTTCCGTTGTATCGATTTTCTACAACAACACAAAGGGCTTCAGGTCAATATCTAGAAAATTACTCTCAGCTCGTTGCTCAGTATGTTCGTCGAGTTCTCACTAAAGAGGAAGACATTTTGTATGCTTTTCTTGGAATTCTCAATCGTCTTGAGAACATTATCGGCACTCATTTATGGGGCTTGCCATCGAAAGAGTTCGGATCAGCGCTACTGTGGTCGACCAATTCATCGTTCTCAATCAAGAGAAGACCCTTATTCCCAAGCTGGTCCTGGGCAGGTTGGATTTATACCAATGGCTTTCCACACGAAGGGATCATTCGCGATGGTATCTATCTTGGAATTGGTTCGTGGTATGAGCACAGTTCCATTCTAACATGCTACAATGTTGGAGATGACACTGAAATTCAATGTTTTGAGCAAAATCATATTGGCCGGGTTACTTCAATGCGTCTCAGGGCGATAGAAGAAGGCATATCAGGCTCCGAGTTCGAGATACCAATCCAAAAATCGATTAAGGAGCATTTCACTCCACCCAAGAATTATGAGCATCTTCTGGACTCATACATTTCTCTCAAAGACCGCTCAGGACCACCACTTTCTCATTATGTGTTCTTTTGGACTAGCTGCAGCACCTTGCTCGTAGATCGACAGCCTACATACGATAGGGAGGGTAATTCAAGCTTCGGGCAGTTTTCCATTCGTCTACAACCAGACAGTGACCACACAATCGGGCACGTTCGTCTAGATTCCGAATGGCGAGAAAAGCAACCTGAAATGTTAGAGTTCGCTGTCACAACTGTGGGGTTTTATAGTGGGTGGTTTAATTACCCACGAATCGCCCTAAAATTTGGACTTATGCTTATAACGAGCTGTACCAACACTAAGCCGGAGGCCTATACCAGGGTAACAGCCGTTCAAGGGAGAGTGGAACTGGAAGATTGGATTAAATCAGAACCACAACAGCGTCTTCTGGCTCTTATCTAATGCTGGTTATTCTTAAGCGCTGATAATAAATATTACTTAAGTACTCAGCTCGCTCACTTGATGTATCATGGTACTACACGGCCTGCAGATATGATAGCCAATTGTAATTGAGGTCCCAAAAGTAAATGAGATGACTTTCACAGTGCTCGGAGTAGTGTGGAGTCAAAGAAATATTCAGACTGTGTGAGAATCCTCGAACAGCGGCCCCTTGCCCTATTCCGCGATAAGGAGGAAAATAATAAGTGAAAGAGAACCGCCAAAGACCGAACTCCAAACGTTGGCAACTTCCGTTATGTTGCGCTTACCTATTAAATAAGCAAACATATAGAGCTAAGCTGCGTTTTAAAGACCTTGAAAATTGGCATTAGTATGACGAACTCAATCTGCTAACCCCATGGTAGTTACCCTGACCTGCAGGTACAACGGATGACCAGGAGAGAAAGAAGCACTTCTATTAAAGAACCAAAGCTAGAGGGAAAGGGAGAAGGCAAGCCCTTGGAGTTATCGCGACCACCATATCTCCCTACTAGCCCGAGTCCTCCTAATTGCTATACTATAGTTTGGACCACTCTAGCCTATAGTACACAGATTTGGACTAGTAAAAATTAAAACACATCGAAATTTCCTAGTAAAACTTGAAATAGTATCATGTGTAGTACAATAGCCTATACTATAAGACGGCTACTAGGGTGCGGGTTCTAGCGCCAGTGTACGTTGTGAGTGTAGAAGAGCTTGAGCAGACCAAGGCGTACTCGCTTCGTCGAGATTCACAAAAAAATATTAGAAATATCTAATAGTAATACTGCTTGACTAAGATAAGTACGATGATTTAGACGTTCTTGGGAAGTATTAGTCGAATACGTCGAATTTGAAGGAATATTATTTAAGTATTATGAGTAAATTTTACTGAGCTAGGGACGATCTTGAAACGACACAAAAATATGTGCCCGTAAAACACAGTATAATTATTGAGAACAAGTTACGTGATAGCCCCGCACGTTGAGCAGAACAGCGTTTATGTTATAGTCAGGTTATTTCAGGTCTAACACCAACTCTAACAACTCGATCGACAGGAATACATAGTGTAATGGTATACGCCGGTGGAAAGTGCGAAATACAATTTGCATCAACATTGAACGTATTAGATAAAAGGACGAATAATAAAAAATTAGAGCACTCAAATGCACAACTCGATCCTACCCTCTGATCCTCATGAATCATGCTAGAAATAACAATTCAAGGCATTCGTCCCGCTAGTACCTTCGAAATCGCAGTAAAAAAGGGGGCCTGGCTTGCAGCAGTAACCTATATCTAGATGGAAAGGCCCACCTGGCCTCTTTTCGAGTAGCCAAATCTTGCTCGCGTGTCCATCACAGCATTACGCAACACGTGCTCAGTGCCAGTCTCCCCCTCTTGTGATTTGGACGATTTCGCCCGGCGTCTTTCCAGCCGCGTGCGCCTAAGCAGGGTTCGCAACTCGGCTTCTTGCTGGGGGAAATTCCTAGTGGAAAACTCTTCGGGTGACCAGAGGCTATCGTTCAGAACCCTGCGATGTCCAATGTTGATGTATCTTTCTGGCTTTGGACACCCGGTATCCGGATCGGCTCCCTCCTCCAGAAGCATCTTGATGATTCAGTACCCGATCTTAGTGAATGGGCAGGTTTCCCGTTCGCTATGAATTTGAAAGCTGCTCTTTGGCATCTGCGTTGTACAACACGGGCCCGATTTCTCTTGGTGGATGCAGTATGCTTATAATTCGATCGATACCGAGCGAAATACCGCAGGAGCCTGAGCTCTTGACCCATTTTTAGAGCGGAGTCGTGTTGCAAGTCGAATCAATACATCACATTTTATCCGCCTCCGCGTCCACTTATCCACTCTTCGATATACGTATCCTTGGTTAAAATAGAATCACTCTTTCGCTTGATTGACACCGATGGTGGATCGACAGGTGGTAGTTTCACCATGATGTATTTACCTTTCCAGGGAATCTTGACCTTCAACGGAGAGGCGGGTGGCGGAGATAGAGGCTCTAAAATGATTGGCTGTGGTGCAAGATCCACCCTGCACTGGGCTAAGTGGAAACTTGTTCCCCGTGGGTATTCCATGTGCTCAACGGCTCCTATGCGAAGTGTGGGGTATGGTCCATGTCGATTTCTTGTTGGAAGACTTGGTCCGGCCATATCCAAGTCTAACCAAGGCGTAACTTCGAAGCTCAACTCGAAAGTTTCCGAGACAAAGGGGTTTGGTGAAAATGATAGTCGATCACTACTGTTCTCCTTGTCCGAGTCTTTTCTTAGCGACAACTTTGATAGATTTTCTATATTTAGTAGCTTTTTCCCTTTAAGTAAGAGGTTTAAATTTTTACGTTTCTGTTTCTCTAGAGATAGAACATGCCCATTCTCTATCCTTGACGCCATCGAGCCAAGGATTCTTTGCGGGAGGTTGAGATAGGCATCGTCCGGTTCCTTTGACGGTCTAGGTAATGGGCTTTTCTTTTCCCCGGCATCCGAGGTTTTGATCTGGAGTTGGTTGGAGAACGATATTTTATCGTTGCCTCTCCCGTCCGCGTCGGAAATAATAGGCGATCTGGAGTTTAAAGCCTGTTTATTGGTCAAGACATTGCTTGAAGTAGCTGGATATAATGTCAGTGCCTGGTGATTGTAGGAGAGAAGAGATCTAATAGGGTGCTCGCTTTTTGTATCTTCCAAGACTGTTGAATTCCCACCGGCAGATTCTCTGCCCTTATGTGGTAAGGCAGGGGTAGCTTTTTGATATTTGAGAGCCGACTTTGGTTGGAATATGTGGGTATTATGTGGCTTAGAAGACTCGGCGGTACATTTCTCGTTTTTCCTAGCCATAATGTCGCTATCCTGATGCAGAATTTCTTTCTCTCTTGGACAAACTTTTCGATCGGTTCCTTGTTGTGACCCTGTCGCACTAGATAGGGCAACTTCCACACTGCTGTCTCTGGGACGTGAAGGCAGGGATATGGTTGCTTTAGAATGTTTATTTTGTTCTTTTGATGCTGAATCCGCTTTTTTTTCTTTATTACTCCATCTCATAACTTCCTGGAATATCACCGCTTGCCGAACGAGCGCAGGTAGATCTTCGTTCGGGGATAATCCCAAAGAGCTCAAACGGTCTTGAATTTGATGAACGATTTCTGCAGTCTTCGTATCCATTTCAAGCAGGGAATATATCTTCGGGACATCAGGGCAGTATCTCAGTCTCCATTGACTCAAATACTGCGTGACCTTAGGCTTCAAGCAATGCTGGGCCCAAAAGAAAAGATTATCTGCAATACGGCAAAATTGAATGGCATCCCAGATCTTGGTGATCGTACCCTCCCATATACTTATAATTTTCTGTTGATTTGTTAGCCTCTTTTTTTTCGAGCATGAGTGAGACCTCGCACATGATCTCGAATCTTATCGTCGACGATATCGCAGTAAGCAAGCCACACTGTGGTACTTGCTCCTACTGATGTGATGGCGATCACAGGTGGGATGTGCTGGCCGTCGTGCTTTTCGTCTGCAAATTTCGCCAGTCTTTCGAACATCGAGATTGCGGTTGATGCAGCAGCGAAGACTTGAGAAACGGCACTCGCAAACGAAACATCTTTTGCCTCGGGCGATTTAAAGACGCCACACGCCCCAAATATTCCCCAAGGAAAACAGACTAATTGAGGCTGTGGCTCTTTGCTGCTCGCATGTACCATGGCCTCGTCAACTGAAGACGGGACAGGAAGCGCAGAATGAAGCCCTTGCGTAGTGAGCTGAGCAAGTTGTTCTCTGGTGTAATTGTCGAATGATGGATCGTTTCTGAAGCCCGTTGCTGCCCGTTGGTCGGCTTTTTGAACAGAGAATCCAAAATACAGACCTGACGTAGGAATCGTGGTTGGAGGCTTGGGTAGATCAAAAGTGGCAGCGTCACGCCATATTTCGTTGTCTACCCTACTGGTTGTTACCGACCTGTCAGGGTATATTGGATATTCGAAGTACACTCACCACGCAATGTTCTTATGCACACTGGATCTATCAGGCATTCCGTCAGCAGAGATCTAGAGCTCCCCTTTCACCGACTTACCCACAACTGGTACTGTCTATTCGCCCAGTCATAACTGCTCGAAATAGTTTGTGCCATTCATATCCATCCTGCGCATCAATATTTTTTGCGTATGCTGCCAAATTCTGCGCACTTGCAACAAATTCAGACTCTCTTGCTCGCTCTAATTTGCCCACGCCGTCAGGTTTGTAGGCTGATAGTGGAATAAAATCCTCGTCTGTTTCTTCGGCTATTAGCAGAGCGGCCTGCAATCCCATGAAATGATTGAAGTCTAACAATCCATCTCTAACCGATTGAAGATGAACTGGGAGCTCGCCGAGGTCCTCGTCTTTTACGTCATCCTTCTCACTGCCCTGAGGGGCTTCATGCTGATCAGAGCTAGGGGAAGAATGGGGCTTTGAAGACATCTTAGTGGAACCTAACTGAGAAGAGAAGATCAATGAGTTATATGTGAAGATTTATGAGATTATTGGAGAGATTTTCGTATTGTCAACGTTGTCACCGTTGAGCGCTTGCAATTTGAGTTTGGATTCAGCCAGGAGAACGGAGTATGTGGGATGTTGTGTTGGCAGCCAATAAAATGATTTGTAGATGTTGGTTCCAACAATTTACCCCTGCGACCGACCTTGAGACCAAAGTTGGGTTGGGGTTTACTGGCTAAACGCCTATTGGTGTATGTCGTGCAGGTGTTTAGTAATACATAATTTATTTAGTTATGTAGGTAATCTGCGCCGAACCTTAACTCCAGAGTATTTCGAGGTATTTATGAAATGATTATAATTTATATTTATTTTATGGGTGAAACGGTTAATAGGATGCTGATTTTGGGTGGTTTTGTCGCTGCTTTCGGGGGTCAGCTAACCGCTCTTTTACTATTCCTGCAACTCCATTGCAGTCCCACACGCTAATTTAGCTTCAGGTACCAATGTGCTTGAGTCTTCCCACATGCGTTTCCTCCATCTTCCGTCAGGCTTCACCCTGTTTCCATTCTGGAGCAGTAGAGCACTCTGGCCTAGAATGTATTCAAGTACTTTTGCCGTTCCTCGTCTGCTCCTTCTAATTTGTTCTTTCAATCATCCTTCCCCCACTTTCTCGCTTCCATCATCATTTATAAACCCTCTCTCTTTTCAATCGTCCCCCTCGCACTCTCTCACCTCTTAAATCCTCTCCTGTCCTACGTCAGTCTGCGCACAATAATGTGGAGCCTATTTTAGCCCCCTATGTGCACCGGCCACCGTTTCCTTACCGAGGTTTATTATTGGAGAATCCGTTCCTGCTCCCTTGCCGAGGGTTTTTACCAGCGGTGATTTTGGATCCCCTTTGTCAAAGAGCACGTGACTAATGGTCGAGCCGCTCAATCTACGAAATGCCGAGGCGGAAACTCTCTTCCCATCGGCTACTGTATAGTGATGTCACAACATGAGTCTGAGCCTCGATTTGAGGAGACTGTACAGTCATGCCTGCTTAGATTGTTACTGTAGCCGCCCCAATTTGACTTTTGGTGCATGTACATGTGCATGTACCGCTGACTGCGCCCCTCTGCCGCTGACCCTGTACCACTACCCCTACTGCGGGAAAGTTGGGTAAGTATTCAATGTTCGCTAGCTGGGATGGCCATCGGCCAGGCTACGATATCCACCGACTAAGGTGTCAGCTCCTATGACAGCAATGCGTTTAAGGATCACGTAAGGTTCCAAGGGTTGTATAGCCAACAAGAGCCCTGGTCTTCCCTTAGTCATTCCGCAACCCTACTAGCCACAATTGAATACTTACCCAACCTACCTTCGGACATCACCATGCATAGACTTGCGCCCAACAGATAAGACATATCAGGCGATGCACCGTGTACAATAAGAATAGAAATTGATGGGTCCTGGATAGCACCCGGTAGTATCCCACATATGACCTTCGGAGACGTTCGTTTTACTTTTTGTCCATAATCCCTTCGAATGACAACATGGTAAACACCCATTTTGATATCTTCCATTTCATTCTCTTGGGCAACTGCACCCTGCTCTACGGAAGTCGAAAGATCGACGTTAAGATCCTCTTACCAATCATTGCACACGCTGGTTCTGAAAATGAAGCTCTTTTGCTAATATTATCCCGCATGCTTTAGTCTTTAAGAGAGCTGGCATCTGGCGCCGGAGCTGATGGACGAAGGATTCCCGCGATAGAGTACGTAAAGAGCTTCATTCTTTTGTACCTGGTGATATCATAAACTAACCATGTATCAGCATAGTGGCTGTACATGGTCTGAACCCATTCAACAACGAAGGCCACGCTTTCAATACCTGGCGGAAGCCTCATGACACTGGCCATCTCTGGCTAGAAGATGCTTTCCCCAAAGTCCAACCGAATGCGCGCGTTTACCTCTACGAATACAATTCAAGCCCAGTGTTTGAAGCTAGTAAAGACTCGTTTGTTGGAGAAGCAAATCAGCTATTAGATGAAATCCTTGGAGCTCGTCGGACAATCGTTGAGTGTTATATTATTCTTATTAGAGCATGACACTGACCGACTAAGGGCCGTGATAATCCTATTATATTTATCGGTCATAGCTTAGGGGGTTTATTAATTAAACAAGTTTGTCACGCCTTAAACCCTACATATTACGGAGGAAAGCTGAACAATCGTACAGGCATTAGTAAACGCCTGGGCAAACGAACAATATAGAGGCATCCAAAGCTCAACGTAAGTGCTTTTCAATCTAACTGATAACCTCAGAATTCCAAACCTGCAAACTAATTATTCGAAGCTACGGCCTAATGTTTTTTGGTACACCTCATACTGGCCCTGGAAGCAATCCTGAAGTTAGGCTGGGGATGGTTTGCGCGAAGGTTGCCCGATCTTTACCTGGAATTCAATCTACCAGCCTGCTAGAAACCCTCGAACGCGGCTCACTTTTCAGCGATTTTCTTAGAGAGGCTTTCAGGCATCAGCTTGAAGCATACAGAGTTGTATCGTGTTATGAAGGGGTTGGAGATGTATGTACTATATTATTCTCCATCTTATCAGAAACAATCTGTATTTTCTACTAACGGCATGATCTAGATCGTCCCATTCGATTCAGCAGTGATGAATCTACCGGGAAATAGAGAAACCCAGCTTCGAATCAATGCTGATCACCGCAACATGTGTCGCTTCGACCCGTCAGTTTCTGCTGATCTAGACAATTATAGAAAGGTGGAGCGAAATCTGCAAATGCTATGCGTGGATGCCCTGATTGGATTTCCTAAAGAAAACGAAGAGCAAGAAAGTAAGCGGCTGGGTTCTTGAGATTTGGGAATGTTGATTAGATACATAATCCGCAATTCATCATCCTACAATTTTTTGAGGCGGACTATTTTGTATACTGTGTATAATAACTGACCTGTTGTATAGAGTCTTTGCAATTGCATCAAGGAGGAATAGACTTAGGCAACAGCCTTTTCGAAAGCTTGCAGATATCTCAAAATAACATCTCCATGCCAGTAACAATTAGTATGATGAACAAATCGATTTTATCAGTTCCTTTCACTGGCTAACGGGAATGGAATAGATATTGGCAAAGTACCCGATTTAGCATGGACAGTATATCGCTCGTGCATTCAGTCTCCGTCATCACCCGAATTCGCTCGTGTTGCAACCGACGTTTCCTATCTTCATAGTGCTCTTCGCATGACGCACGAAATGGTTGAGGGAGATACATTTTCGAAAGACTACCGCAGCCAGATTCGCGAGATATCAGGTAGTTGCTTTGAAGCCCTTCAAGACCTCCAATCTGCTATCGGTGATTTCAAGGCATTGCCAAGTCACAGCCAGAATTCATGGAGTCGCATGGGATTTGAGTCAAGAAAATTCGCCAGTATTGAGGAGCGACTAAAGTCAACCACGTCGATGGTGACTGAATTGAACCAGGCCCTCTCAAGGTAAAATGTCCACGTAGATCCATTTCCAAAAAGGCAAACTACTAAGACCTCTATAGTGGCTCAATGAATCGGTTAGTGGATGGACTTAATCACTTGGTTGAGGAGGCCACAGCCGATGATACAAGGAGTTCTATTATATCTAGTAATATCTCGCATGTTTCCGAGTCTTTGTCGATATGGGATGAAGAGAGCTGGACGCAGCTGCAGCGCGAGCTCGAAAATTGCGGCGTATCTCCAAGGATCCTGGTAGATCAGCGCAAGTTCATCTTCAAGTGGGTCAAAAATGCTATCGAGGCAGGGAGAATTCCGCTGGAGGACCAGAAACTAGAATCCGAGGTCCTGGTGGACGAATCGGCTGCGTCAAACTCAGCTTTACGTAACGCCTCTGCTTCAGAGACCGAACATTCCGAACATGTAAATCCTGGCAGTAAGAAATACTCTTTTATCAGACGGTTGAGGTTCGGTGTCTTCCGTGGGCAGAGTTCTCTTTTTGCGGCCGTTCAACAGGGTGATTTTGTCAAGGTCAACGAGCTGCTCTCTTTTGGTATCCCTATCGATGTTAGTGACAAATCCGGCAAGACGGTGCTCCATATCGCAATATTGAATGGCGACATCGAAATGATAAAGCTACTGCTAGAAAAAGGCACCGCGAATTGGGGAATAAGTGATCGTCACTACAAAGCCATGGGAATAGCTCTCTACACAAAGAGTTGGAGAGTAGTGGAATATTTGCTCAAACCGGGGTTTAAATACAACAACTCAAGTTGTTTGTATATCATTGAGTATGGCCCAGTGGAATTAAAGAGGCAATGGCTGAAAATATTTGACGTTAGAGGCAATTCGCGCCTCTTATTTCACGTAGCTTCTCTCGGCGACGTGGGAAATTTCCAGCTCCTACTCAACGAAGGGGCAAACGTTCGGGTCAGAACCAAACAACAATATTTCCCTCCTTATAGTGACTGCTACCCCACTGGTGGTCTAACACCCTTGCACATAGCATCTGCAAATTGCAACGTGCCGCTTATGGAGCTAATTCTCGACAACGGTGCTGAGATCGACGATATCGATGACGATGGTGGGACTTCATTGCATAAAGTGCCATGTGCAAGTGACGGCCTTGGGATTTCCTACCGAGATAATCAAGGTCTACGGAAGTTAAAAAGAACTTGTTCGTCTGGTACCGATATAGCCATAAAGTTTCTACTGGACAGGGGAGCAAATATAAATTCGAAGAACGATATGGGCCAAACAGTGCTCCATTTATCAGCGATGTATAACGAAGATTTGGCCTTGGCCGTGTTGATACAGAATGGCTCCGACATCGGTTTAACGGACCACAAGGGTAATACAGCCCTTCACGCTTCAACTTCAGCTGAAAAGTTTCGGGGCTCTAGAAGGCTCGGCGAGGTAGCCATTCCCGCCAGTATATTTCATTGGAATGAGAAGGGAATGATGCTATTACTAGATCATGGTGCGCAAGTCAACGCCAAGAACACGCTTGGGAGGACGCCTCTGCACCTAGCATCTGAAGATGGGAACGAAGGCCTGGCAAAAATACTACTGGATCATGGGGCCGACGTCGATGCAGTGGATCGGCGGCACTGGACTGCGTTACATCTTGCAGTCTGGAATCAGTCAATGCCACTAATACTTCTTCTTCTGCGACACGGATCTACCATTACCATGAAAGCCTCACATGGCTCTAAAAGCATGACAGCGCTTGAGATGGCAAGATCTCAGAACTATGATCCCATAGTAAACCTCCTAGAGCTTAACCCCTAAAGAACGGGTAACAGAATAAGAATCCTTACTATAATCTCATATCGTATGTCTTCTAGAGAATGAAACTAAAATCCTCGCTAGGGTAGGATTCAGTCCTGTAAGTTACGTTAGTGCTGGCTGTATCTCATTTTTAGTTCACGATATAACTTAATGTTTCTTTAAAGTTTTCATTCCATCTGATGTTTTTCTAGTGACCAGCGTTGTTGTACAATGGGAGCTAAAAAAGAGTCGTGTGAGACTGGATCGGAGGGAATTTTGTACGATTAACAGGGAGCGTGAACGGATACCTCTACCGGCCACCTTAAGCGGTTAAATGAAGTAATTCCGTTTCAGTAGGCATCACTAAAATTTATTTTTAGATAATATAGAAACTACTACCGATTTGCGAAGGCGCCCGAAGAGGCCCTGGGCATGATCCAGCTAGCTCATTAGCGTGGTCAGGATTCAGGGATTAGCTCAGATTGGAGCAGCGACTGCTCAGGTTCAAAGACGGAAATGGATTTGGTGAGGTTCACTTTCGGCGCAGATTATATGGGTTAGGAGAACGAGAGCTTTGTAACTGAACAGTTGGGGAGATGAACTACAAATTGGTCAAACAATCTTCAAAGTCCGTCGCTCCCATCCGAGCATTTTGTCTTCATACATGGGTCCGATGAGCAGTCCCTCGCGAACATACGTGTTGTCCTGATTCTCTAGCTTGGACAAGATAAGTCCTACCCATTGGCTGCCTCTGTTGGTAAGACCATGGGCCCATCTTGCAATCAGCACGCTGGTGAAGCTGGCCTTTGCTTCCCATAAATCTCGGCCTCTCCTAGTATCAAAAAGATATGTAGAGGAGGAGAGTTTTAGATCTTCATTGACTTCTTGGGCCAAGCCGCTCAGGATGAGATGCCCACTCTTGACCCGTCCGAATGAATGAAACGAGCCTGTGTAGTTGCTGTTAGAAAACCTTACACAATGGACTTCTATGTTATTTGCAGAGTATGCGAAGTCGCTGAATGTTGGTAAAGTACCAAGAGTTACTTACTAGATTCAACCGTAATGTCAATGATGTTTGCACTGCTCCTCGAGTCTATCGGGAGTCTGATCCCTTTCATAACTTCATAGTTAACAGGCACGTCTAGAGACGCCCAGCTCCAAGAAGGCGCAATATACTCCGGCCGCTCTGCTTTCGCTAGCTTGGTCACATTCCATAGCAGGCCTCTGTGCATGTCGTTTTTCCATAAGCCTGCAAAGTAATTACCGCCGCTTGCCTCAAAAGCCCGCGCAATGGATTCAATCGCAGGAAATTTATCCCCGCGGTAGACCAAAACCCTGGCGCTGTACTCCTGAACAAGACCATACCATGGGTTGAGTAGTAATGGGGATATATTGGACGTCGGCTGAGTCGATAGAGCCCGCATCTGGGATGCAAGGTCCCAGATGGGTCTTTCCGGAAATGTGCTTCCTTCAGCAAGGGCATACTCTTGGCAGTTCCAATACAGCTGCTCCGAACCATAATAAAGTAATCTCTCTGGTAATACAGTTTCCTGCATCGTCCAGGCACGTTGTGCCAATGGCGTCTTCAAGATTGCCTCGCGCGTCTCTTCCAACGGACGTCGAAAACGAACAACTCCGCTGCTTGAATGGCCACCGGCTTTTACCCCAGTGTAGACAAGCCATGTCAAATCTTCGGTCTGTCTGCTTGTAAATAATCCAGTACTGGGGTTGGCCCCAAATCCAGCAGCAAGAACAATGGCTGCATTTGAGACATAGTCACCTATCTGGGAGGCCTCTCGAGCCCAATCTTCCTGCGAATCCTGAACGATACATAGAGCATCAATCCACAGGTACTTGATGCCCAGCTGCCGTACTAGAACGAAAGCATCACGCCAGGTTACGGGAATGGTCTCCAGAGGTATTCCTTTCGTAAAATCCGACATATTGCTTTCTTTAGTTATTAAAGGCTGGAGCCCCCCCCAGGCGTACGATAAATAGACATATGCCCCACGCTCGTCCACTTCACTGTTGCGGAGGCGTAGATGAAAGTCATCATCGTCCGAGCTATCGTCAAAGCAGACAACCCTTGTAGGTAATCGGGATTCTAGATTTGCTTGACATTTAGTGTGACTCTTTTGGCAGCCATCAAGCCATGATTTCGCCAGAGAGAAACATTCTTCGCTGTGGGAAACTCGCGCTATGGATCTTCCACTAAGGTCTTCATAAGTTCCTCTAGTTGGGGCGTTATCTGCATCTTCCACATCAGTATCCTCCCACAAGAGAATAAAAAATCTTAGAGGAAGATCTCAATACTAACCACTATCGATGTGCAATTCTAGTACTACCTTGGCATTCTCACCAACTAATACGGTGAGTAGATCTCGAGAGCCTGTACTAGACCATGGGACATTGGCAAGCGATAGCTTAACAGACACATACGAGCTTGTTTCGTCTCTATCGTCGAAGAAGTAGCCTCGACGAATGAACTCTTGCACGAAGAGTGCGCAAAGTTTACAGCCACATGAAGCAGAGGTTTCAAGGTCTTCGCAAACACCCGGTCAGCCAATGACATTMAGAATGACGAGGTGATTTATCTCCTTCGGAAACTCTTACCTGCATAAGTTTTTTGGTGTTTGTAATAAAATCCACAGCTTGGATTCCTTAGCCAGCGATCAAGTTCACAGTACTCACAAAGATCCTTGAACTCGGTCTTTGTTTCCGTATTTTGGATATATGGAGTGTTGCTTTCTTCATATATATAGCGCCCATGTTCTGTGGTCAAAGACGCGCCTGCGAAGAATACTTTCTTTTGGTCCCATATGGCTGATACTCGAGTGGAGTCAGATGGGGCAGGTGAAACCTGGTCAGCCTCTAGATGTTTCTCCATGTTACTAACATCTAGCGGCGACATAGAATTAATATTCAAGGGGGCAAAGAAGGAAGATCTGTCCGCCATGACCCGCAGAACATCTTTCCTGCCCCAGAAAACAGATGCATGCAGTACGGTGTTACCCGAGGCGTTCGCTATACTTAGCAAATCGGGATCTCGCACATCAGCATTGCCAAGAATAATCTCTACTACATCTGCTCGACCCCAATCTACAGCTTCATGAAGTACCGTATCTCCATAGGCATTCTGACCGTATATACTAGCACCTAGGGCTATGAGGCTCTCTACCTCATCTTCCCAGCCGAGCCTAGCAGCCTTGCGAAGTTTGTCTTCTAGTGTAAAGACTGGTCCTGGGATATCTTGGAGATTGTCGTTGTTACCTAGGTTTAGAATTTGCATTCTTCTGGGGCCATCCGGACGAGATTCGAGGAACTTTATAAGAAGTCGAAAAAGACTACTTTCCTCTAATGCCTTGCTCTCATTGCGGCCAGCATTCTTGTAGTGTTTTGACCAATAGGTGACAGCGTACGTGGGGAGGCCGATAGCGTTGATATCATTAGCTGTCACAGAGAACTCGTGCTGAGTACGAGATGCTTGACTGCTTTCTCGTGGAACATTGAGGCATTTGTAGTGCAAACAAGTAAGCGCAACTTGTGCATGACAATTTATCACATCGAATGGGCCAGAAGATTCCGTGATCGATTTCCGACCTTGAAAATATTCTTTCACCGAGAGGTGAGAAAGGCGGATGACACCGGATGGGTCTTTAGTAAGCAGATTGCTGCACACTTCAAGTAGGACGTCATCTCCATTTTTGATACTCTCGTTCAAAACACCGTCTGGACCAATGGCAACTGCGTAACAGAGCTCGGATATGTTGACAGGTCGGTACGAGCACAGCACCCATTTTAGAGCTGTATCGACCATAGCTTTTCGACGAGACTGATCAGCAGGTCCGATGGCAATTTTATAGACTTGATCGTAAGCACTACTTAACCTTTCGTGAAGGTCTGCACCAGATGCCTCGAGCGCTTTGAGCCTTGATTCTACATCTTCCACAGTTTTGGGTCTTGCGCGCCGGTCTTGCGGAAGGAACACACCCACTTGGAGTGTGACCCAGAGGAACCTTACAAGCATGAATCAGTCTTAATCATAAACAAAAGGTATTAGTGCATACATTCCTCGAGCCCGACTCTTGAGCATTTCTTTTAATCTGTTAGCTTGCTCATCGGTCATAGCATTGCCGACTCGGCGCGCTTCCATTTCGACAGGTATCTCCTGCTTCAAGTATTCCTCGATATCAGCCGAGTTTTGATCAAGGATTTCAAGGCGTTTGGCGTCTGGTAAGTAGCTGCGAACGGTATCAGCAAGTCCATATCGGCTTGTCAAGAATATTCGAAGCTTGTCTCCTGCCTCTCTCCGTAGTTCCTCAATATTTGACAATAAATCATCAAGGTCTTGGCATTCGTCGAGCGCATCAATCACTATAGTGAGATGTCTAGACGCATTCACAATGTCTTTGAGCTGTGGAAAACATTCTTCTGACCCAAGATCGCATTTTTCAGGACACCTCTCCTTGTTATCGTCATGAAACTCGCGAATAGTCGAGTGGATTGACCCCTCTTCGACATTAGTTGCACATTGTCGTAGGAAACTTTTCAAGATAGACAAAGTCAAATCTTGATCAACCCCCGTACTTTTAGAGCAGTAGAAGAAAGCAAGGTGGCCACCTCCAGGATTTTTCAACGAATCCTCGATAACTGAAAATGTGATGCTGCTTTTTCCCGTTCCGACACTACCTTCTAACAGGAGAACGCCATCTGCTGAAGACTTCCAGTCTATGAACTCTGGGAGATGGAGTATCCATTTATTTGAGGAGGTATAACGCTGGCCAAGATCCTTGGCTACTTTAAAGTGACCTTCGAACGGTGGGCGAGGATAAAGCCATTTGAGCAAGTCGTCGTCTCGATCTCTTTGACTAGAGATGGCCCTGATAAGGAGCTCATACTTCTTATTTTGCATTTTGAAGAACTCCTCAACCAGTCCTGGCCCGAGAAACGATAGGTTTCTTTGGGCTTCCTTGTCTTTATTGACGATGGACGCAGACTCATCTTTCCAGACGACTCCTTGTTGTAAAGCGTTTGTCAACAGATTTATAGCAGTCCTTTTCCCGAAATACCGCGCAACTTCGGCCTGGTATGTCAAAATAGCCACGTAAAGGTCAAGTACAGCATCGGCAAATCTTTCATCAATTTCCGCGCCCTTCATTCCGAGGTACGTTTTCTCGGCAATGTTGTATCCGTGAATGATTCTTGTGATGTCTTCAACTCCTTGAATGGCCCCATTCTGTTGTGCGGTGTCGTTCATTATGAAAGGGATTAGAGCACTTATCGCTGACCACGGGAGCGACACGTATACTGGGGCAAAAGTCATACCAAGAGATATAAGGCCAGAAGCATTCTTCGCCGTACTGAAAATTCCATCGATAGCATCTCTGACTTTCCTTGGTTTCGACATCCCCCATGCTCGAAAAGTCCATTGTCTTTCCTCCATGTGCTTTTGCTGCTTCTCCACAATTGCTCTCATCTCTGTTTTGATGTCTGAGTTAGGGGGAACACCAGCATCAACCCCAATGAATGTCTCATAGAACTCGCTCAGATCCTTTTGCTCCTTCACGAATCGGTCGTAAGCCTGTTTCCATACAGCTTCGGATGCCACCTGCCACTCATCCTTTTTGAGGGAAAGTCCATTGTTGTTCTCTTTTCCTAGCAAAGCGACAGTCTCATTGCTAGCCGAATGCTCTGGATCTCGTTGATCACTCGAAACTCGCCCGTCCTCAACCTGAAGGGAAGTTTCCGGCGATGACCTTCCACTTTTGATGTCCGATATCACGTGACCCGTTTTATGCCCAATTTGCGTGGTCGTCGCAGGTTTATCATCTTGACCATTACTCGCCTTACTCAAGGCAGGAGGACCGTCCGATGTCTGATCTGGAGTATCCAATTTTACAAGGGCCGGCACTGTTAGTGTCGAGGTCGAGGCCCCATCGATAGATGATTGATCCTCGGTTTGCTGGCTTGGTCGTGCTGGAAGAGCAGCTTTCAGATCGGCTTTGAGCCCGGCTTTCAAGTCGTGGAGACGCTTTCTCATACTGAAATGCCGTCTTTATTGACGTTCTGATACTCGGGGTTGACCTCTGTATGTTCGATAGGATATACGAACTAGGAGAATTTATATCCGTGCTGTTTTTGGAGGTGCGTCCTGGGGGTCTCAGTCGCTAATGCGTGCAGCCCTGACGATTCGTCTAAAGCTCCAATCATAGCTTGAAAGGAAATCGATGAGTCTGTTGATCTTGATTCACCTCTTTCATAACAGCATCTGTGAGACTCGAGATTTATTAGAAATGCTTCATGGTGGCGTTGAGACATAGCGTATATTGGATGAGCCGGCTTTGGCCATGGGCCAACTCCTTCTCCGGACTCTAACAAACGTTCACGCTGATAAATGAGCCAATCGATTTCGTTTCAAATATTGTTAGAATATGGGAGTTATGGGAGTTCCCCTGGCCGGCTGGTCAAGCCACTTAGGCACCCCACTTGGCACTTCTCCACCACAAAAGAGAAATGAGATATGTGTACTCGCGATGAGCCGAATACACGGATATCATCGTATCCCATACTAATTAGTATAGCACATGATGATGGAAGCCCTAGGAAACTATTCGGATACTATCGGTATTATTTCCTTGAGTTACTTGATTAATCACCTGACTCTATACATTCATTTGCCTATATATATAAAGCTTTCACTTTATAGTATTAAACTTCTTAATTAATTCAATTACTCTATTCTATAACTTATTCTAACTAATCAATTACTTGTATTAAGTGTACTAATTTGGGTCCTATTAATCAACAGTTATAAGCCCGGGCTACTAAAAGTATCACGTAGCAAACAAATTATTTGAGTGTTCTTTATACTTATTTGGAATTCTATTGATTCTACTACTAATTCTTCAATACTTTCAAATCCCTTGTAATCTACACTTCTTACTACTTTATACTTTTCATATCTACTAATATGTCGACAGAGTATTCAACTCTAACTATATCTAGACTACTCCTAGTTCTTGATAGACCCAGAGATTGGGAACCTTGGCTTGAGACAGTTAGATCAATAGCTTCAGGAGAAGACTAGTATACCTGGGAGTATATTAATCCTAATTCGGAAACTACTCCTGAAAAACGTCAAAAGCTAACTAAACTTACTTTCAAGAATATCAACTTTGAAGTTAACTCATTTAACAAACTCTCAGCTAATGAGATAGAACTATTACATTTATAGTACTTCGACTATCAGATCAAATATAAAGAATACTAAGAGACTTCCAGATTGATTAACTCAATATAGGAGTATATCTTCAAGTCTGTCTCGATTAGGAATAGAATATATTTCCAGGATTAAGCTACTGTATATAATATACTAGTAGTATTTAAAAAATATCTAGTTCTTACTAATTATACAACTAAATTAGACTTGTCGGCAGAATATACTAAATTGAGAAAGTATAATAAAGGAGAAAATATTAAACAATTCTTCTAAAAGTAGGAAACTATTTATAGAAAAGTTGTAAAGTTTAATCTTTCGGAAGTCCAAGGTGACAAACTCTTCCTTGACTTTGTATAAATTATAAAACTAATTGAATCTAACTTTTCGACAATATAAGATTATCTCTTGACTAAAGATATTAGGAATAAATACTTATTACTAACTCTGTATAATCTTGTAGTAGATTTCAGAGATATATACCGGAGAAATATTACTGTTTCTGGGTATTCAAAAATATACATATCTTTTACTATATTCTAGAATCAGGAATAACTAGGGAACTCCTCGAAAGATGAAACAGTAAAATCTAAGAAAACCCTAAAACTAAAGTATTTATATAGATTTACTTATAAATAAGAACAGTATTAATATTTGAATTTATCAAAAAGGTTTACAGATTAGAAGTTTAATCTAGAAAGAATTAACTAATTAAATAAGTTATTAGACTATCTAGACTAATCAAAGACAAAAGAACAGTAGATATAAAAAGAGTACGACTTAGCAAATAACTAAAGTTCTATTACTACTCTAGCTCTTACTTCGAGCCTTACTCCTAAAAGAATATTAACAGCTTATACTGTCTCCTTCGCCGGAGTATATACGCTAAGTAGTCAAACTAGCATATATCGCTTAGTAAACTACTGGACATTTGATAGTACTTCCGATATATATTTATATAACAACAGAAAGAAGAGCTAATTCAAAAAGACCAAGGATGTCCACGACAGTGATAAACTTACTTCTAGTAAAACAACTTATCTAATTGAAGTTTAAGGAACTGTAATCCTGAATATAAACACTCTAAAAAGCTCTGACTAAATCAAGTTACTCAATGTAGCTTTAGTGCTAGGATATATGACTAACTTTGTAGTTATAGATATTATTAATGAAAAAAGACTTTACTAGAATTTATAACAACTATTAGAACTACATGTAACGGTTCCTATAGTTCCTCCGGCGGGGAGTCGTATTGGAGGTGTTCTGTTTCGTTTGCGTAGCGAAGTAATGCAGTGATCTCTTTTAATGATCTGTAAGTGATGTCAGAGTGAGTGAATCACGGAAGGATTCAAGTGTAATCAAGGTAAACTGTTATAATTGATATTTAAGAATCAAGTTGAGCACGAAGCTCCTATCTAGTAAGGAAATTACATTGCTTATATAGAACTTTCCTGCTCCTGGATTATAGTGAATCGATGATTCCTATGATTCTTTATACGAATAGATTATTGATCTTTCCCGATCTATTTACTATCACGTGACTTCGTTACATGCTTCTATGGTTCTCTGTGGTAGTAAGTTATACTACCCGAGCTTCAGGCTATAAGGTTGGCGTTCGTAACACTATCCCCTATGTGGCCTAGCGTAGTCCTTTAGCTTAAAGGTTATATCGAAAATATCGAACGTCAGGTATAGCTTTCTTCTTTCTTCATTATACTACTCCAACGTACCCTGAAATATAAGGAGAGAATTATTCTCTGTAACAAAATAAATTCCGACAGTATCGAAATGCTGCCTTGTACGAGTTGCGAGAAGTACGGGCGGTCCTGCATTGTTTTGAACGAGATGTCGAAAAGGTGTGGTGAATGTGTTCGTCGTAGTGTGAAATGTGACGTGAAGGGGATTTCGTTCTCTAACCTGGAGTCCCTTCAACGCGAGGAGGCCTGTCTCTAGTTCGAGCGAGACGCGGCCTTTGCTGCGGCTATAGAGGGCTTTGCTCGAGTATAACAGCTCGAGAAACAACAGGCTCTTGTTAAGAGACGGGGTGCCGAGTTGGTCCGGCGTAGGCTTCGCGACTTAGACGAGTTGGATAAGGCAGAAGAAAGAGAAAAGGAGGAAAAGGAAATAGAAGCCCGTCGTGAAGCGGAGTCGAGGCAGCTGGCTGCTACGACTGGCGGCTTAGGCGGCGACCTCTCTTTCGACTTTGGTCCTCTGCCGGGTCCTGATGACCTGATCTGGGCAACTTTCGATTTTGGTGGTGGAACTCCTCAAGTATCTGGTAGTAGTTGAGATGAGTCCTGGGTTCCTATATGTTCTCCGAATGTAGGTAGTCCAACTATTTGATTAAATATTTGACTGTGCTTTTGACTCGTCTACAGTCCAATATCTGTTCGACTTCGTACTCGGCGTTTGGGTTGACTAGTTCTATTTCGGTTATTGGCGCTAGTAGTACGCCTAGTAGTACTAGTTCAAGGAGAGAAATATAGAAAACCGGAAAGATGTTCATTGACTTTGGTAGAACAAGTTTGTAATTCAAACGTCCTTTGAATTTCTTAATTTTGAATGGTCCTAATTTCTTGTAGTCTAGTTTATCGCTTGGTCGTTTAGTTTTGATATTTTTTCTGAGCAAGTAAACTCTGTCCCCCTCCTGTAGTGTTGGCTTTTGACTACATTTCGAATTGTAGTACAAGGCGCTTTTTTCTGCAATAAACTGAAGCTCGCTGCTTAGTTCCCTATGTAGGTCTTTGATTTCGTTTGTCTGGACTTGTGTTAACTAGTTATCGATGTCTGATGTCTGGGCTTCGTGATAGGCACTGACGTTATATCTGTAATTGGCAAAGAATAGCGATACTTTCGTTGTGTCCGTGATTGCACTATTGTATGTAAATGTAGCAAGTGGGAGTAACGATACTTAATTGTCCTGTTTGTAGTTGATATAACAGCGTAAGTATACTTCGATTATCTGATTCATTCTTTCTGTTCTACTATTTGTTTGTGTGTAGAAAGTAGTCGATAGTTTCCTCTTAACTCCTAAGTAGGCAGTTAAAGTAGTCTAAAACTTGGATGTGAAGAGTTTATCCCGGTCAGATATGATCTCTTCTAGTATCCTATGTCTTACTACGACTTCTCGCAAGAAGGCGAATGCAAGTTCTTCGGCTATACTGGATTCCAGATATGGAATAACAGTCATGTATTTCGTAAGCTGTTCGATAATGACCAGGATTGAGTCGTACATCACCCCTGTTATTAGATCTTTGGAAAGCGGGAGTTTAACAATAAAGTCCTATTAGATCGATTTCTATAGTTGTTCCGGAATAGGGGTAGTTCCTATCTTTCTGTACAGAGCGTGTCGCACACTCTTGTTGCGAATGCAAGTATCACACTCTCCTACCACTTRCTTGACTACAGTGTTAATTTTGTCAATGTGATAGTGTTGTCTGATTCGCCAAAGGGTCCTGCTGATTCCTTGATGCCTATGAGCTAGTGCTGCATAGTACTTGAGGATGAATTCCTTTGCGAATGCGTCTGGGACCCGCAGTTTCCTATTGGTGTAGTCTGCGTGTTCCTAATCTTTCTCTTGGGCTTAGATGATCTCATCATCCTATGGTCCCTTGGTCCGGCTGAGGGCGGCGATCTCCTTCGTATTAGGAACGAGGTTCCCGTCTTTATCCTCTCGAAAGATTGCTACTTTCTTGTAGACTTTGTCTCCTTCGTACCTAGGCTGCTTGCTCAATGTGTCGGCCCTGGGGTTGTCAATTCCTTTGACATGTTTGATCCTTAAATCAAACTGAGAGAGTTCCTCTGCCCATCGTGCCATTCGTCGATTATCCAGGACTTTAGTGGTCATAAAAGTTCTGAGATTCGCGTAGTCGGTACGTATAGTAATTGGAAACTTTGCACTTTGGAGATATATCTTCCAGTGCCTCAAGGCTTTGACTATAGCCATGAGTTCTTTCTTATAAATGTCGTAGTTCTGTTCAGCTAGCGAGTGCTTTTCGGAATAATAAGTTACGGGATATAGTTTTCCGTTCTCGTCTAGCTGAAAGTGTGCAGCGCCTACAGCTGTGTCGGAAGTATCGGTTTCGACTATACTCAGCCGATCCTCGTGAAAGCTTACAATAACAAGTTCCTCAGCGAATCTGTCCTTCAACTGTTACATAGCTGTCCTTTCTTCTCTTCCTATAATAAACAGTATGTCCTTTTTTGTAAAACGCGTAAGTAGCGCGKAGATACTTGAGTAATCCCTGATGAATTGTCTTGAGAAGTTCCCGAATCCTAAGAACGATTGGATATCTTTGACGTTCTGCAGTTCAAGCTAATCCCTGATTCGCTAGATCTTCTCTAGGTCAATACTCATTTCCCTTAGCCGGATCACATAACCTAGAAACGCGGTTTCCGTAACTCCGAATTCGCACTTTTCCATTTTTAGTCTAGAGTCAACTCTCGTAAGAACTTCTAACACTAACTGGACATGTTTCTCATGTTCCTAGATATTCTCGGAATAGATCAGGATGTCGTCTAGGTAATAGATAACAAACTTATCCAAGTATTCTCGTAGAATATTGTCGTTCTAGCGTTGACACGTTACTAGTACATTGGTCAACCCAAATAGCATGACTGTGTACTCGTACAGTCCTGAAAGTACAAGGAAAGCTGTTTTCTATTCGTGTCCTTCCTTGATCCTGATCAGATTAAAAGTATTCCGCTAATCGATCTTCGTAAATATCTTTGCTTTGGCTAGTCTGTCCCGCAGATACTAGGCATTAGGCAACGGATATTAGTCTCGTATCGTAGCATCGTTTAGCCTACGAAAATCGCTACAAAGTCTCCTTTTCGGATCCCTTAGTTTATTAGCGATCAGTATATTAGATGTTGCTAGCGACTTGGATAGTCGAATCTATCCTTTCTTTAGTGCTACTGTGACATATTCCTCCAACGTCTTAGTAGTATCGTAGCGATGTCGTCGTAATCTCTCAGAAAGCAGCTGTTGCCCTTCTTTCAGATTGATTTCGTAGTCCTATAGTTGATGTTCGGGTAGAGCACGTATGTCCTCCGGGTTCTCGAACAATCTCTCGAATTCTCTATACTGCACAGGGATCTTCTTACTACTCTTACTAGCATCCTGTAGAAGATCCTCGGCTAGGTATCCTAGTATATTGGAAGAGGTAGCACTAACTTCTTTCCGGCCTTCTAGTTATTGTGAACCCTCACAATAGCATCGACTAAATGTAATAGTCTCCGTGACTTAGTCGATCTCAGAGTTGTGCTCGCAGATCCAAAGTATTCCCAAAATGGCTTAGTACTTTCCTACTAGTGTAATATGAAACTGTACATCCGCTATATGTCCGTCCTTCGTTGTTAATCTTGAAAGGACAGTTCCTTGGCTAATCACTCCGTTGTTGTAATCTATTTGCGAGCTGTCTACTACTGTTAATTCGTAAAGTAGTATTCCCGTTATTAGAATATTGAGTCTAGCGACAGTCGCAGGAGAAATATAGTTGCTGTTAGCTCCAGAGTCAATTATTACTCTGAGCTTCTTTCCTCTAAACGTTACTTCAACGTTCATATGTCCCCAATTCCCAGCTACGTTCAGCTCGGGGAAGTTCCCTATTAGTTCATATACCTCGGTGTTCCTGAACTGGTCGCTCTATATTCAGTAGTTGTTTTCCCACGCTAGTAGTCGATACGGTGTATTGAGTCTAAACGTGCTAGTCGTAGTTTAGTAGAACTTCTGCTAAGCGTACTAGTGACGTCCCTCTAGCGTAAATACTACTCTCTTCCAAATCCTTTTGTGAAGTCCGGTCGTCAGAACTTCCCAAATGTCTCCGGGTTCCAAGAGATCTACCAAGCTAAGTAGTTCGTCCCTTGGGTCAATTCTTTCGATAGTGACCTTTTCTGTCCCGGTTTCTTTGAAAGCGACTTTCTCCACGTCAATATAAATGACTAGGTATATGTGATACTTTACTGGCTTGTCGCTTGTAGTCACTCTTGAGAGTATGAAAACTTCGCTACTGTTTTCTTTTCCCTATATATTGCTGTGTTCAGTGATCTCCAGTAGTGACTACTCTTCCCCTTCTTGTAGCATTGTCCCCATTTCCGCGTTCACGTCAAGTGTTGTCTACCTACTAGGTTCCTCGGGCTTCTCCCGAGAGTCGGATAAGGTCGAATCTTCTAGACTAGTAGCTTCTATTCGTAGTGCTAAGTCCTCTACTATCTGGTATGGTGGGGGGTTATTGGCTTGCTGAGCTTCTATAGCTCCAAGCTGGCTGTGGATGCTTATAGACTCAAGGTCTTCTTCGGTCAGATCCTTTCGTCTAGTTGTATTCACTTGTCGGTAGCTGGTAGCATTGACCTGTCGAGACTTTCTTTTCCAAGCTTGTTTGTTCCCTTGGGGCTTTCCTTTATAGTAGGAGGCAGCTTGGTGTCCTGGAAGTCCGTACTCAAAGTATAAGCTTTTCTCCCGACGCTTGTCTCGTTCCTCGTTCGAGACGAATTTCTTTCCTCCATGTTGAGTCGCGCCAATTGTTCTGGTTTTCTTCCACTGGTGTCCCTGTCCGGACTGGTGGTTTCCTTTTTGGCTTTCTCGTGGAGCGTGGCTCTTCTTGAATTCCTATAGGCGATTATCCAACTGGATAACGCTTTCAATCATGCTGACAATGTCGTTGTAGACTATGTTCTGTCGTGCTATCTCCTTACAGATGTGTTCCTTCAATCTTCGACAGAATAATTCCATCAAAGCAAGGCTATCCCATCCTGTCTTGGTGCTGTATCTTTGGAACTCTGTTGCGTAAACAAGAGCTGTCCCAGTTTGGCGAAGATCAAGTATCTTTCGTACTACTACTTGAGTGGCATCGATGTCTCCAAACATTCGTCGTATTTCTTTCTTCATTCCGTTCTATGATTTGAAAATAGTTTTCGTAACTGCTATCTTCCCGTCTTCCGATTCATTTCTGAAGAAGTCTTCAAGGAATAGTTGGACCTATTCCAAAGCTGGTCCTCGTAAGTAAGAAGTTACCCAAAGGCTTTGTTGGTTGTAGTTGGCCTCGAACTTCTCGTAGTTGAAATTGAAGTAGATCTCTACTTGAAAGATGAAGGTCTCGAGGTCTTTTCGGTTGCTATTATATTTGTCGGGGAAGGCAACACGAATTGATTCATTGGCCTCGACCTTGAACTTATAGGGTAGGTCGGACATCTCGATGTTCTCCTGGAGTCCACTAGTCGATGGTGTGAGGTTCACCTGACTAGTACTCGGGTTGGCGACAGCTGGCTGCTTCGCAGCAGGCGGCTTCGCAGCTGGTAGGGTTGCTGGAACTATAGTGATTTACTTACTTCGGCAAAGGGGTGCTCAAAGTGTAACGGTTCCTATAGTTCCTCCGGCAGGGAGTCGTATTGGAGGTGTTCTGTTTCGTTTGCGTAGCGAAGTAATGCAGTGATCTCTTTTAATGATCTGTAAGTGATGTCAGGGTGAGTGAATCACAGAAGGATTCAAGTGTAATCAAAGTAAACTGTTATGATTGATATTTAAGAATCAAGTTGAGCACGAAGCTCCTATCTAGTAAGGAAATTACATTGCTTATATAGAACTTTCCTACTCCTGGATCATAGTGAATCGATGATTCCTATGATTCTTTATACGAATAGATCATTGATCCTTCCCGATCTATTTACTATCACGTGACCTCGTCACATGCCTCTATAGTTCTCTGTGGTAGTAAGTCATACTACCCGAGCCTCAGGCTATAAGGTTGGCGTTCGTAACACTACACTAAAATACAAAGGAAACTATATATTACTTCAAAAGGATCGACAAATACTTAGTTATCGACTAAACTACTGAAATTGAATATTTATTATTTGTTACTTCAACTCAATTACTAATAGCTAAGCTGATAAAACAAGAACTCCATTTAGTACTTGGCTATCTAGGACTGTAAGTTATCGACTATATACTTAATTCGGTAGAGAACTTGATAGTTCTTGATCTAGAGAGTCCGATACCCAAAACGATAGATTATGAAGATTGTAATATCTCCAAAGCTTACAAAGTAATCTCCAGGAGAACCGAAGTCGACGATCGCTCAAATAGGAAGCTTTTCGACTATATAGCCTAAGACTTAATCCAAGAAGATATAAGTTATAATAAATATAAGTAAGTAAACTATTTTTGTTGTTTAAACTACCGATATTACTTTGTATTTACTTATTACTCGAAATCTAACTCTTTTACTTTTATAGTATAAGTTATAATATAAGTCAAAGTTTAATTCGGATACAACGTTCGATTTATTCGTCTTAATAAAGAAACTACTTTGAGTACTGAATTCGCTATATTCGTTAATTCAAAGAGTATCAAATAAAAGAGAACAGTTCCTGACTCTCCTGAGTAAAATAGAGGCTCTGAGTATACTAGTAAGATCTTCACTTAAATCACTAGAATAATAATTATATCTACAAAGATATTATTCAACTTGTAGCCAGAAGTGTACTAAATAGCAGTTTATCTAGCTAATAGATATCTAATACTAACTTTCTCCTAGAAAACACTTTTTGAGTTAGTTAAAAGATATAAGTTTAAGTTAAAGTACTTATATTTATTTAGCTGTAAAATATACACTTTAATTAAAAGTATACCAAAGTCCTAAAAGATATGTCCAAAGGCTCACGTTAAGTACTTTATAAGTTATTCGTCGACTAATATATTCCGAATTTAAGTCCTATTACTAGAGAAAGTAGTAAAGACTAAAGACGCGACATTTGACTATAAAAGCTTTTATTAGCTAAGCGATATTAATTTAAACTTTATATTATACTAAAAAGAGGAAGTTATTAAAAGTCTTCAGTTCCTAGACAATATAATCGCTGAAGAAGAAGTAGATATAGATTCAGATACTATTATTATTAACATCCTATTTCTACTAGCAGAAACAGCTACTCTTAGTATTCCCGAGAATTAACTAGCTAATCAAGAAACCGAGAATATAATTACTCAGTAGCCGAAAGTAGAAAACAAATAAACGAATAATCAAGTAGTGTATTACCCAACTCCGGAGACTATACTAGATCTAATTTCAATTCCAACTTTACTACTAGTAAATCTAAACCCTGATTCTACGATTGAAACTACTTATAATAAAGGAACTATACTCTAATTAATAGATTCATTGTCCACAGGCCAAAATATAGTACTAAATAGTACAAGGAACTCAAGTGTCTGTAGAAATAAGATTTCGTCCTACTTAGACGAAGAAAATATTATACAGAGACTAAGGAGCAGAAGACAGAGGAACGTATATATTATAGTATTCTTTAATATCTATCATTTATCAGAGTATAATATAACTTTTAGAACTGTCTATTCGCTAGTTTCTACTCAAATACATTTATATCACATTTAGCTTGAAAAAGAACTTAAGAGCTAGTATCAAATAATTCGTTACTTAAATACTACTGAATTCAGGAAAGTAGCTGACACTGAATTTAATACACTAAAGACTATAGAAGTATTTGAATTCGTTCCGAAGTAGAATTATCAAATGTAGGAGCTATTCCTACTTACTTGGGTATTCAAATATAAGCTCAATATAGATAGATTCCTGACTAAGTACAAAGCTAAGCTCTGTGTTAAGGGAGACTTGCAAAAGCTAGAGTATTAGTAAAAGACTTACACAGTAACTTTAGCCGCTCAAACTTTCAGATTTATAATAGCTCTAGTAGCTAGATTTGGCTTAGAGACTTACTAATATAATATTGTTAATATATTTATTAATTCTAAGTTAGAACTTCTACTATTATATAAATACTCTGAAGAGTATAAGACTCCTAGCAAGTTGTTGTTACTCTATAAAGCTCTGTACAAACTCAAAGAGTCGCCTTTACTCTAGTATAGAGAACTCACATCTATTCTAATCTAGTTAGAACTTTACTTTATTCCTAGAGTTAATTGTTTATATTCAAGTTCTTAGTTTACTTTATTCTTTTATATAGATAATATTATCGCTATTTTTGCCCTAAAAGATATTGTCAAAATAGACTAATTTGAAGCTAAATTAATAGCTAAATACTATTTATATTTACTTAGAGAAGTTAATTACTTTCTTAGGATCAGAATTCTTAGAGAACGTTCTACTAAGAAATTCTAGCTTGTTCAAGACTTATATATTCAAAGTATAAGTTCCAAATTCAACGTTAATATTAATATCAAAGCTCTATTTACTTTACTGCTAACTGGAGAATTAGACTTTTATACTAGCTAAGCTACCTCTTAACAGATTTTTACTTACTAACAAAAAGTGAGTAATATCAATTACACTTCTGTTATTATAGATGCCGACTGTTATAAACGCTAACTTTATAGCTTGAAGTTCGAGTGAATGCGCAACATTACTACAGAGAACTATGAAGGTATGTGACAAAGTCACGTAACAGCAGGATTATAGGTCGGAAGTTAAGTGATAGATAGAGGGGATAGTTGAAGTTATCTAACTATTTAGTTTATCCGATTTACAAACAGATAGCTAGTACTATCTATATTATCCAAAGAGCAGGAAAGTTCTATATAAGCAATGTAATTTCTTTATTAGATAAAAGTTTTGTGTTCAACTTGAATATTAATTATAACAATTTACTTTGATTACTTTGACTCTTTCTGTGATTCATTTACTTTGATATTACTTATAGATTATTAGAAGAGATTACTATATTACTTTGCTACGTAAACGAAATAGAACACTTCTAGTTAAAATTCCTTGTCGGAAGATAAATAGAACTATTACACTTTGAGTACTTCTTTGTTAAAGTAAGTAAATCACTATAGTTCTACAAACTCTAGTATCTTCATCCGCCAACTTCTTAGTAATAAACTTTCCTACAATCCTAACCTCGGTCTAAATAGCTATAGGACTTATCGACAAAGACTTCAAAGTTCCTTTTCCCGATTCGTTCAAAGGAGAACGTTCTAAAGTCAAAGCTTTTGTTATATAATATGAACTCTATATCGGATTCAATGTTAGTTGTTTCAGCTCGGAAGTCGAACAAGTTCTCTAAATAACTACTTTCTTGAAAGTAGGAACTTTCGAGTAAATCGAGTCCTTCTTAGAAGACTATATAAACAACAGAGTAACGAATAGACGACTTTCTACTCGTTATTCTACTAATACGAAAGAGATTTTTAGAAGTTAAGTAAGATTTAAGAAATATCTTAATAAAGTTTTCGGAAACTTGGACAAGAAATATAATATAGTACGAATTCTTCGCAGTTTTAGACAACGTAACTCCGTAGTTATCTATACTATAGAATTCCAGTAGTATATAAGACGTACAAGATAGAATAGTGATATACTAATAGATTAGTACTATCAGAGTCTCAAAAACTAAATAAAAGACGAAATCTCAAAGACTGATTAGTTAGACGACTTGACGGACTTCGTCGACTTCGCTATCAAAGTCGATAATCACTTTCATGAGTAATATATAGAAAAGTATAATAGTTATTTATTTAACTACAATAAAAAAGCGAACTAACTTAGAAAAAGCAACTACTAGTTACAACTTATAGAGTTGGACGTTACTAGCTGTTATATTAACTTTTCTTAGAAAGAGAAGTAATAGCGAAGAGAAAAAGGATTATATTACGAGTGTGAACTTCTAGGATATTAAGCTGTTTTTTATCGAAAAAGAAAATAGCTAGGAAATAAGAAACTATAGAAAGGAAAGTTATAACAAATTAATGTAACTTAGTAAATAAATACTATTTATCGAACTTCTCTTACCGAAGAGGACTTCGAAAACATGTATATTCATAGTCAGTTTAGAGTTATAGAAGTTTAGTAAACTAGCGACTTCTCCTTTCAACAAGAAGTAGAAACAACTATTAAGTTTGAAAGAAACGAGAAAGAAACTGAATCCGAAAACAAGTCTTCTCTAAGTATGCTATTTCAGATATAAGAAAAATAAGTTTTTATCGGAATATTAAAAAATAGAAACTTTTAGAGAAATAACGTGAATAATATTTTCTTTCTTCTAGAACTAATAAGCGGAGTTAAACTTATTCAGTTCGGAAAATATATTGTTATTTACGTTAACTTCGAAAGAATTACTTTCAAGAAAGAAAGAATATCGGATATTACTATCGAGAATATTAACTTTAGAGAATTATTCTAGTTTTTAGAAAGTATTCTCGAACTAAAAGATATT